GTCCCCGACGTATCGACTAAAGAGGAACAAATTATTAGCGTGCTACGCATTCCTCCAAAAATAAACGCAAAAATACCAGTATCACGTGATGCAAAAACTTTGGATGACATTTGTGTTCCGAAAATTAAAGTTACCGACTCCAGAAGAAACACCATTTTCGAAGTCAAAGAAACTGACGACTTCTATGACAACGTGGCTGATCTTACGATGCACCCAGGACTCATAAGCTGTAAAAATATTGAAACTAACACGGTGGATGAAGAATATGTAAGCAAATCCCAAGCACTGCACGAATCAAATTGCTCCCAAGCTACTTCATTGAGTGAAAGTATCCCTTTAGGTGAAGAGATATTAGGAAATATTTCTGAAACGAAGAGAATTGATGATATTCCGCCCATAGAAATAGCAAGTTGCATCATACCTCCAGAAAATTTCATCCGCGCTGCTGAATTTAGTGACAAAAAAGGTACCACCATTGATGCTAGCGATTCAAAACAAGAATCAATTCCAGAAGATTTGAAAAATGATTCGCTAAACGACAAAGCTGAAAAATCAACTGAAGCTGCACATCGAAATGAAATTGATGTGAGTGCTGGTGAGGGTATCGACCGAGTTAATTTCGAGCACAGTCTAGAACAAGTGATCGGAGTGCTTCGTCCTCCACCGAAAGTTGGAAAAAACGAAGAAAAATTAATGTCTGGGACATTGAACCTCAACGCAGAAATGGTATCAGCGCTGCCTAGTCATGAAAAATCTACAAATTCTGCTTCTCTCTCTTCAGACGGAAGAACTCCATCATGTAAACACGTCATCAACCAAAGTGCTGCTGACAATCTTCCTGTTGATATTAATTCGCTGACATCTGATGAAAAATCTCAGAGTGAAGATTCTAAAATTAAGCCAATAAATACGGAAAAAACTGAATCCTGTAATGATTTCATGTCTTGTAAAAATAGCCAAAGCGAAGGCGCAGGTGAGTTTATAAATGAAGAGGATAAAAATAACCCAACTATTAAACATGAAGCAGAAACACCTGTACCTGAAAATTATCCTGAAAAGTCCAAAGACGAATCGATACCTGATATCGGAGACGGTGGTTGCGAGGCATTTGGTAAATTGACGGATAAAATATCAGAAGATAAAATTGATCAGTGGAATTCTAGTCACATAAGCGAAGCACTGATAGAAGAAGAAGAAATGATCAGCGTACTACGTCCTCCACCCAAGGTGAAGTGTGTATTACATTCTGCTGTTCAAGAGCCTGTTCCCCCGGCCAAAGAGGCTTCTGCCATACAATCTTGTTCATTAGACAACCCAGAAGATGTTTGTGATGCAATTAACAGCCCAAGTGAGACAAGGTATCCATACAGTACGATAATCAGTTCTAATACCTCTACGTGTGTTATAAATGATGATCTTTTGGTGCCGGCTTATGAAAACAGGCAGGACAAAGACGCTGAAATTGAAACAGCAGTGGTTGATCGCAACACTGCCGGCTGTTTGGCAGATCTGGATGAAAAAATCGGAATCGGTTCTTGCAAAGTATCAGCCGCATCTAATGGAATGAAAGTCGAAACCCCTACTGCTGATCGAGAAAACGATCCGTTGACACCTACTGAGGTGATTGCAATTAACTGTGTTCCTATACCTCCTTCTATGAAAAATATTTCTCACACTTCGGCTTGCGATGTACGGCCGACAACAATTCAGGATAATTACATTGACGATGATTATACGTTAAGAAGGTCAACTGAGGACAAGGAAGCAGAACGAAAAGAAGTTCAGGAAACTAATGAAGTTGTGCTAACAGAGGAACAGAGGCTGCAAGAAGAGGTTATCAGTGTGCTGCGTCCGCCTCCAAAACCTAGTAAAGGGTCGACATCTTACTTGCAGTTCCGCTCCGTTGCAGGAATTGATTCTCCTCTTGTTTGTAAGGAGTCGCACCCATCAGTTTCAAACCTGACTGAAAATTATGAGCAAAAACCCATTGAAATAACTGTAACTGAAGTGGATTCTTCTGAAGGGCGTAGTGCCTGCCATGGTGATAATTTGAAACTGGACGGACGTTTTTCTTACGATTGTTCCTCAGAAAAACTACAATCATCCACAACTACTAGGAGCGTTTCTTGCTCTATATCATCGAGTGAAAGATTTACAATCAATACAGATGAAACCGCGTCAATCAACAACGTTCCGGAAGCACATATGGAAGAAATCAAACCATTTGCCCGTGATTCTGACGACTTTTTCGACTATTTTCAAGACTTCACTCCTGACGAAAATTGTTCTGCATCCAATGTTTGTCTTGGGGAATGTCGCCCGCCGTGCTCGGAATGCCACGAATCAGCCACTGATAAAGATGCCACGTCTGCCGTTACCTTAATCCGTGACAACATTGAAAACAAAGGTGTCAGTTTGAACGACAAAGAAAGAATAGAATACAATGTGAGTAATGATAACGAAACTGATGCAATTACTTCGGAAATTTCCGCTGTTTCCGCATGTGATCTGAACGCCCTCAATAATAAGCTTTCGAGCGAGGAGGAAGAAATGATAAGTGTCCTTCGTCCACCTCCGAAAGTGTGCCAGGGTCAGTTTGACGCGCCACAGATCGGTGGGCAAACGGAAACAAATGAAAAACTTCATCAATCACCTTGCTGTGTTACAAAAAGTCCGGAAAATACCAACTGTGTTACTGAGACTGAAAAATCAAACGAAAGTACCACCTTGATCACAGAAACCGTAACTTCCGCTACTGAATTAGCAACAGCGTTAGTATCTGCCTCTGAAAAAACAAAGCTAGAAGATTCTACTGGAGTGGACGTAAATCGCTGTACGGTTAACAATTTGGGGCTTGATAACTATAAGTCAAACACTGACAATGAAGACGTAATTCCAACGCCAATTGATGCTTGTGCGCTTATCCACTCAACGTCAGAAAGGACGAATTTGAATCCTGACCATGTACCTGGCCCACCCTCAAAACATGTTGGCACAGCGCAGACTCATTCAATGCATGTCGCTGCTAAGCCCAGGGAGGTCAGGGAACTCACTGCAAACTTTGGAGCAAATTATTTCACCATTCCTAGTACTGGAACTAGGCGACGTTTTTCAGTGAACAAAGTTTCTTACTACTCTAATATTATGAGTTCTGCTAAACCATTTCGCACCGTCGTCGATGTACCTTCCAAGTCTCCGAACACTGAAAAAGAGAAAACGGGTCCTAAAATACTCAAGATTCTTAAAAAACGGAACTCTGATACCGCTCTATTCGTTGCAAGAAAGAAAACACTGAGTCCTACGAACTCCGTTCATGAATCTACTGGTGAATGCTCAACTAGTAACAAACCATTTCTTAGATCTCAATCTGATAATGCATTTTCAAGTCCTCATTTGGTTCCTAACTCACCAGTGGAATTCTATAATGTCTCCCAACTGCGGTGGAAGGCTGCTTTAGAGAAGCTGAAAACTCTAAAATCTCTCCCAGAGTCACCCTGCACCGACGCTGAAGAGGCCACACGTTTGGCTAGTGTTTCAGAAATTGATATGTCCCCTCAAGAGTCTACTCTCACGAAAGTTGAAGAGCCGTTTCTTACGACAGTTGTCACGGAAGTACAAGCGGCTCTATTTGAGACTCCTGTCGCAAAATTTAAAGAGCCACTTCATGAAATAACTGTCAAGGAAGTTGAAGCGCCGCTTCTTGAGACTAATGTCACTAAAGTTGAAGAGCCAATTCATGAGACAACTATCCCGAAAAATGAAGCGCCGCGTCTTGAGACTACTGTCACTAAAGTAGAAGAGCCATTTCATGAAACTACTGTCACGAAAGTTGAAGCGCCGCTTCTTGAGACTACTGTCCCTAAAGTTCAAGAGGCATTTCTTAAGACTGATGACGCGGAAGTTGAAGAACCATTTTTAGAGACATGTGTTAAAATACCCAGCGTCACCGGACTAAGCCCGTCTACTTCACCTGACGCAGCAAAATTTCTTATCAAATTTATTGATCTTAGTCCTAAACCAACAAATAAGCCAGGTACCCCTGAAAAAGTGGCAAAAACTTCCACTAAGCCAATTTCCTTGTCGCACGAGCATCTTTTAGATCAATATGATGAATTTGACCAAGTCTTTCAGAAACCTGATCCTCATCTGCCTGCGTACTGCCATGCGCGTAAAGCACTTTTTCCGAACGTCTCGACTTCGGATATGGCCAACCTAGAACGTTACGATTCGAACTACTCTCCAAGATCTCTGGCTCTTGGGAAACCTACTATTGTTTTGCAAACATGGCGTGAAAGACAACACCTTCCTGATGACTGCGTACGTTCTGCTCGATCGACGTCGGATCTTACGGAACTCTTTTCCGATAAGCTCGAAACACCTCGGGTATCCGTGTCCGTCGGTCGCAGTGCATCATTTGCACCAATGTCTAAAAAGGGTAATACATTAATTTGTTTTTAGAAGTTTTCTTATTTGTCATAAACGCAAGTCAACTCGCATGTCGTTCTTTTTTTATTAAAACGGCGCATGTGCTATTCGGTAATGCCGGACAAAGTTGTATTTCAAGATTATTCCAACTGCGTTTCAATATTTCAACTGTGTTCCTTGACTTTTAATGCCAATGTCATTCCTAAAACTGGGATCGTGATTCTTGCTTATAATGTAGCGGTTCAGTTCACGCTGTCGAATTTACCCTGCAACTAAGTCAAATGCGTAGACCCGCTGTTGAACATCCCTTATAGTCTACCATTTTCTGGTCGCTTCTGCATCAAGAAATGGTTGATGCAGTGATTTTAATGAGATTATTTAGGAGATGAAATTTACTGAAAACTTTAAAGTTTAAAGTGTTCAATCTAGCGTGATACTAACATGGGCCACTGAACATTATTTGAACGTTGGTTACTCAAAATACTCGCCGTAGAATTTTCTCGGCAATTTTAGAAATGGAGTCAGTTGCAATAGTACGTGTTATAAATTCAATGGCGAATTTTTTTCATGACCAGACACTCCTTCACCGAGCACACCCATCGACCAGTACAAAGACGACACTAGCGACAGACATCAGCTGAGGCACGAGGAGCGTGTGCAGAAGGACCGCAGCATCGACGTATATCCCGAAACTCTTCGACAACGACAACGCAGCATGGCCCCTTCTCCCAGCAAAGTAAGGAATCGGATTCATTTTGAATGTTTGCTGAAGAAGTTTATAAGCGTGCGATATTATATTATAGGCAGGGTGAAATGAAGGGTATCTGATTTAATTTTTTTTATTTTGGCTGTGTGGAGTTGTTTCCCGTATTCAACGATAACTTTCCCTGTTATTGCACTGGACGGGCAGCCGTATTACGTCTTCTTGATGATGGATGCTCTGAAGCCGTGATGGTGCTCATTCGATTACGGTCAACTATCATGATGCTATTTCTCTGCTACATGATGTTATCATCGTTATTTTCAGATTCATGACATCAGGATGTTCAATTTTAGAATCATCTTAGAGCTTGTACTCCGTTTGATTTTAGTTTTCTAATAATGGAATTTTCTTTTACATCAGGTTGACATAAAGAACTGGAATCAAAATGACCTTCCGGTTCGAGAACCTACGTCGCCATCAAGTGGTAAGAAATTTCTTCCTTCTGTAAAAGCTTTGCGAAGCCAGTTCGAAACCGGCAAGGCCGGTAACAGCGGTTCAAGCAATGGCTCCATTTCCCCCGTTTCAACCTTCTCGAACTCGAGCAACGGAAGCGGAGCGACACACCATAGAGCGTCGAGCCGCAACGATTCCGTAACGATGCTGACCCGTAAGCCTTCGGGATCGTCTCTGGCAAGTTCTTCTCTGGAGAAATCGAGCAGCAACACAAGCCTGAACTCGGCTCCCAGTTCGGAGAACCTGCTTGACGGCGAGCACAACAGCGGCCCCGTGGAGCCAATCTTCTGCCAGTTTCAGAAGGTTGACGAGGAACTCCGGGAGCTCATGAGTAGACCGACGTCTACATCAGGATGGGACCCTGTGAGTTTGATCTCAATAAAATTAAATTTTTAATTCATTTCAGTACGAGTCCGATTTAATAATTCAATTTGTTTTCTTCTTGATTAGTTAACAGTTGTGAACCTGTCATTATTTGTGATCATATTTGTTTCTCTCAATCTGCAAAAGATTAAATCTAATTTAGCCACGCGACTCGAATTTAGCCCCTTTTTTCAGCACTTCCTTCTAGTTTTTCAACTTTGTTTACCTTACGAAGAAATCTTGCACAGCTGTGGTAGTTCTACTATCACTATTGTCTGAAAACTTCGATAGCTTATTCTTCGCCCAAGATTTTTTTATCAAGAACGATTTCATCAACGAACAAATATTGTTAGCACTCTATGTTGACAGAAGCTATTTTTAATCCATTTGTACTTGTAACTGCAGCGGCTGATCTTGAAGCGCTTGTACTTCATACCTGAGATGCCGAGGACGCACTCCAAGGGCCACAGCTACACGAATATTGAAGGATTCTTAGAGAAGCTGCCTTCAGGCCGAAAGAAGGCCACCTTCTGGAATGCTTGGAAGAAACGATATTTCGTCGCTAAGGATGGTGTTCTATGCTACTACCAGGTATGCTCTCGAGTAGACATTTTCCGAGGCTTCAATTCAATGCTCATTCGAATAATGTTTGGACTTATTCTTGATGGCTGTGAATTATTCCTGAAAGCAGAGCTGTAAAAATTAAAATTGGATTAATTAATCATTGAACCAATATTGACAAACTTTTTCAATAAAAGATATTGCTGATTGTAAAAGGTTTATATGACAATTTTTATAATGTATGCACGTATATACGCAATTATTATTTTTCATTAATTCTAATTGTGTTATAAAAGAACTCAGAATGATCGTTGGAGTTGTCATTATTTCTTGTTACTCTTTGGTTTGTGTATAAAAATGAACGCGTTGACGGTAGAAGAACATCTGTATATTGCGGCTAAATAAATGTGCGTCTGTATCATACGAAACAATCTGTCAACATAATGAATTCTGCTAAATTTTGTCTTCAAATCAACCCCTTCAAGTTTCAGTTGGAGTCCTCTAACGTATACGCTTACATGTTTACAGCGTAGCTTAAATCGAGAAACTCTTTAGTGAATAATTCTAAAAACGTCTATTTATTATTATTTTCTCTCGTAAATATCCTCAATAATAGGCTATTTATTTCAATTTACTGCTAGTTCATTCTTTCCCAATGAGAGCTCTTCATGACATTCGTCTGCTAGCAATTTTCCCGCGAGTTTTGAATGAAGTTCGTTTTTAAAACAGAACTCACAATGCGACAAGCCAAGTCTCCGCCTAACTCTCATGGGGGGCAAAGTCGAAACGATGGAAGCAAACATGGTCGGAGTCGACGATGGGGTAAGCAAAAACTATCAAGTTCAAACTTGCTGTCTTCGTTTTCACTTTCTTTACAAATAATGTTGATTGGTTATCTACTGTTCCTTTTACCAAGGTTTATTGTTCTTCTCTATTTTTGCCAGCAACTAACGTCAGTTGTAATGGTCCTCAAATGTAGTGAACAGCTCATTATAACAAAATCAATTCGCTGTCTGTGAAGAGGTGCATATCAAAATATGTCCATATTCTGAAGCTCTGAAAACAACGGAGATATGGACATGAATTGAGACTTGTACAATTCAAAGATGATAATATATCCTATGGCAAGGTTTTAGATACATAGGTTCTAGATGATATTCTTCATAACTCTATCTATTATTGTTTCTACGGTTTCAATAACGCTGACTATTTATCAACTTAACGGTTAAATTTGTATCTAATCTACTTCTGCGCTGGGTAGCTATTTTCTGTGTGTAAAGATAGTTTCGGCATTAGAATGTAGCAAATTTCAATATTGGTTACTCCTCCCCCCTCCAATAGACTAACATTGTAAGTTATTTCCTTATTGAACAAATTTTCACTATTTCATTATGGTTATTGAAATTCGATACGTATAATCTAGCTTCACGCTTGTAATAAATTCCTATTCCCGGTATCGGAGAATTATTACCTTTTGTAAACAAAGTTTTATTCTCCAACTATGGGACATGATAGTCATTAATCACGGTAAATATGCAGCTACTGACTGTATGCTTGTGTCCGCGCACTGATTATTTGTCATTTTTAGAACTGACACTTTTCACATTAATGATACATTATCATTACTTGTAGTGCCGTGTCATTCTCAGTACCTTGAGGTTAGGCGGATCTGTCCTTCATGCAACCCAAGTTTTTCTGGGACTCCGGTGCCCATTCTTGAGTTATATCGGTCCTTCTTTTCCTGACAACACAGTATTGATAACAATTTCGATCATTTAATGGATAAGACTACAGTACATAGCATTATCTCCAAGTATTTTCATTATTACTCTGTATTCAAAATAAACTTTCGTCTATTCTCTTTATTTATTCCGGTTTCGAGGAATTACTTTAAGTTCGGTCAGACCAGACCTTCGGTCTTGCAACAATTTTTTTTTTCTAAAATTCCTGCACCGCAAGCAACAAAATTTCTGTTAAAAGTTCCCCTCTAACTTGGGTTTTGCGGTCTTCCTTGAACTAACCTCTCCCCTCCGCATGTCTTCGCAGCCTCTAACGCCAGAGGACAATGCTGCCAGAATCCTCAGCGCCGACGATGGGGTTAGTTTTTGGCTTGGTGTTCAGAGTACAGGACAGGAAATTATTTGAAAAATTGGATCATTTTTCTCATGATTGTGATCAATGGTGGGAGCTAGCATATTTTATAAATTTGTTCCAAACTGATGATGAAATCATTTGCTTGCATACCTGTATTCAGTAAGATCTGTTCTTGCAACGCAATTTCATTTTTGATACATAATATCAATTACTATCACTAATTTCCTATCACCATCGTATACAGAAGGGGCACTACGTAGTTATGCGCTGCAGTTCAAGAAGCGAGGCTGAGCGCTGGCGTAAGGCTCTTGAGACTCACCTGGTCGAGGACTTCGCCAGTCAGTACGTGCAACCTCATCCCATGACGACCAACCCCACACTGCTGCGTGACACGCTCATCATCGACATCGGGTCGTGCAGCGTGCGTGCTGGCGTGCTAGCTTCACAGGCGACGCTTCCTCAGGTCAGCTTCTCTGATAAAGCGTGGCGACGAGTGTCGCAGCAGCCATGACGCAACGGGCACATTTTGGGAATTTATTTAAAAAATGCATTTCGAAGCGGAAATTACTCATTAAAACCCTTTGCCAAAGGGAAGGAGCATTTATGTGTACTTGTTTCTAAATATATATTTTTATTTAGCAAATTATTTTACATTTTTCTAATATTGAGAATATGTTGAATTTGTCATTTTCCTGGAGAATTTCTACATTAAATGAGCCATCACAATAGTTTTCATCTCTATTGGCATCGTTTGCTCTATTCACTCGTTGTGTCGTTTCTGTACCAATTTTATTGTATTAATTGCGTGCAGATTTTCTTCCCCACGGTGCTGGCCACTGACCGGGAGAGCAGACGGCAGATCTGGGGCGCTGAAGCCCTCAGCCCCGAAGTGCGATCTTCATCGAGCCTGTCGTTCCCCATCAGGCCATCACACAGGATATCTAAGGTCGGTGTTGCCATCACAACCGCCATCACTTGCAGCAATATGCATGCCTCAACATACCATTTTTACATGGAATAATCATTTCCTTTCCCATCTTACAATTGCAAAGTTTCGGCGATGTTTTTTCACTCAATTGTGTTGCTTACTTTCCAAAAAAATTTACTGGTAGGTACCAATCTTAAACTAATTCTACCTGTGGTACAAGGAACAATATATTTTTAGAATGTGAAATACATACTTATTAACCTTATTATATACCCTTACTATATCAAATACATATTTTTACCATGTCAAACGCAATTTAATACACCTATGATTTAAAGAACTCTTTGCCATATTTTGCAATAACTATTTCATTATATTCCAGCATCAAAATGAAGTTATTCATGTACTGTATTTCTATACTGAAATCCTGCAAATCACTCGTTTCTACTTTTCCAGCATCAAAATGAAGTTATTCATGTATTTCTATACTGAAATCCTGCAAATCACTCGTTTCTACTTAACCAAATATCACTGCACTGTTTTGAAGAAATATGACCGAATCCTCTCCGAATATGACCGAATCCTCTCCCTACAGTACACTGTCGACTTGAATGCCGTGTCAAGTTTGCTCTCAAAAGTTTTCTCCGAGCTCAAAGTTGACGCCCGGAACTACAACCTTCAGATATCTGCGCCCAGAATCCTCAATCAGCACACACAGTCTGAGCTCATCAAGATCCTCTTCGAAAAGTACGGCATCCATGCGTGCTTTGTTTCTGATATATCCATTGTTTCTCAAGAGAATTGCTGGACTGATATTAACATCTGCAAGTTTCATAATCGTTACGTAGAGAACATTTTATATCATCTTCCCTTTTGAAAACTCGGCATTATAAATTGACATTTACTATTCAATTTATGTGGTTTTTACTATGAACTTTATGTGGTTATTGCAATAAACTTAGGTTGTAGCTAAAAACTTACTAATTTACGGCGTTAAGGTTCGGGGTGAAGGGCGTGAACATCACCCACCAGTCCATCCTGGCGCTGTACGCGTACAACGCCACGTCCGGCATCGTCGTCGACATCGGCGAGCGCATGGACATCGTGCCCGTTACTGACGGTCAGTGTGCCCGTTACTGACGGTCAGTGTGCCCGTTACTGACGGTCAGTGTGCCCGTTACTGACGGTCAGTGTGCCCGTTACTGATGGTCAGTGTGCACGTTGAAATCTTCCTGTTAGACGGCTTCTAAATTAATTAAATATTTGTTTATTGAATATTATTACCAAAACTCAAGTTCGATGGTCAAATCGATGTATGTGGTACAGATAAATTTGAAATTAAAATATCAACAGAATTCTTTCGCTTCTAAAAACCGCCTAATCACATTGGTTAAAGATCGAAAAACCTATTTTTTTCCTGAAACCAAATCAAGATATAAAAGTTTACATGCCTGCTCATACTTCTCCATGAAATCCATCGTAATTTCTTTGGTAACGCAGGCTACATCATCGAGGGCGGCGTATCGCGCGTGCCGTATGGCGGCCACCGCATCCTGGACCACATACGTCAGTTACGATCATTACGATATAACGGCGAACTCTGCCTAAGCCTTCAATCTTAACAAGTAATCAAATTAATATCTGCCTGTAGCGCAGACTAGTAAATAATTGAGGTCCAAGATAAATGAGTGTCTTGAGAAAATCTTTATTACACGCAATAATGGCAAGAATTTAGTACCAAATGAATGTAACTAATCCTCCATCAAACAATGAACGGAGAAAGCGCATCTTCTATCTTTCAGTTCAGCAACAAGCAATCAAGAGTAAACTGTCAGGATTCAATGATACCTAATGATGAGTGATATGAATATGAATGAGTGACATGCATAATAAACTGCTTATTTTACACTTAAGTCTCCCTTAGTTTGAGCAAGGCAATGTTATGTCCTTTCACAAGGTCTTTTTCCTCTAATAACCAGAGAAATTTTATTTGAAATAGAGTTTCATCAAGTCACTGCAGTGTTTTATTCTGGTTCTAGTTATCATAGTTATAGCATTGAATTTAATTAAACTACTACTTTATAATGCTAATTTGGATGTTTAATGACATTCGTGTGTAATTTTTGGATCACTTAATCTATTTTATGTTAAAATCGGACATTGTCGGGGCGCTGGTGCTGATTAAGTCACTGCAATGTTTTATTCTGGTTCAAGTTATCATAGTTGAAGCATTGTATTTAAATAAACTACTACCTTATAATGCTAATTTGGATGTTTAATGACATTAATGTGTAATTTTTGGATCACTCAATCATAGTATGTTAATATCGGTCGTTTTCGGGGCACAGGTGCTGGAAAATGCGTGCTACTGCGCGCTGCATTACAACACGGAAAAGGCGCGCTGCACCAGCAACCCCGAGGCGTTCGAGAAGTCCGTCCCGCTGAGGGAATTCTTCCCCGGCCCTACACCAGCTCCATACGAGTGAGTCGAGCTTGACTATATCATGGTAATATTGGTACACTCAGAGTAATAAAGAGACTTTGTCCAAATAGCGATTCATTTCTCGCCCTGGTGTGGGTCATCCTGACCTACTTCTACCCAGAAAAATGAGGTATCAGTTCTACCTGGCGAAAGTGTGTCTCTATTTAGACAACATGACCCATTCAATTTTTCGAGTGTCCTTGTTTGGGACGTGGCAGTCCCAGGCCATGATGGATCGCCGCCCTATATATTATAATCGCCTATCTTTTAGAATAGAATAGAATAGAAGCGTCCGCACTGAAGAAATAGGCCCATGGCCTGTTGTATAATCTTTTGAGTTGAGTTGGGCATTTGTCTTGCCTTTTCATTGGTTTTGAAGTTCTAAGTTGTTTTAATCGTCGCTTTTACAAAATTCCTGAGAAACAAGAGTTTTCTTTTATACTTGAAGTTTGATAGGGAATTCTTGTTCACTGATTTTGTTCCAACATTGATTTCGTTTGAAATACGTTATTTTCTGAAAAATAGAACACAATTTAAACTTTATTTCCATCAAATATCATCAAAGTTTTACTCTGAAATTTTGTGCCATGCTCTATTTTAACTCAATTAATAAGGGACCAAATAAATTAATCGTTGTCGTGCAGGAGTGTAGAGTTGGATTTCGGAAGGTTCCAGGCGACCGAAGGGCTCTTCAACCCTGACGCCTGGGGCCTCGACCATCCTGGTCTTCACAAGCTCGTCCACAAGGCCATTTTGGTGAGCCGCGATCATGCTAATTTTGGATAAATATTCTATCTTTATAACTAACAGACGTCGGCTTTTATTTTGCCAGATTACAGGAATGTAAGTGCTTAGTTTTTTCAGCAAAATTCAAATATATGAATTTCTCTTGTACACAATTAGAATGCCTTGGGCGTGCATTTTAGTCTTTCCACAAAAAGTTTTCCTATTGTCTTAACTTCCAATTTAGATATATAAACTGGCTAAATTATTATAGATCACTATTGAAACATGCAATTTACTTTCATTCATCTTCATAAAGTAGCATAACTTTGTGCGTAGGAATGTTCGATGGACATCCGCAAGGAGATGAGCCGCAGCATCTTCCTGGCGGGCGGCGTGACGCAGCTGCCCGGCCTCGCTGACCGCCTCACCGCAGAGCTCGACAACCTCACGCCACCTGCCATCAGGCCCAAGGTCGGCGCTTATTCCCTTCAATATTGCTTTAAAAATCAATGTTCCCATTGTACCGGTGCAATTCTATGAATAGAAATGTCTGCACTTACTTACTTCTCGCTCAGACCCAAGGTCGGCCCTTATTCCCTTCAATATTACTTTAAAAATCAATGTTTCCATTGTTACGGTGCAATTATATGAATAGAAATGTCTGCGCTTACTTACTTCTCGCTCAGGCCCAAGGTCGGCCCTTATTCCCTTCAATATTACTTTAAAAATCAATTTTTCCACTGTTCCGGTGCAATTATATGAATAGAAATGTCTGCGCTTACTTACTTCTCACTTTTGCAGTGAAAAATATGAGTCAATTATTTCAATGTTATTGTGTCTCAAGGACATCGAAATTTCCGTCAATTTGTTTCGAAATGCTAAATTTTTTATACTACTCTCCGCTTCATATCACTAGATTTCACAATCTAACTTTTATTATCTAAACGTTCTTTGTCCATCCAACCTGGATATTAATGTTTCATGTAGGTCTGTCTTAGTCTTTAATTCTACCTTATTCTACCTTTCGGTTGCCAGGTTCACGTGTCCCCCTACCGCTACCACGCGGCGTTCATCGGCGCCTGCACGTTGGCAGAGTCGCCGGCGTTCACGCAGAGTCTCGTCACCAAAGAAAACTGGATGAAGAACGGCAACGCTGCGCTCAGGAAATGGACTCTGTAAAATACGTAAATTTACTGCAACGTCGACTGTAAATGTGGTGTTTTAATACAGAAAAATGTGTGGATGTCAAGAAATAATGAAGATATTAATGGGGAGTTTACTTTTTTGTTGGTAATGTGAATTTGTGTAGAGGTAGATCATATTTTGGTTAAAGCTAATCCGAGTTGAAGCTTCAGTTAATAAAATTAATACATTCTACTGCAATAACGATGAGTCTATTCGCTGTGCAATGACTGCTTGATATTTGCACTTAGATCAATTTTGTCTCCCTTCGATTTAGTAGTTGTTTTCTCGTGGCCTTCATTACACAAGATTCGTTTATACTGCATACGTATCAATTAAACGTATCTAACTAATCAAGTGAGTTGAAGCTGAACCTAATTTTAAAGTTATCCGTTATTTGCAGATTTATATTAGGAAAAAATAGTCAATTAATAGCTGATTTTATACACCTTTTTATTGTTACAACATAACGAGATATTTCTAGCCAAGTAGTCAAAAATCTAGCTACAAATTTATTATTTTTATGTGTCTTTTATTGGTAAAATTATTTATTTGGTTGAATTTATATTCTGTTTAACTATTCCTTCGCTTTTTCCCATTTCTGCTATCTAATTTAATGCTTCGATTTCTGTCATTGAATTATGCTTATTTGTTCTATCTGTGTATATATGAATTACCTACGTAACACACATGGAGCTGATTGATATATTAGATTTCTGGCTATTTCCTGCCATCACCGTGTTCCTCGTTTATTAGGTATTAAATTTGTGTTGAAAATGTTTGAGTTTTAATGTTTATTACTAAGTCTGAACTCGAAACATTTATGCCAACTTGATATTTGTCTACCGTAGCAGTTGAAACACAATTTTATGAACATTGTCCACTAACTTGCGTAAGATTACCTACCAATTTTTAGAGTAAATAAAAAGGATTTGAAGTAGTTAGGGTCTTATGAGATTAATTCCCAGCGAACGCACAACCCGTGATAGCTTCACGAGCTTCTTTCATTGTAGATGTTTGGGTTTCGTTGCTGAAGTTCGCTCTTTTCTTAATCCAGTGAACTCTGTATACTCGTCATTATCACGTGTATTTCTAGAACGCTCCGTTTGAAGAATGAACCACGACGATGATGTGGTTCGAGTTGTCTTAATTAATGCATTTCGGATATTATGTTATCATAGGGACCCGTTAGTTGCAATATTTAATTGCTATTTCACCATATAGTTTTTATTTGTTGCTGTTCGCTTGTTTCAAGCCTACCCTGCATAAACCCCTTCTATGCATTGCACTGCTTAGCGCTTTTGTACATCTCCTATCATCAAGTCTAGATTCGTAATCTTGTGAACGATTTTACTTTGAAGTTTTATGGTATTACGCCTAATATAAGAATTGTTCTAAGTAAAGGAAGACTCAATTATGCCATACTCTTTTTTTAACCTTAATTTGCAAAAACGATTATGATCCGCGATCATAATCGTTTACGTGATTTCAGTTTTAATTTTGCAAGGAAATTTTTGATCCTCTTGTGAATTTTCCCTTTCGTGCAAGGATTTCGACGAGACGAAACATTTGCTTTCATCATTATTGAACCCATAATTTTGATACAACAACCAAAGGAAATTTTTTATTGTATTGTCTCTAATAGTGTGGCTCGAAGTGTCTCATGGCAGAGCAACAATATTTTTTGTTTAAGAAAGAAGTGCGTAAAAAAGCGGCTGGAAATGGAAATTCAGGGATTTTAACTGCTGATTTATAACATATTTTCAAATCAATGCGGATTTGATGACAGTCAGCTGTGGCTAAATTTTTCAAAGCTCCTTTCTATAGTGAGGAAAGGGCAGTTTCCAGTTTTCCTCTAGTAGGTAATTGATCCCTTTTCTTCTCAAGTCACTTTTTTCAGAGCATTTTGCACTGTAACATTGATCTTCAGTACTCATTTCGATTCTATTTTATAAACCCTGTTGGCAATATGGGCAGTGTTTAATCTTTCTGAAAAGCGGTCTGTGGGAAGTTCGGAGTGAGAGCAAACCACGTGACCAAATGGTGGGAACCTTGACATTGGTTTCTGAATGTTGATATGTTATGGCAGTTATAACTGTTTCATAATGCGTGACGTCAGTTAATAACCGTCAATAGTTTCATATTGAATCATGCCGTGAGTGACACATGATTTTGGGACATTACTTAAGATTATCAAAACTGATGTTTAACCACTAACACAGATTCACGCGAGACGAGCAGCAAATGCTATCACGTCATCGGGCGGTTGTCGTCATATATTGCTTAAGCAGATTCGCTTGTTTCAAGCCTACCTTGCTTAAACACGTTTAATCAGCTTTATACGTAAATCCATACCTTTGATCAGCTTCATCGTCTTACGTATTGGAACCGAACAGATTGTTCGAGAATAATGTGTAATCAATATGGGTGAAAATATACAATCGGAATCTAAGGAGTACCTTTGATTGGCTTACAGAAAATATTGATGAACTTTTGAAATGATTTATGAAGTGCTGGGTATTGTGCACTCCCACAGAGAAAAATATACCAATTTCTAGCCGACCTAGTCGACGGCTTCATGAGCAAGTTCACCACCGAGCTATGGACTGTAACTTAAACGTCATTCGGTGAGTACTGCAATTTTGCCCAGTTTATTTTTGAAGATAATTGAAAATTTTAAACACCAGAAAAACTGTGAATCTCTTTTTAAAATTTAACCTCGGTTGTGCGATGATTCATGACAGCATGGATGTAGGAAAATACATGCGAAATGAATGGGGCGCTCTTTTTCGNACTCACCTGGTCGAGGACTTCGCCAGTCAGTACGTGCAACCTCATCCCATGACGACCAACCCCACACTGCTGCGTGACACGCTCATCATCGACATCGGGTCGTGCAGCGTGCGTGCTGGCGTGCTAGCTTCACAGGCGACGCTTCCTCAGGTCAGCTTCTCTGATAAAGCGTGGCGACGAGTGTCGCAGCAGCCATGACGCAACGGGCACATTTTGGGAATTTATTTAAAAAATGCATTTCGAAGCGGAAATTACTCATTAAAACCCTTTGCCAAAGGGAAGGAGCATTTATGTGTACTTGTTTCTAAATATATATTTTTATTTAGCAAATTATTTTACATTTTTCTAATATTGAGAATATGTTGAATTTGTCATTTTCCTGGAGAATTTCTACATTAAATGAGCCATCACAATAGTTTTCATCTCTATTGGCATCGTTTGCTCTATTCACTCGTGTTGTTTCTGTAGCAATTTTATTCTGTTGATCGCGTGCAGATTTTCTTCCCCACGGTGCTGGCCACTGACCGGGAGAGCAGACGGCAGATCTGGGGAGCTGAAGCCCTCAGCCCCGAAGTGCGATCTTCATCAAGCCTGTCGTTCCCCATCAGGCCATCGCACAGGATATCTAAGGTCGGTGTTGCCATCACAACCGCCATCACTTGCAGCAATATGCATGCCTCAACATACCATTTTTACATGGAATAATCATTTCCTTTCCCATCTTACAATTGCAAAGTTTCGGCGATGTTTTTTCACTCAATTGTGTTGCTTACTTTCCAAAAAAATTTACTGGTAGGTACCAATCTTAAACTAATTCTACCTGTGGTACAAGGAACAATATATTTTTAGAATGTGAAATACATACTTATTAACCTTATTATATACCCTTACTATATCAAATACATATTTTTACCATGTCAAACGCAATTTAATACACCTATGATTTAAAGAACTCTTTGCCATATTTTGCAATAACTATTTCATTATATTCCAGCATCAAAATGAAGTTATTCATGTACTGTATTTCTATACTGAAATCCTGCAAATCACTCGTTTCTACTTTTCCAGCATCAAAATGAAGTTATTCATGTATTTCTATACTGAAATCCTGCAAATCACTCGTTTCTACTTAACCAAATATCACTGCACTGTTTTGAAGAAATATGACCGAATCCTCTCCGAATATGACCGAATCCTCTCCCTACAGTACACTGTCGACTTGAATGCCGTGTCAAGTTTGCTCTCAAAAGTTTTCTCCGAGCTCAAAGTTGACGCCCGGAACTACAACCTTCAGATATCTGCGCCCAGAATCCTCAATCAGCACACACAGTCTGAGCTCATCAAGATCCTCTTCGAAAAGTACGGCATCCATGCGTGCTTTGTTTCTGATATATCAATTGTTCCTCAAGAGAATTGCTGGACTGGTATTAACATGCGCAAGTTTCATAATCGTTACGTAGAGAACATTTTATATCATCTTCCCTTTTGAAAACTCGGCATTATAAATTGACATTTACTATTCAATTTATGTGGTTTTTACTATGAACTTTATGTGGTTATTGCAATAAACTTAGGTTGTAGCTAAAAACTTACTAATTTACGGCGTTAAGGTTCGGGGTGAAGGGCGTGAACATCACCCACCAGTCCATCCTGGCGCTGTACGCGTACAACGCCACGTCCGGCATCGTCGTCCTGTCTCTTATACACATCTAGATGTGTATAAGAGACAGNTCCCAGCGAACGCACAACCCGTGATAGCTTCACGAGCTTCTTTCATTGTAGATGTTTGGGTTTCGTTGCTGAAGTTCGCTCTTTTCTTAATCCAGTGAACTCTGTATACTCGTCATTATCACGTGTATTTCTAGAACGCTCCGTTTGAAGAATGAACCACGACGATGATGTGGTTCGAGTTGTCTTAATTAATGCATTTCGGATATTATGTTATCATAGGGACCCGTTAGTTGCAATATTTAATTGCTATTTCACCATATAGTTTTTATTTGTTGCTGTTCGCTTGTTTCAAGCCTACCCTGCATAAACCCCTTCTATGCATTGCACTGCTTAGCGCTTTTGTACATCTCCTATCATCAAGTCTAGATTCGTAATCTTGTGAACGATTTTACTTTGAAGTTTTATGGTATTACGCCTAATATAAGAATTGTTCTAAGTAAAGGAAGACTCAATTATGCCATACTCTTTTTTTAACCTTAATTTGCAAAAACGATTATGATCCGCGATCATAATCGTTTACGTGATTTCAGTTTTAATTTTGCAAGGAAATTTTTGATCCTCTTGTGAATTTTCCCTTTCGTGCAAGGATTTCGACGAGACGAAACATTTGCTTTCATCATTATTGAACCCATAATTTTGATACAACAACCAAAGGAAATTTTTTATTGTATTGTCTCTAATAGTGTGGCTCGAAGTGTCTCATGGCAGAGCAACAATATTTTTTGTTTAAGAAAGAAGTGCGTAAAAAAGCGGCTGGAAATGGAAATTCAGGGATTTTAACTGCTGATTTATAACATATTTTCAAATCAATGCGGATTTGATGACAGTCAGCTGTGGCTAAATTTTTCAAAGCTCCTTTCTATAGTGAGGAAAGGGCAGTTTCCAGTTTTCCTCTAGTAGGTAATTGATCCCTTTTCTTCTCAATTAACTTTTGCAGAGCATTTTGCACTGTACCACTGTTCTTCAGTAGGTACTCATTTCGATTCTATTTAATAAACCCTTATGGGCAATGTGGGCAGTATTCAATCTTTCTGAAAAGCGGTCTGCGGGAAGTTGGGAGTGAGAGCAAACTACGCGACGAAATCTTTGAAACCTTGACATTGGTTGTTGAATGTTGATATATGATGACAATTTTTAAGATGATCACAACTGATGTTTAACCATTACCACAAGTTCACGTGAGACGAGCAGCAAATGCTGCCGCGGCATCGACGATTTTCGTCAAATGTTGCTTAAGTGCTGAGATTTATGAAATATTGGGTATTGTGCACTCCCGCTGAAAAAAATATACCAATTTACCTAGCCGACGGCTTCATGAGAAAGTTCACCACCGAGCGATGAAAAATAACTAAAACGTTTTTCGGCAAGTACTGCAATTTTACCTAGTTTCAATTTCGAAGATAATTGAAAATTTTAATCACCAGAAAACTGTGAATCCTTATAAAGCTTAACCTCGGTTCTGCAATGATTCAATACAGCATGGATGTATGGAAATACGTGCGAAATGTATGGGACGCTCTTTTTCGGAAACCTTTGAAAATGATCGGAAAACACTTGGGCAAGTGTATACAACAAATGTATGAAAAATGGTAAGTTTCATAGTGTAGGTAGGTGTTTGTTTGAAGTCTTTATTCGACCCCAAGCCTGGTATTTTATTAAACCCTCAGCAGATCAGATACAGCGCTGACAGGTAAAATGCTGCATTTATGATGTAGCATTGTTCCAGCTTTTAATAATGGCTTTTCAGGAGAAAAAAGTGTTATGAACACCGTTCTGCAACAGCTCTTTGATTTGACGTACGGAAAAGTTTGTTGTTGTGAATATTCTATTTCCCTGTATTCTATTTCGGCAACGTATATTCATAGCGAAAAATCTACGTCATTTCTGTGATCTGCTTGATACTTAACTCGAAAAATTGAATGCTGGTTTTGCAACTCGAATAAAAATTTGCAATTGGATTTTAGCATGTAACTCGAATTAAAATTTTGCTCAGACCAAGATTGCGATCTATAGTTTAAAACAAAGTGGGGAGTGGGAGCGAGACGAAGTCTATCCCCGCCCAACTGAAGGGCGCGACATGCGACCCAGGCGGCGCGTGCTTATCACAACTCTGTTACAGACAACACCTGCTTGGCGAGGTGGAGTGCTGTCTGCTGCGGTGAACTTATCCAAGTATTAGGCGAAGAAGTTCCTATGCAATCTCTTCCTGTCCACGTGCACTCTTCCGATGGTGCACGTGGTTTCCAAATTTGCCTGCTTGTCTTGTTGAAACAAATTGTCGATCACTAAGTTTTTAATGTGATTTGTTGTTTGTAGAGGCTTCAATCTTAATTTCTAGGATCTGCCAGATGTCGAAGTTTGATTACTTACGTGATTGTTATGAGTAACATTTTCTTGCAATATGCATCGATGTTGGAGGTTACTTTGTTCATCAGTTCCCGTCGTTACTCAGTAATAGCTGACGCTGCATCGCGATTTATATTGATATCCGAGTGTAATTAAATTAAATTATATTTTACTAGACGTAATTGTTCGTCATTGTGTCATTGCCACATAGATTTCGAAAATACAATTACTTCCAAAACTCACCTATCCAGCTGAGATTTTTCCTCGCGTTCATCTTGGCTCTATTTTATCTACTATTCCCGCTAGTTTATATAGTCTCAAATTCAAAAATGAATCAACGTCGTCTTTCATTCAGGAAATTCACTTTTTACTCTGTATGAGATATCTGTTATCAGCGCAGTGATAATTTCATAAAGAATACATTGCTCCAATTTCTGGTTTAGCAACAACTTCGCATATGAAAAAGTTGATTGAAATTAAATTGTTATTTTTGTGGATGAAGGAAGCAAATGTCGCCGAATGACCATCCAGTTGCGCTGCAGAAGCGACTGTCAATGCTGCCAGATTCACCTTTATGAACCTTGTGGATCGTCTCGATGCACTCGACGGGTTAGTTCACCGTATATAAAATTTCTTAGCGTGCTTGAAAATATACACTAACTTCAATCAAATCTGCTTTTTAATCGTCGGAGACGCAAGTCCATTTTTCTTCTTAATTCCTCGTTTTCAGTGAGTAATCTGCATCCGGATATTGTAATCTCTGATATATTACTTCATTAATAATATGTCGAAACTTTTTGTGCGAGCCTTTGACCTCTTCAATCTCAGTTACATTCATTCATTATTGAATGATGTATAACCGAAGCCTAACCAAATGTAGTGAGGGTCAACTGATGGAGTTTTCTCCCCCTTCGCGTATCTTTCAGAGTAATATTAAATGATATTTCGAGTCTCACTTGCCCATTCCGGCCAATAATGTACCACTTCCATCGCTCTTGTTTTGAATTTTTGAACTTACGTATATGAGTATATTTTCGCTGCGATCAACAGCGTCACGCTCAGATCCAAGGCATTATAAACGGGATCGTTTTCATCTTGAAGTTGAAAATTATGAGAATTAGTGGATACCGATACATTTTCTGAATGATAACATTGGCCTAATCAAAAGCAAAGCCGACCGCGACTTCTACACCGCGACTCTGGCAGAGCCTCTGACAGCGCTGGCCGGCAGTACCTCCTCCTCATGGAGTACGAAGGATACCTCAACGATCAGCTATAACGGGTATCTATCGCACAAAATATTAGAGGGATGATGGCAATAACACGTAAGTCATACTCTTTTTGAGTCGTAGCGGAATGACAGCTTTTTAATATGGATTTTTTTTTTTGCTTGTTAACGAACTTGTCTTCTCCAAAGGTTATCAAAATCGTTGTTCGTTGTTAGTCTGGAGTGCACTTATAGTTGAGCACTCTTCTAAGGTTGAGGCAGAAAGAAAAAATGTTATTGTATCAATTGTTTAATAATTAATTTTATATGGCTTGCCCTGACTCAGTTTGATACCATGAACGCGATCGAGAAGGACGTTCTCGTGCTTCAATGCCTCTGCCTATACAGGCTCACGATTGAATTCTCCATCGCTAGGCAGAACAACATAACCTCCGAGAAGAGAAGAACTATTCAGTAATGTTAGCAGCACACATACCAGCAAAAAACATCCATCGTCATTCTTTCCCTAGACCACGAATGTCTTCATGTAAACTAGCATTATCGTATCTCTGTGCGATACAATTTTCAGCTGTGGCATATCCATAAAAACCTACTACAAATCTCGGTTTAATATTGGACTTAGATGCGACAATTGTTAGCCTGATACTAAGTTCAGCGAAGTTGTGCAGTTCAAAAAGACTCTTTGCATTCCCTATAACTGCAGGGAGAAAGTTCCGTGTTGCTTTTTCTTTTTTCGCGAATGCGATTGAAACATCGGTTCATTTTTTTTACTATTTTGAAGTTTTACATTTTTGCTAATTCACGCGACCATGGCACATCATTATTCTCATTTCCATTTTGTAAACTTTCTGTTGCATGAGGAGAGGTGTTATGATTCGTTTTAAAATATCCTGTACTCCATGTTAATTGATTAAAGCTATTATGCATTTATTTACACATTTGTTTGCGTCACATATGGACTGGCGGCATGTTATTGGAAACCATGCACTTTTCTAAGTGACTAGAGAGATTTTCTTTACCTAGAACCGAAGAAAATGGAATTTGCCACTATTTTTGCAACGTTAATGTCTGGAACTAAAGTGGGCAAAATTTTGATTCTCAAGGATTCATTGTAACCATCGTCACCTGAACAGTGGATAAGAAGGTGCCAAACTATATTTATGGTGTCAGAGTAGTAAAGCTGACAGCATTTAAAGTCTCTTTCGAATGTTGCACCTATAATGACACCATTTTTGTAAGCTGGTTCGTGATTTTTTACTTGTCATTTTATTTTTAAAAATTTTTTGGAACATTTTTCTGACATTTTAAGAATACGATTAAACATTTATGCATACTCTGAGAAACAAAACATATCTCGTACAGCACGCCAGAAAATTTCTCGATTATGCAGAGTAATGCATGTTTTTCTCGTCTACTCTGATAAGAGTTCAATCAGGGGCATAAACTATCAATAATATGTGGCGACAGCTGTTTGGGTTGACCTAGGGAATACCCGTACACTGTCTGCTCAAAAACAAAACCTCTAATATATTCATCAAGTGTCGCCGATGGGCTGCTAGTTGAAAACTTTTAAGCCTCACTTGAATTATTAAATGTCACTGATGATATCAAAGATAGTTTCATTCTCTTATGTGTGAAAAAATAAGCTAGCATTACGTAATTTACTCGTTATTCATCGCCACTAAACAGTGATCAGTCAGCCGATATCAGATTCTCGTGAAGAGAACGAGACATGTGCCTGACAGTCCTAGCTTATCATCTAAAAACAGACATCGGCCAACTTTGATGAAAGCTGTCAGCTGTCGCGTTGTTTCCTTAATAATGGAGGACGAAGTTGAATTGTCCGCTGTTCATGTCGGTCCGGAGTCGCTTGCTATAGTGAACTCTAGAACTCTTCATTTACCCTTGAATTGAAACAGGCAAGTTAAGGAAAATTATTTTAAATTGACGGTGGTGACGATTGGACATGGTTTACTTTTCAAATTTTTAAATTGCTGATGATGAAAGTCAATTATTGTTGTTGTGAACATTCATTTCAATGATATTCTTCAGCGATGCTTATATACGAATGCCAATATTGACTAATCCCCAAGAGTTAGCGCATTTCGTTTAAAATTTGCCCCCAATATCTAGACTTCGCACTATTTTCGAATTTTCGTGCGTATTTTGATATATTGTAATTTATGTTTTTTTATTCCTAGGCCCGGTTTGGTCTCTGAGGGTACAATGACTTCCAAGGCGTACGTCATTGCGTTGGCTTTTTTCTTCGCAATCATTTTAGTAAGATTTTTTGGGTCAAACAGTGAAAACACACATTGAACTAATCATGTTCATTGTCAAATCCAAGGATAAGTAATTTTCCTAACCAACCTTACATGAATAACCCTTCTCTGAGAAATGTAGTTCCAGCTTAAGCTCAGCCGTGAAATTGTTTTATGATAACTGACGTTTACAACATTTATTCTTCATATATATTTAATGAATGTAACAATTAATGTATTTTTCCTTTGTTCAGCGCGCTCAGTATCATGTTAAAATTTCTAATCAATTTTATTTAGGGAGCGACCGGTGCAAAATATCCAGCGGGGCGAGCTTCAAATAAGGCTGCCGACCTCAGACTGCCTACATCCATCAAACCAGTCAGGTTGGCCCATGTAAAGATTTTAAACTGAATAAAATGTCCTGAGAAATGTATTGAAATGTATTGAAAATGTATAAAGTGTATTGAAATCACCACACACCACTGATATCCATATCGAAGAAGCATTGTCAGTGATTAATATAAAGGAATGAGCCATCATGTTCATAATCGGATATGATTGCAAAATTTGTGGAAACTTTCTCAGAGATATTTTACAGGAAAAATTGTTTTATAATTTTTTCAATTAAAGTTGTATATATGATTTGCTGCATATATAGATTTCGTAAATTCTTTTGTTCATATCAATATTGAACAAGTAAATTGTCTATAAGCCATTTTGCTGAAATTTTAATTTAATTTGTTTATTATTCAACATCTAGTGAAATAGTTATGTACAATCTCATATTTTGATTCCAGTTATGTCTTACAACTCCAGCCGCTAATCAACGGCAACTTTTCAATTTATGGATACGTGGAAATCGTCATGGAGATTCTCGAGCCAACCAGCAACATCACCCTTCACATAAAAGACATCATAACCAAGAATGAAACTATACTGGTTAGTTAACACAACACGCATATATTTTCGCACCATTTCTGAGACTTCGTTGAAATTAAGTCTATTTAATCGCTTGCTTACTAATTTCATTATGTAGTGAACATGAAGTCTCGCATTTCATTATTTGAACATTTTTTCACTGAAAACACTGAATGCTCGTTCAGTTGTACTCAGGTAACAAGCCGAACGGTCAACCCATCCCAATCGTGGAGCACAGCTACGACGCAGACCGCGACTTCTACATCGCGACTCTGGCAGAGCCTCTGACAGCTGGCCGGCAGTACCTCCTCCTCATGGAGTACGAAGGATACCTCAACGACTTGCTAGTCGGCTTTTATCGCTCACAATATAAAAGGGATGACGGTACGGATGCGTAAGTAAAAAAAAAGTTTGTTCTGCGATGATGCGTTAAAGTTTGTTCTGCAAGTGGGAATGTGGATTATTTCAGTCAGCAAAATATTTCGAGATAAAAATGAGTGGTCATTCTGACGGATGACCGTTGTTGCTCGTCCTTCTTAATCAATTAAAACCTTATCTTATTCCTTCGATATTAACACACTCAATAGTATTTTCCGTGCCGACTCACTTAATTATTGTTATGTTACCTTATATGAAATCATGATTAATTTCAGGTGGCTCGCTGTGACTCAATTTGAATCTACGGACGCAAGACGCGCGTTCCCGTGCTTCGACGAGCCCGCCCTGAAAGCCACATTCGATGTTTCTATCGCCAGGCAGACCAACATGACCTCCATCTCCAACATGCCTCTTGTCGAGACCACTCCCTTGTGAGTGTTGAGTGAGGTGTAACGGATATCCAACTAGCCCGTTTCATATAAATGGGCTTTTCAGCAATACTTCTTTCTGTTTGGGATGAAAATATTGTTCGCATTGCGGGAGGCGATAAGAGGAATGGAACGCTAAAACAATGAAAGTATTCAAATCGTGTCATGACTTCACACGATAGCATGGACACTATTTTCAATTATTTATAAGAGTTATTGATAGTTATAGTTATAGATCTTAAGTATAAGATCCTAAAGGATCTCTATGAAACGTTTTTAACAAACTTTCAATCACGGGCTTCATAAATACTATTCGTATCCTGATTTACGAAGAGATCTGTTTCTTATTCCGCAACTAGAGAACTTAATGTATTTCTTTTTTTTTTTGTTCATCTCGCGTCCGGTCAAGATTTTAATTTGATTTAACTCCATCTTTGCATTTGCATCTACAGTGACGGCGATGCAGAGTGGGTGTGGGATCACTTCGCTACCAGCCTACCCATGTCCACCTACCTTGTTGCATTCGTAGTCTCAGATTTCACTTTCGTTAATTCCACCTACAACGACCACGTTCTTTTCAGAGGTGAGTCCTGGACAGAGAAGAAATTATATTAACAAATACGAGCAGGTTAGCCCGGTGTTGCCCGGGAAACAATGTCTGAAATTTTTTCAATCCCGAATCTCATCATTCCGAATCTCTATAATCAATAATTTCACCATCCAGAATCTTATCATAGCGTATCCTTCCATCCCGTACAGAGTTAATGATTTGAAATTAAAATACACTAATTACAGACTGTCCCGTTCAAACCTTGAATTGACACTCACAACGTCAAAATCGTTTTTGAATTTGTTATTGCCCCATTTTTATTACAATACTTCTCTTTAACTTCACTTCTTGTTTCCTAAAATCTTACAATAGATATTTAACACACTTCTACCTGTCTAATCGATCTGAAATTTTGCACACTTGCGTAAAGTCGAAGACACTGCACGAATCGATTGACAGAATAAATAATTTTGAACATTTAATTTTTATTAATCTTAAAAAAAATATTTAAAATAATTTTTTAATAAAATTAGAAATTCATTGTACATGTGTAAGTGTAATATCGGAGACACTGCATTCTTTAGAAGTGTTGTCTTTAAAAGGTAATGTTTAAACGCATATTATTACAAACTTCTCTTTAACTTCACTTCCTGTTTGTCTGCTACAAATCTTATAATTGATATTTAACAGATTTCTACCTGTCCAATGGATCTGAAATTTTGCACACTTGCGTAAAGTCGGATACAATGCACGAATCAATTGACAGAATAAATAATTTTGAAAATTTAAATTTTTTATATATTAAAAAATCCAAATTAATTTTTTTATTATCTGAAAATAAAATTAGATATTCCTTGTACATGTGTAACATCGGAGACACTGGATTCTTTAGAAGTGTTATCTCTAAAAAGTAATTTTTAAACGCATATTATTTAAAGTTACTTAATGTTACATTATCATATTTATTATTTTGTCTCGATCAGATAATCTCAGCAAATTTAGAACCGTTTTCCGAATAATCCAGTTTCAGGATCCAAAATCCAGTCGTTGCAAATTCCGTTAACAGCATCAAATTTAATGTCTGCAAATTAAAGAATGTCCCCTATAAACTATACGTTTTAGGTAGAAAATAGATTTTCCATTTGAGTCATGATTCAAAATGCAAAAAAAAACTATTTACCTCTTTATGAAATTTATGTGATACGTTTTATTAATTATTAATTAATTTCATGTATAATACTCTCCCTTCCTGCCATTTTTCAATGCTTTAATATTAACCCATTAAGAATAAACCTTCGGCTGTAGTTAATTTCCCTGGACTTGATTATTAGGAATTATGCGCTTGAACAGCCCATATATATATTATATTTACAGTGCCAAGCTTCTAACACACGCACACAAACAAACAAATAAACACCAAATATTGAACAATATATATTCAATACAATTTATAATGGAAACTGCAGCGAACATAAGATCCGTGGTTGCTCAATGTGAAAACTTTTTAGAGTGTGTTAAAAGAATATGTATTATTATTTATATTAAACTTATGTTTGTTTTCATTAGCGAAAATGTTTACTAATGAATTTTCTTGCGGTAAAGTCTGGGCGCGACAAGATGCCATCGATCAAGCTTGGTACGCAATTGATGCTGGACCGGCAATTTTGACTTGGTACGAACAGTACTTCGCTATACCTTTCCCTCTGCCAAAGCAAGACATGATCGCCATCCCAGACTTTTCAGCTGGAGCAATGGAAAACTGGGGTCTTGTCACCTATCGGTAACGAATACAACTTACGTGATGTTATCGTGAATTTAAAATATATATATATTTATGGCCGAGCTTGTAATCGTTTCGATCCAAGTTCAAACTGAGCACAGAATGAATGAGGAATAAATTTCGCTCACAATGGTTATTAGAAAATAAAATCAGATCTTATGTCTTAATTTTGATGTTAGAATAGGACTCAAAATGCGTTAATTTCAACTGGTCGTACATCACTAGATCACCAAAGCTCATTTGATTTCAAATCGATCTTGCCTTCACAGAGAAACTGCGTTATTGGCTGACCCAGTGTTGAGTTCGGCATATAACCGAGAGCGCGTAGCCACGGTGGTGGCGCACGAGCTGGCTCACCAGTGGTTCGGAGACCTGGTCACCATGGAGTGGTGGTCAGACATTTGGCTCAACGAAGGATTCGCTACTTACATGGAATACCTGGGCACAGATTCGGTATGCCTAAAAATTTTGTGATGTCATGTGTTGCTTATTGTACTCTGTGTAATATCTAAAGAATATAATATGCAGACAATGTCCAACAAAGTAAATTTTAGACGTTAAAATTTACAGAAATGTGTGGTTTTCGACTTATGATGATTTTATCCACAGTTTGAACCCACTTGGAGGTACTTGGATAGGTTCGTAACCAATGATCTTCAGTACGTGTTCGCTTTGGATAGTCTGGAATCATCACGTCCCATCAGCATCGCGGTTCAGTTTCCAAGTGACATCGATCAATTGTTTGATGCGATTTCTTACTCGAAAGGTGAGTTTTGTTCTGTAAACATTTACAGAAGGACCCTCGTCACTCTTTGGTTCTTGAGTAAGACTGATCCATTATGATTCTGATAATACATTCCGTGGTCCAATAACATGAAAATTTGCTCACTTGGTAGATTTGAGCTCTCCTCTCCATACTATACAACAATACAAAACAATAGCACAACTTTAAAATTAATTATAGAACAATATCTCCATCGCATAACGCATATATGAATACAGTTTCTCTTCTTTACTAAAATTTTACTCAAGCATTGAGAACAAGACAAATACACTCGGATGTTTGTCTGATGAGCGTGGTACCTGTTAATTCAGGGACCTATCCACCCACTCATGCACAGCCACCACACCCTCCAGAAGGCGCAGCCCATGACAATACCCACAAACAATGCAAGAATACGAGCAAAAAAAGTTTGAACGACGATAACGGAACACTTGCTTCTAATTGTCTCTACAAAAAAAAACATAAACAAAGAACAATACCCAGCCAGGAAACACTGAAGACGCAACAGACACACAAATCCAGGCAATAAATTAATTGAACTGAAATCATTCAAGAACGGGTCATTCCGCATTTACTATATGGTGGCGCGACATTACTGACATATACACCACCTCAGTACTTTAAACCTATGAGAATCCGGTAACTAATATTTCACTGTAAGCGTGCACTACACTTTCTTTCAATCAGTTCTACTTTTCGCCATTTAAAAGGAAACCTTAACTTCATGATTCTTTTTATTTCGTCATGTCAATCTCATTTCAGGAGCGTCGATCATCCGCATGATGAACAACTTCCTCACAGAACCTACTTTCCGGAACGGATTGACCAACTATTTAACCATACAGTAAGTCATTATTTTGGATCGTAATATAATTAGTACTGATCGACTGTCCTAGCTATATAGAAACATGATTTGGCTGATTGTAAATAGTATTTTTATTTTTGAAACTGAAGATGTTTTTCTTAAGATGAGATAATTTATATGTAGCTTTCCATTTAAATTGAGTTGTGTGAACAACATCACTAGTTACAATTTTCATCTGGTCTATAAGCATGAAGAAATAACTTATGTGACAATGAATTTCAACTTAAAATTTCTGAAGCCTATTGACGGAAAATAAAAAGTGGGATTTATTTATTGTTGGTCCTCGGCTTGTTTCCGAAAAATTTTCAATGAATTGTAAGAAATTAGCATACATTCGCTTTTTCCCTTCAGTCAGTACGCCAACGCTGCTCAAGACGACCTATGGCAAGCTTTGACAGTTCAGGCTCATGCTGATGGAACTTTGTCGCCCGACATCACAGTAAAAACCATCATGGATACATGGACCTTGCAAATGGGATACCCTGTCATCAACGCTATCAGAGCAACGGATGGGTCAATTACCCTCACTCAGGTTCGACCCTAACATTTGTAAACTAATGTCGACTCAGACTTCATCTTCTGACGTGCAAAAAATTCACGGTCGTATTCTCGTTTGAAAGTAAGATCATTCACTGATACTAACTTCGTCTTACGACCCTGAGCCCTGACAATCATGTTAAATTAGAGTGTCACCGAAAAGCTGAAATTCCTTGGCTATACGTATAGTCATCTTAAACTATCGACAAATTCTCAATTGAATAAAAATATCCTCGTTGATAATCGGTACTTCAATTGAGCAGATGCTTTTTCTACTAATAAGAAATTCTAATTAAATGGGCACTTAGTTATTGAGTCTCGTTTTTTAATAGGAACGTTTCCTGCTGGTCAAGAGTCCTAACTCGACGGACACGCACGACTACAAGTGGTGGGTGCCTGTTTCCTACACCACTCAGAGCTCACCGGACTTCTCGCAAACGCAGCCCTCTTATTGGATCCCAAGCACTGAAGAAAGTATCACCATTGATGGTATAACTGATGGCCAGTGGGTTTTCTTTAATCTTCAAGAGACTGGATATTACAGGGTTAATTACGACATCAATAACTGGCAGCTTCTCATCAACCAACTCGAAACTGAGCCGAGTGTGATTAACCTTGTCAGCCGAGCCCAGCTCATCGATGATGCACTGAATTTGGCCCGCGCTGGAAGACTCGTCTATGACGTCGCCCTAAGCCTGGATTCCTACTTGAATCAGGAGACCGAGTTGGAACCTTGGCAAGCTGCTCTCGACAACTTCGAGTATCTGGAGGAAATGTTCACGCGCAAGGCTGGTTATGGCCAATTGAAGGTGAGCGAGATGTGCTAATATATTCCAATAGAGAGAGTCGATATAACACTTAATTGGTTCGGTTACGGCCGTTTCGCAGTGCGCACTCCTGTATAAATACTATCAGTCATTCGAAGTAATTGTAACTTACATCGAGGTTTGATTAGGATTGAAATGAATCATGTGCTTTTGCATTATGTTTGTGTTCCTTCCAAAGCAATAAATTTTGAGTGAGACCTTTCAAGTTTTAAATCTTAATTTTTTTTTCAGCACTATTTATTGGATTTGTTGGTGCCGCTTTACAACAGCGTTGGTTTTGATGACAATCCTGATGATCCTCAACTGGAGCAAATAAAGCGTGTGCTTGCCGTTGACTGGGCTTGCCATTTAGAATACGAAGACTGCGTCTCAAGATCGGTTGATCTGTACAACCAGTGGATGGCAAGCCCCAGTGACCAGACGTGAGCATTTATGATTTTTCTGTATTAAAAAAATTATATTCGCAAATTGATTCCCAAATGAGCATTAACCTGTAATATAACAACCAAAGCATAAGTGCAGCTATTAGGCATGAGTTTAATGTTAATGTGATCATCTTGCTTCAGCTTGATTTCATCGAACCTGCGCTCGACCGTGTACTGCACCGCGATCGCTCAAGGCGGAGAGGCCGAGTGGAACTTCGCCTGGGCTCAATACCTCGCCACCAACGTCGCCAGCGAACAAGACCGAATCCTCTACGCCCTCTCGTGCACACGCGAAATCTGGATTCTTACAAAGTAAGCTTAATATCTTGCGCAAAAATCGAGAAATATTAAGCTGAACAATTAATTTTAACATTGGTTCTAGCACGATAGGTTTTCTCATAAAATTATAATAATTTTTGACTAAGTTACTAGCAACTACATAAAAATATAAATAGTCAGGAAATTAATCCCGACTGAAAATATTTAGTATAACTTTTCATATTCCACTCATGATATTGCCTCAATTACTCACTTATTTCGATGACCATATTCTGAATATTTATTTATAGTTCTTCATTGCTTTGTGATCCTTGCGTGTCCAGATACTTGGACATGGCGTTCACTGAGAACAGCGGCGTCAGGAAACAAGACTCGGGAAGAGTCTTCAGTAACGTTGCCTCCAACGACGTGGGCAGAGATGTGGCCTGGCAATATTTACAGGATAATGTGAACAGCATCGCTGCTTAGTGAGTATCTCTTATTACACTTATTGATGATTTCCTTAATGGCATGTACTGATAAAGAACTCGTTTGATTACTTCGCGTTTTATTACCACTGGGTGAAGCTATTACGTAAGTAATACTTGAATTGTTGAAAAAGAGTTAATTCTGTGGTAATAGATTGTAATTCATATGAATTATGGCTAAAATGACCAAACTTGCTTCTTAATTTTTTTTTTATTTACAGCTATCAGTCATTTGGAGTTATTGGAGACTTAGTATCCTCAGTCTCCAACGAGTTCAACACAGAACTTGAACTTCAAGAGGTGAGAACGCAACGCACTAGCAAAGATTTAATAATGTAATACTTGCTACGTTAATAAATGTTAAAAAGAACATAACTGACATCATTCATGAGGAATCTTTAACCGGATGCTAAAATTGTGTACTTGATACGATGATCCCTTAACAGAAGAAACTAAATAGCAATTTAAGCACTTAATTGTTACCTGAAATATAAACGAACTGTAAAAATATATTGTTTATACTGTGGGATAAAACTTTTGCGAAATCGTTGATAAATAAATGGTGATTGCTACGCAGTCTTGTCTCCAATTTGTATGGCATGATTACAGTTTCATGACATATCAATACAAAATCACTGCGTTGAGAACCTCTAATTACATGAAGAACTAAGGAAATTGCATGTTTTAATTTGTCACTCAAATGTTTTCCAGCTGATCCAATTCAAGAACGATAACATCGACGCTCTAGCTACGGCGACCTACGCCATCGATCAGAGCATCGAGAACACGTCCAACAACATCGCCTGGATGGACAACTACTACGACTACATCGTCAACTGGCTCACTCTCAACGGGTATCCGTAAATAGTTCTGAAGCACTAAGGATCTTCAGATGTGCTATCAACTACTGGAACACATAATGCACTTTGCACTACGCGATGTGGCGTAGCTGTCCTACTTCTACGCTCGCACAATATCATTTTCAGTTTGATTTGTAAGCTGTCAATGCCAACACTTGCGCCTAAAATCTGCATTTTAGGTGCAAATTTATCAGTTTTTAGGTGTATCAGTTTTTTAATGTTTTGTATGAATGATTAATCAGAAGCATAAATTGAAGGATCCTGATGTGTATTACTTAAACTGGGTGAATTTTCTAAATAAAGATTATCAGAAATTTTGTGAGTAAATACGAATTTGTCCTGCGTTTTGGAAATTTGTCCTCTGTGTTTCATAACAAGGAATCAAAAAGAGAAATATCAACGCATTTTCATTGCCCTGAATTCTAAATCATAGACTTTTATTTATTAATACGAAAACTTATTTGGGAAACTTCTTTAACAAGGGGCCACGTGAAATATCAATCTTGTTTAAATATTAAAGATCGATATCCTCAAATAAATACGAGTAATGTAATGAAAACAGTTATGATAACATTATGAGAATTAAATACGATGTGCTGTTCTCAAAGCGACATTAAATCAAAGCTCAAATTATATTATGGCTTTTGTTGGTGTCAGAAAAGTATTATTTAATTAAGCAAAATTTAATACATCAGAAATTAATCATTATATGCATGAGAAAAAAGTACTACTGGATCTCACTATTAGGCCATCAACGTGAAGATAATTTTAGATCCACTCAAAGGAACTCTTAACATCCATGATCACTCAAACCCGCTGACATGCTGTCGATGCCCGACCCCGAGCTGAGCGTCAGTGCATGCTTCATTGCTTCATGCAAGCAGAGGTGGGCAGTAGCGCGCTAAATGTAGCGGTAGCAGCGCTACATTTAAACAATTGTAGCGGTAGCGGTAGCGCCCGGTACATTTAGAGCATGTAGCGGTAGCGGTAGCGGCCGCTACATTTCAAAGTAGCGCTGCCCAGCTCTGCATGCAAGATAATGAAAATTAACACATTGATGAACTGAACAGAGCACCCATGCATGAGATTTCCGTATTTCATAAGAAGCTGTTCAATTAAGGCATGCATAGTTCACAGACCACGAGCCGCCAGGACTTTTTGGTTCTAAGTTTGGTTGGCTAAATATCTGAAGATACTGGGCGCTGTACTTTTACTATGCATCCAAAATCGGGCGATGAAATGCATTCACGTAACAGGAGTGTGTTGTTGAATTCGATTTATTCGATCTGTGTATTCCTATCGTCTTCGTTAAACTATTTCAACAGCTCCAATAATTCCGTACAATAATCCAGGAATAGACTACCACACTGGAATCACATCAGAAGAGATGAAGACAGGAGTTGACTATCCCTCACATTTCTTACCATTACTTAATGCAATTAAGTCGTAATGCAATTCGAGAAAAGTTGACAGAAGCGTTACTCTTTTCCCTATATTTGAAAGCCAAATAATTTTTATAGTTCAATAGATCAAGATTGAAAATTTTAATGTTCTAATACTTGAGAAATTATTGAATTCTCTATTGTGGAAATATTCATTTTACTATTGTAGCTCTTCAAAAAAATTTCATATAAACTGGTTAATGTGATTATAATGGTCGTATAAGATGATGTTCGTGGTATCGAGAAACTTGCTATCTTTCGAATGGAAAATTAAGGCATTAAATTATTAGATCTGAAACACCAATCACAGACATAGTTACAAACATCACTACTATATCATGTCATTCCTGTGATAGATGACTAGTAAGTGGAATACGATTAAAACTCCAAAAATGTTGCGTTTCCTCACACTCATGGGAGACACTTTTTATAAAGAAGGCTCGTGTCTCAAAAGTGTTATCTTTGTAAAGTGTCCTAGAAGGCCTTCAGCTACAACGATGGGTTCAATGAAAGTTTCAATTAGTAAAACGCTTTACATGATGGGTGCATAGTATTACTGTAACAGTCAGGAGCGGAGAGTGTCCTGTATACGTCTCGGCTTTGCGAGGGTTTTTGGTTTCCTTATAATTATTGTAAATCCAAAAGCTGAAGGGAAATATTCTTGTCGAGCGACAGCATTCGTATTCGGTGAGCATAAAAATGAAGCGACGTCAATTTTCTCAATTAATGCAAGGGTTTAATTTATCATTAAAAAATGTATCATCTGATTCAGTTTCATGCATGATGAACATTAAACTTCGTAGCGACCAATTAAGCGCTCTATATACCTTTGAATGACATGCTTCGCATCTCGAGCACACACTTTACACTGTACAGGTCACAAGACGTATACGCACAAAACATTTGGTCGTAGCAAGGAAAGTCTCTACTTTTTAGAGAAAACCTACGCATCACGTATTTGTAGTTCAAAACATTTTCAAGTGCTAAATATTCCTCATAGGCTATATACACTTTTGCGAGACACCTTATAGTGTTGTCTGATTTTCTGACCTCTGAATTTCTGAATTATTTTTGTCATTCTGACGTTGAATAAGCTTCATCTCGCTGATATTGTAAGCTCATGGATGTAAGAAATTTAAAACAGGGCTCAAATGATAGACTTTGTTCAGAAATAATGACTCCAAAATCGCAAAATTTATCAGTTAAGCGACTGATGAGGGTTTTATGGTCACAATACAAAATTTGAAATCCGATAAAAGTAAGCTACCTTGATCAAAAATTTTCGTTAGCGGTCGTCTTTTGATAGTTTTATGTGGCAATATAGGCCCGTATGCTAAATAGGGCACTAGCACTACGAAGTAGCACTATGCACTACGAAGTGTCCTGTTGGTATGCTAAATACGTCACAGACGCTAAGCACTTCGAAGTAGCTCATAGTGTTCCATGTCGCACTAGTAGGCACTACGGCTAGTAGTGCGTAGTGCTACTTCGTAGTGCTAGTGCCCTATTTAGCATACGGGCCATTGGTAGTAAAATCACAGAATTTGAATTATGAAAGAGAACGAAGTCTCGTCCTTAATTTCATGCCTAACAAAAATCAACAAAAATTATTGCAAATGTCAATATAATTGAGTGGGGCAAGTTTGTGGGAAATCTTCGGGGACACAAAAAAATCGATATCGGTTCCCTGGAAATAAGAAATATCAGAAGTTTTGAAGATGACTCATTCTGAAATGGAGAGAAATTGAAAATGCGCTAGTTAAATAAAATAAACCTCAGGTGCGCAAAGGAACACAGCAAAGATAGAAACGGTCGATAAGTGTTGCTGATGAAACATTCTAGAATGAAAGCGATACTAGAAAAACGTTCTACAAGATGAAATTTTGGGTAAGAAAGTTTTCAAATCCTTGAGTAATATGCTAACTGACTTCCAAAAGCAGAAATTAAGCCGTCTTCAGTATTTATCTGGATCCCGCTCTAACTCGTTGAGGATATGTATTTCAGTAATCGAAAAGATAAGCCTTCAAACTCTCGAATTTCCTTCCTAATTGTCTTGCCTTTTTGTATACTCCTGATCAAATACGAATTCGTTCCAACACGAATTCGGAACAAATACGAATACGAGATGAGTAATAATTATATAAATCTACGCAATTTTAAATATTTGATCGATTACACTTGCAAAATTTACTTGGATAATTGTAACACGCATCGCTTCATATATAAGGCGATGCGTGGACACCATGCAGCATGCCGCTATTACCGGGTTCATATATACGAGGTGGCATGGCGATGGATGCTGAGGTACAGAGCCACAGAAAATTTAAAAAATATTATTGAATAAATCTTCGATGATTTTATTACGCCACTCAATGCTCATTTAATTACCACTTTTCTATCACATTCGTATTATTCATGACGTTTGACCATGACATTTCTTATTCTTATCTCGTTGTCACTAATCTGCTTATCATTTCTTATTCCGTCTAGACAATTAAAGGCCTCATCGTGTGAACCATCTGTGGCAATCCTTGTGTCTGGATTGCTAGGTAAAAAGATTTGTAGACAGTGATACTCAATTCCATGCTGAATTGTCTCCTGTTCACGCGATACCAAGTATGTAACTGCGTTCAGCGTTTGTGAGCTATTGCAATTTCATACGTCAGCTATCCACTTTAAACCTACGATTGCAGTGAACGCGATCGTTATAGATTAATTATCAAAAATAGTAATGAACACTCTTCATGTTTACTTATTGAAGTGTTCCGTGTACGCAATCATATTTTATATGGGAAAACTATACATACCTTCAACCACTTGTCGCAGCAGCTGGATGCTTCTCATGGACCAGCTGCCAGCTGCGACGAACCTCACGAAATGCAATCGGTTGTTACAACCTGAATTGCTTATGAGGTCTGATCAAGTCTAGATATCTCGAGTTGTGCCTCAGTTTGGGAAAGTGCTGCTCTGAAGGCATGCAGTTTCGTCGTTTTACCGAGGAACAAATTTAAGGTAATCACATTGGAGAATACATGCATTGCTGATGTGCTACAATTTTTAGTAGAATTAGTCAAAACTGACCCAAATCTGGGGAAATTTCGTTTCTATCCTTAAACATCATTTCTTATTATTTAGGCTGGAGGATAAGTTTTAAATTTAAATTAATTTTAAACTCATTTACGTCATCTTATGTGTCATCATCGCGCATATTATATAATTGAATTGTGAATTGTAGTAGCTTCAGACTTCAGAATGCCGCTCATGTTTTGCATTCCTCGCTCATATTAGAACCAATAACAATATGCCTGATCAAAATTATTGGTGCCTTGTAGAGTTACTCTTCCACTTCTTACATCCAAAATTTTTTTATGGTGAAAATTAAGTAACTACGATCTTTCGATAACGTTGTAGATATTATCTGTTAAGTAAAGATCCTAAATATGAGTCTAGGTATAATCATTATATATTTTACGCCATTTATTGAAAATAAATAATTGAGCAGGATTCTGCATGACACATTTACAGAAACTTCTGTGCCTTCGTACCTTGGAGTTTTGCAAACATGGCTTACAAAACGGGATTTGTCGCTCTGGCTCTTCTGATTTTTTTCCAAGCGGTAAGATTTCTTTAAAAAATGTCCTTACTTCTCTTGGAAGCGTTTTTTGTGATAAAAAGTATGAATTCTTTCAATATTTTTCTGACAAGTTTAATTAATGAAACTGATTTCACATTTCTTTCACATCGTTCTGCTTTATCCTAGGTTCGGATGATCATAAAAATGTGTGTTGGTTGCACCAATGAATTTTTTTGGTCGATACACGTCCGTACCTTGTAAATCCAATAGGGAGAGGAGAGGTTCACTGAGAAGAGATAATTGATTCAACTGGTAAACAACGTTAGTTTTTGCAGCCTGCTCAAAAGTGTCATTTAGAATTTCGTTATTTTACCCAATTCTACTGAGGGAATTGACTTCTTCAACAGAAAGAGTGTGATTGCGCATCTAACGCAGGCGCATCTCTGGAAGCAACGAACGTGAGACTGCCCACGTCTCTCAGCCCCGTCAGGTTAGTCAGCTGATCAAACAAAATTCTGGTAACGCCTATCGGTTTCTGCCCATGCACGAGTCACTACACTCAGCCTTGAGTTATTCTGGGTCTGATCCAAAGAGTTATGTCGGATGGAGTTATTCAGTGTCTGGGCAATAATTTTATTTCTACGATAGAAATCGGCTCCTGATCAAAATCTCCTTCCCGCTCCATAGCATCCAATGCATACCCAACTTGCGAGGTGCTTAGAAGACTGCACTTCAAGCCCGACCGAAGCGGACATATAGCGTCTAATTAACGTCCTAATTAAGCGGCACTTGTGATGGCTTGACCCATTCGGACATAAGTCGATCCAAAATATGGTAGTTGCACGAACCTATCTCCAGTTCATGCGAATAGAAAACCAGGGTTGGTAAACTTAACAGAGCTTTAATTTGATACTTATCCCAAAGTTTTGATTGTTTGAAACGCATGTGATCGTCATACAAATGTATAACTTTGCATTTTTAATATCTGTGGTGATGTTTTTTTTTTTTGCAGTTACGTACTGCGACTGCAGCCGCTGATTAACGGCAACTTCACTATTTTGGGATATGTTGAAATTGTATTTGGCGTAATTGAAGCTACCAACAACATCACTCTTCACATCAAAGATATCATCACTAAGAACGATACGATTCAGGTTGGTTAGATCGATTAAATTAAGATGACCTCGCAAAAATAACTAAATTTTTAGTAACATGAATGGTATTTCTTACATGGTTGCTTCAAATGTCTTACAAAAAAATATCACTTCAGTTGTACTCGGGTGACAAGCCGAACGGTCAACCCATCGCAATCGTGGAGCACAGCTACGACGCAGACCGCGACTTCTACACCGCGACTCTGGCAGAGCCTCTGACAGCTGGCCGGCAGTACCTCCTCCTCATGGAGTACGAAGGATACCTCAACGATCAGCTTGTCGGCTTTTATCGCTCGCAGTACAAGAGGGATGATGGAAGTGAAGTGTGAGTCACCAAAAATGTTTATAATCATTGAATTAAACTATTTTCCTGCGAATTTGTTGAACAAGTTTTCACATAATTTCACCTAACAACTCCGATATTACTTAGTAGTACATGTAGATGAGTAATAATTATATAAATCCATGCAATTTTTAAAAACTGCTCAATTACACTTTCAGAATTGACTTGGATAATTGTAATAATAAGTCTCATCTTATTAATATCTAAACTTTCAAGCACAGCTGCAGATAAATTAATATTGCCGTGAAAACCATTACAGAATCATGTTTTTTTTATAACCGTGGTACGTTATTTCAGTTGGGCGGCAGTGACTCAATTTCAACCAACGGACGCGCGACGCGCATTCCCGTGTTTCGACGAGCCCGCCTTCAAGGCTACGTTTGACATCTCCATCGCTAGGCAGACCAACATGACTGCCATCTCCAACATGCCTCTCGTTGACACCACTCCCTTGTAAGTGACTTCATGTTCACTAAAGGTGATGTGGTTTATTAATGCTGTATGATGTTAAGTCCTGACTTTTAAAAATTGTGTTCATGTCTCTAGGCGGGAATGTTACCTGCTTTTGATTTAATTACAGAAAATTATCTTGAAACCTGTCATTCCAAATTATAATAAATATTGGATTGAAAGACTCTCAACCTCAATACCATAATACTTACTATTTTAGCCATCTCTTATTGGTACAGTATGTCCTAATATAAAACGATAATTAATTCTCAATTCATCATGCTATTCACATCGCAATCTGCCATGACAAACTCATTTTGAAATCCTGCTCCTGAAAACATTTGCAGACGTTATTCAATGTATATGCTTCCACTGTCAACTCAGTCATTTATGCTGAAGCAGTTGTTAATGTTGGTGACTCTACGACAGTGCTGATGACGAAGAATGGGTATGGGATCATTTCGCCCCCAGCCTACCAATGTCGACCTATCTGGTAGCATTTATAGTCTCCGATTATGCCTCCGTAAATTCTACGTACAATGACCACGTTCTGTTCAAAGGTGAGTAGTACACTTTTGACAACAATGAAGGACCATTATCAGCTTGAAAATAGCAGGTTTAGGTCATCTTTGAAATTTTATACAAAATTCTGTGTGCAAAGAATTGAAATTAGAAAATGTCAGGACCTTAAGAATAAGGGAGTGCGCTCTCACAAGACTATAGAAGGACCATGCATTCATATTTTGTATTTCCTCCATAGTTTGGGCACGAAAAGAGGCCATCGACCAAACTTGGTACGCAATTGCAGCTGGACCAGCAATTCTGACCTGGTACGAGGAGTACTTCAGCATCCCCTTCCCTCTGCCCAAACAAGACATGGCAGCTCTACTAGACTTCTCGCTGGGTGGCATGGAAAACTGGGGGCTTATCACATACAGGTATATAGTGAAAACAATTTACAAATCATGAACTTTTCATAAGTAGCTGTGTGTGTAATTCTCAGCATTCTGGACAAGTTAAAAAATATAAACTTATATAATATTATTAATATTAAAATATTAAGGACAAGTCAAAACTAGAACAATATATTTTTGCTAAATGCAAGTTAAATCAAGTAATGTCGCTTGCAACCATTCCCCTGCGTAATTGATTGACATAAAAATTAGGGATGCAAAAGTTGTAGGATTGAATTGGCCTCATTTGCTTCATTTTTATAGGGAAACAGCTTTGTTGATGGATCCAGAACTGAACTCAGCCTCTGACCGAGAGCGCGTAGCCACGGTGGTGGCGCACGAGCTGGCTCACCAGTGGTTCGGAGACCTGGTCACCATGGAGTGGTGGTCAGACTTGTGGCTCAACGAAGGATTCGCCTCTTATGTCGAATATTTGGGAACGGACTTTGTGAGATTGCAGTATGATAGTAATTATCTTAACATTGAAAAGGAAGGAAAGTAACACTGGACAATATAGAACATTTTCATGAATAGTTTAGGGTCCAAGTCCATCAACAGTTTAGTAGATTGAAGTGAATAAATAACGGTGACAGCCCAGTTGACGTATGAACCTAAATTGGCAGAATTGAGATCGAAATGAACGGAAAAAAGTATTAGTAAGACATGCAGGTTTTGACGAAAAATATTTTACATATGAAAATTTCAGAGCAGAACTTATTTGTTTGCGTGTTGATTCGAGCATGCGTAATCAAATGATCTTGATGATGATGGAATTATCTTATTACTTGGCATTGTTACTTTTGATTTAATTAACTTGTTCTCCAAGAATCTGTCGACGGTCGAAAAAATTTACTCTTTCACAATACTTGAATGAATTCTTAATAACTTTTCTGATTAATCATTGCTAATTTCCATGATATTTAATTTTTTTCAATTTACGCTTTACGGAAATAACCCCAAAATAATTATTAGATTTAAGAAAAGGTTTTATTAACGTGGCCCAAAGTACAATTTGGTTCCCAGTACTTCTTTAAGATATTTTTTGCTAGGGTATATTAATGTTGAAAATAATGTGCTTGCGGAAATGTTTTCCGCCAGGGATACATTCGAGATTCGATCTCCAGCTCTAAACTAAATATTTGTAGGGTTCACGCTGTATGAACATGAAAATGGGTCAACCAAAATCTATCAGTGAGTGAAATTAAAAGTCTGCTTCAATTCGATTTACAATGGTCTGCAAGTTGTTGCTCAACGCTAGAGAACGAAAATTTTCGATAGTGATTATTTAAATGCTTATAATTTAATTCGTTACCTATTTTGTATGGGCAGTATGAACCAGACTGGAAGTACCTGGACACGTTCGTTAAAAGCGACGTCCAATACGCATTCGTACTGGATTCACTTGAATCTTCTCACCCAATAAGCGTGGCAGTCGAGTCCCCGAACGACATCAACCAAATTTTCGACTCGATCTCGTACTCTAAAGGTAACGGTGATTTATCATGTGGTCCCAGATGCCATGGAATTTGAGTATATAATGTTTACAGAAAAGTTAAAACTCCATTTATCATCTATGAAATAACAATTAAAATATTAGGCAACGTTTTATTATACTGGAAGTGAAATTTGTGTTTTCAAGTCGTGAGCAAGTATGACAGCTTATTTGGTCAGTAGGAATTATCGGCACAACTTTCTTTGCTTCAGGGGCTTCCATCATCCGCATGATGAACAACTTCCTCACGGAATCAACATTCCGGTCTGGTATCACCAATTACCTGAACTTGAAGTGCGTATCCTTAACAACTGTTTTTTAACAATTCAAGCCACTGCTCTAAATATCTGTGGATCCTATTTTACTGACGATTATTCTGTCGTCTACAATAATAAATAAATGATCTCGCAGGCAAAGTCTATGTGTGTACGTCTGTACCTTAAACTCATCGTACGTTTCATACTCCAGTGTTAATTGAAAGCATTTCTTATTTACAAAATATCTTAGAATTTCTCGCTCGTTTGTAGTAAATATGGAAACGCGGCACAAGATGACTTGTGGGAAGCTTTAACAGAGCAGGCTCACGCCGACGGAACTTTACCTCAAGATTTGACTGTAAAAACCATCATGGATACGTGGACCCTGCAAATGGGATACCCTGTGGTGAATGCGTACAGATCTGGTCAAGGGACTGTCATCCTGTCTCAGGTCCGTTGTCATCCTCATAATTAACACTAGTATTTTAGAGCTTATTAGAACGTGTAGATAATTCTATTTCTGTATAAATATGTATTTGTCACTTATGACAAAGCTACTGTTTATTAACATCCAATAATCAGAAAATTAACTTACATCTACATAGTAACTAAATCTTGTTTATGCCTAGAAACGCTTCCTGCTGGTCAAGAGTCCTAACTCAACGGACACGCACGACTACAAGTGGTGGGTGCCTGTTTCCTACACCACTCAGAGCTCACCGGACTTCTCGCAAACTCAGCCGACTTACTGGATCCCAAACACCGAAGAAAGCATCACTATTGACGGCATCCCTGATGGCCAGTGGGTTGTCTTCAATCTTCAAGAAACCGGATACTACCGTGTAAATTACGACAGCAATAACTGGCAGCTGCTCGTCGACCAGTTAACTAGCAATCTGAGTGTGATCAACCTTGTCAGCAGAGCACAGCTCATTGATGATTCTATGGATTTAGCGCGAGCAGGACAACTCCAGTACGACATCGCCCTCGACCTTAACTCCTACTTGATAAAAGAGTCCGAATTCGTGCCGTGGGACGTAGCCTTGGATAATCTGGAGTACCTCGAGCAGATGTTCACACGAAGAGGAGGCTATGGACAGTTGAAGGTTCGATCTTGCGTGGGAGATGCTACATTATGATTTTTAGAGAAAAACATTTTTCGTTGTATGACTTATAAAAAACAAAGATTCAAATTATAGTCCTGGGTGGAAAGGCATGTTCCATCGTGCACATAATGGTATTGAATGCGCATTACAACATGAAACAAAAGTTTTGTCCATAAGTTATTTATGTGATGGCAAACACCTAGACCATTCTCTACAAATTTTGCCTCTGTGATGAAAATATTTGGCTTCCAAATTTACATATTTACTAAATTTGTAGTGAAGTACCGAAATCCCACAAGTTGGTGCAAAAATTACACTGACGTTGTTGCGAGAATTTTGCTTAAATTCTAGACCAATCTTAACAATAAGTTGCCAAATATAGTAGAAATGAGCGATTTTCACGACACACGCCAGTCTGAAGAATATTAGCGAATGATTTGCTTGTTTTGAAAAGAAAGAAAACCATTTCCTTCTTTATTTTCACGTAGCGTCCAGACGGCAATTTTCACTTTTAATTTTCATCTGTACTCACTATAAATCTCTGCTAATTAACTAACATTTGATTTATTACTGAATCAGACTGAAATGTCGAATAGAGTACAATTTTAGAAATTTTCATAATTACTTGAGTTGAGTTAAAAGTTTTCGACTAACAAAATTTATCTATGCTAATAATTTCCAGCATTACTTGACGGACTTACTAGAACCACTCTACAACAGCGTCGGATTTGAAGATAATACCAATGATCCACAACTGGAGCAAAAGAAACGCGTTCTTGCCGTTGACTGGGCTTGTCATTTGGGGTACGGAGACTGCGTGATGCGATCTGTTCAGCTCTACAGTCAGTGGATGGCATCGCCTGATGACCAGACGTAAGAACTTAAGATAATTGTAAGAAGTCCAGCCAATTGCTCATTCATAAAGTCTCACCTGATGCATAAATATGTCTAGAGAAGGTTCAAATTCAGAAAATAATAAATGAACCTCTAAATTTTTCCTCACTAATAAACAGTCTCACAGTGTAATCGTTTCAAGAGTCAGTTTTCTTCAACATAATATGACACGGCATAAGATATTCTAATGCCATCAAGATTACATGAACAATTATATCTTTACAGCTTGATCTCAGCCAATCTTCGCTCGACCGTGTACTGCACCGCGATCGCTCACGGCGGAGAGGCCGAGTGGAACTTCGCATGGGAGCAATACTTGGCCACCAACGTCGCCCGAGAAGAGGAACGCATTCGTTATGCACTGTCGTGCTCTCGTGAAGTCTGGATCCTTTCCAAGTAGTATTTTTGGACTTTACGAAAAATCATGAAATTTATTTACTACTGTGTTTTAATGAGAGATTGTCTTCTATTGTGTTAGGTAATTTTTAAATCGATTGAATTTTACTTGGATTCATAAGTGTCTTTAATCCGTTTTCTAGATAGCAAAATTAAGAATTGATTTATTTAGGTATTTGGATATGGCGTTCACTGAAGGAAGTGGCATAAGGAAGCAGGATGCGGGACGAGTCTTTGAAAACATCGCATCCAACGACATCGGGCGAGATATTGCTTGGGAGTATCTGCAGAACAACGTTGAACACATAGCTGGATAGTAAGTAATTCAAACATTTCCACTATTAGTCGGGCAATTAATCATACGGTTAGTTACGATTGCTGACGATTATGATGATTGCCTCACTGACAACATGAATTTCGACATGAATTTCAGTTTACGAATTTTATGATGTATTTAAGAAATCCATAAGCACTCAATATTATAGTTGATTATAAAAGAACAAAATATTATGGCTGAGTGCTGAAATTACATAGCAAAACAGAACAAATTCAGAAAGTTCGAAGTTTAATTTGTCGAAAAATACTGGTACGACTCGATATTAGTGGAGGGAGACTCGAAATTTGTCATCGTTACGCTATATGTATTGTTTTAAAAATAATTTTTTTTTTATTTTCCAGTTTACAGACATTCTCAGTAGTCGGTGACATGGTGGCTGCTGTCTCCAACGAATTCAATACAGAACTTGAACTTCAAGAGGTTAGATGGAAAGGGGTTTTGAATTGTATTTTCACGAGATTAGCTATTGGAATTACCACTGTCTAAGGAACAACAATGTGGTTTTGGTTTGAAATAAAGAACAGAGTTAAGAAATTTAAATGTAAAACTTTGATCTGTTGGTATGTGGCTTTTTCGAATGGCAGTGATTGAATTCATTATTGACCATGAACCTAATTTTTTTGTGCAGCTTATCTCATTTAAAAATGTTCACGTGGATGAGCTGGCCTCAGCAACCTACGCCATCGATCAGAGCATCGAGAACACGTCCAACAACATCGCCTGGATGGACAGCTACTACGACTACATCGTCAACTGGCTCACAGGGAACGGATATCCACTGATGTTATGAATTTAATTCCATGATTATACACCAGATAATGACATCTAAATGTGCAAAACTCGCTTCATTTTCGTATCAATGTAGCGAAAGCAATTGAAGATTGAAGATTTTTCGGTTTCTAAAATTTTAGTAGTTAATTATTCGCAACCAAAAACTTTGTTACAGCTAAATAAATGAACGTATGAAATAGCTATTGAAGTGAATAACACATTGATTGTTGGATTTATATGCACCGACACAGTTGAAATGACAGTTACACGGTACTGAGCCTCGTTGCTGTTTCTTGCAGCAATCACCCAGGCGTCTACACATAGTAGAGGTTTAATACAGACTGTTAGGTCCAACACAGGACAGTCTAAGACAGTAGGTCCAAAATCCGTAGTGAGCCCAATATGTCACCTATCCTACTGGACATAGGTACTTGAACGAAACTTACCGCATAACTTGGAAACGAAGGTAAAATCGCAAAAAAATGGAAACGACCTAAACATCACCTTTATGGAATACTAAACGCATTAGCAATGTTTCATCAAACTGCGTTCATTAGTTTGTGAAAGATTTTAGGCTCACTGAACCTTGGAAACCAACCTCAAGTCCGGCCGTAAAAGTATTCGAGAGGTTAAATTTAGCGTATGTCAATTAAGCGGTAGTTGGAATAAAGTTTACGTCAGAGATTTTTCAAATTGATGTTTCTGTGCTATTTTCGGATCTACTTCCATTAATATTTGCGAAAATAAAATGTCATAAATTAGTTTCTGAAAAATGTTGAATTTTCTTGACATTTTGATGATTTGCAGCCTTTTTACAAAACTTCTTTTTAACTTCACTTCTTGTTTGTCTGTTTGTCTGTTTGTCTCTCTGCTACAAATCTTATAATCGATATTTAACGCACTTCTACTTATCTTATCGTCTATCGATCTGAAATTTTGCACACTTGCGTAAAGTTGGAGACAATGCATGAATCAAATGACAAAATAAATTATTTGAAAAATAAAAATATTTCCTAATACTAAAAAAATGAAAAAATAATTTTGTCAGCTACAAATCTTATAACAGATATTTGACACACTTTTACCTGCCCAACTGATCTGAAATTTTGCACACTTGTGTGAAGTCGTACGCAATGCTTGAATCAATTGACAGAATAAATAATTTTGAGAAAAAAAAAATTTATATACAAAAATACTGAAAAATTAATTTTTATAATATTCGAAGATAAAATGAGAAATTCATTGTACATCTTTAAATTGGATATACTGGATTCTTTAGAAGTGTTATCTTCAAAGAGTAATTTTTAAACGTATATTATTACAACATTTCTCTTAAACTTTACTTCTTGTTTGTCTGTTTGTTTGTTTGTCTGTCTGCTACAAATCTTATAATCGATATTCAATAAACTTCTACTGATCCTATCGATCTGAAATTTTGCACACTTGCGTAAAGTTGGAGACAATGCATCAATCAAATGACAAAATAAATAATTTTAGGAATACAACATTCTCAGTAGTCGGTGACATGGTGGCTGCTGTCTCCAACGAATTCAATACAGAACTTGAACTTCAAGAGGTTAGATGGAAAGGGGTTTTGAATTGTATTTTCACGAGATTAGCTATTGGAATTACCACTGTCTAAGGAACAACAATGTGGTTTTGGTTTGAAATAAAGAACAGAGTTAAGAAATTTAAATGTAAAACTTTGATCTGTTGGTATGTGGCTTTTTCGAATGGCAGTGATTGAATTCATTATTGACCATGAACCTAATTTTTTTGTGCAGCTTATCTCATTTAAAAATGTTCACGTGGATGAGCTGGCCTCAGCAACCTACGCCATCGATCAGAGCATCGAGAACACGTCCAACAACATCGCCTGGATGGACAGCTACTACGACTACATCGTCAACTGGCTCACAGGGAACGGATATCCACTGATGTTATGAATTTAATTCCATGATTATACACCAGATAATGACATCTAAATGTGCAAAACTCGCTTCATTTTCGTATCAATGTAGCGAAAGCAATTGAAGATTGAAGATTTTTCGGTTTCTAAAATTTTAGTAGTTAATTATTCGCAACCAAAAACTTTGTTACAGCTAAATAAATGAACGTATGAAATAGCCATTGAAGTGAATAACACATTGATTGTTGGATTTATATGCACCGACACAGTTGAAATGACAGTTACACGGTACTGAGCCTCGTTGCTGTTTCTTGCAGCAATCACCCAGGCGTCTACACATAGTAGAGGTTTAATACAGACTGTTAGGTCCAACACAGGACAGTGTAAGACAGTAGGTCCAAAATCCGTAGTGAGCCCAATATGTCACCTATCCTACTGGACATGCTTGAATGAAACTTACCGCATAACTTGGAAACGAAGGTAAAATCGCAAAAAAATGGAAACGACCTAAACATCACCTTTATGGAATACTAAACGCATTAGCAATGTTTCATCAAACTGCGTTCATTAGTTTGTGAAAGATTTTAGGCTCACTGAACCTTGGAAACCAACCTCAAGTCCGGCCGTAAAAGTATTCGAGAGGTTAAATTTAGCGTATGTCAATTAAGCGGTAGTTGGAATAAAGTTTACGTCAGAGATTTTTCAAATTGATGTTTCTGTGCTATTTTCGGATCTACTTCCATTAATATTTGCGAAAATAAAATGTCATAAATTAGTTTCTGAAAAATGTTGAATTTTCTTGACATTTTGATGATTTGCAGCCTTTTTACAAAACTTCTTTTTAACTTCACTTCTTGTTTGTCTGTTTGTCTGTTTGTCTCTCTGCTACAAATCTTATAATCGATATTTAACGCACTTCTACTTATCTTATCGTCTATCGATCTGAAATTTTGCACACTTGCGTAAAGTTGGAGACAATGCATGAATCAAATGACAAAATAAATTATTTGAAAAATAAAAATATTTCCTAATACTAAAAAAATGAAAAAATAATTTTGTCAGCTACAAATCTTATAACAGATATTTGACACACTTTTACCTGCCCAACTGATCTGAAATTTTGCACACTTGTGTGAAGTCGTACGCAATGCTTGAATCAATTGACAGAATAAATAATTTTGAGAAAAAAAAAATTTATATACAAAAATACTGAAAAATTAATTTTTATAATATTCGAAGATAAAATGAGAAATTCATTGTACATCTTTAAATTGGATATACTGGATTCTTTAGAAGTGTTATCTTCAAAGAGTAATTTTTAAACGTATATTATTACAACATTTCTCTTAAACTTTACTTCTTGTTTGTCTGTTTGTTTGTTTGTCTGTCTGCTACAAATCTTATAATCGATATTCAATAAACTTCTACTGATCCTATCGATCTGAAATTTTGCACACTTGCGTAAAGTTGGAGACAATGCATCAATCAAATGACAAAATAAATAATTTTAGGAATACTTTTTTTCCAAAATTAGAAAAATTAGAAAAATATTTTTATCAGCTACAAATCTTATAATTGATATTTGACACACTTTTAACTGTCCAATTGATCTGAAATTTGGCACACTTGCATAAAGTTGGAGACAATGCATGAATCAATTGACAGAATAAATAATTTTATGAATAAAAAAAATTCATTATTAAAAAATGTAAAAATAATTTCGTCTGTTACAAATCTTATAATCCATATATGACACAATTTGACCTGTCCAATCGATCTGAAATTTCGCACAATTGCATAAAGTCAGAGACAATGCATGAATCAGTCGACAGAATAAATAATTTTGAAAATTTACAAAATTTTGATATCGTAAAAAATTTTTAAATATAGTTTTTTTAATATTTGAAAATAAAATTAGAAATTCATTGTACATGTGTAACATCCAAGACACTGGATTCTTCATAATTGTTGTCTTTAAAAAGTAATTTTTAAACGCATAGTATTTTTGCATCATCCTGGGTCCGGCGAATCCATGGTTCAATTAATACATCAATCAAGCTGAATTAATACGTGTATTAATTCAATCATGCGGCGAACCATGCGTTTTGTCATTTTTTCCGCATTGACACATTCGGATTTCAGAAATTCGAACAGTCGGTGCTTGGTCGCCTTGGTGCGCCTCATAGCATGAATCCTCTGCTCTTTCGAGTTTCGACTACTTCTTCTAAGTTCTTCACCTTCAAGCCGGCCACAGACACACATGAATCCACTGCGGCACGATTTCAGTCTCCTTTACCTTTAGTACTGTTGTACAGACGCCCTTGCTGTGCTTCGGTCAGGATCACGCTTCCTTAGTTTATGGGAATTGAACTGGGTTTCTCCGTTTCTGCACCTGCAGGCTGCAGTGGCTACTGATCATCTGATGAAAGGGACCATCATCTTGCTTCCATTTGTTTAGGGTTGTCTCTAGCACCAGCATACATCAAGTCATCAATTATTCATCATAAACGATTTCAAATTTTCAATCATTATTGAGAAAAATATTGACCATGATCCATGAACTTTATTTTTTCTGCTGCTGATAGCCTGACAGTATTTAAATATGATCAGTTTTGATCACATTGTCAACAATTTAACAGATGCATTAAAAAATTTTTATTTCAGAACAGACTACCGGCTTGGCGGCTTCAATAACATTGTCTCGCGGCTTGTCGCTCCTTTCCTTTGTAGGCTAAAAATTGTAGGTAGTTAGTTGCTGCCTTGCCAGTGTTTTGTCAATGCCTTAACTTAAGTTAAGATGGAACTTTTTTGTAGAGCCTATGAGTGATAAATCTTGTGCTTGGTCATTTTTATCCATTCTCATGTCTTTTTATTTTTTTGCTCACTATTGAACTTACATTAGCTACATGTGACCATTGTGATGTATGATTTATGAATGCATTCAAGAACAGACTAGAATCCTAGATTGAGCATTAGAAAAATACCTATATGTTCAGACTTAAAATGCCTAGCACCATCATGTGATGATGTGGTGCTAGACTGCTAGGCATTTCAAGAATCAAGTCTAGCTACTAGACAAACCCAGTGGAAGTCTAGTAGCTATTTGCCTATTTCAAACTATTGTCAGTCATAAAAAGACCCATTCAAATGACATGATTTTAGATTAGATCTTCAGCACCAAGTTGCCATTTGCCAACATCATCGAACATGGTAACATCACTATGTTATTGTTTGTTATGTAACATGCCCTCAAACTTGGTTTCAAGCAGACACTACAATAATCACTTGGTATAATATTAATAATAACAAGTTCCAAATATTCTGACTGTTAATCTCACTCTATTTTATGTAGCGTAGCCTGCATAGGCGAGTTCTGCAATGTGCAATAAAAATTTGTTTCCTCTGATCTTAATGAAAATTATACAGCTGAAAAGAGAAAAAATGAAAAAGATTACCATATAATTCATAAAAATGAAAATTATGGAATATGAATGAAGGTGAAAAAGCTTTGAATTTTTTCCTTTATTAAACTATGTCTCATAAATGGACCAATTTTTGGCACCTTTTTTTAGTTTTTTAGAAAAACTATTTTGTTAGAAAAACTACTTTTTCTAGATTTCCTATCAGCCAATTTTAATGATTTTAGTACAATTCACCATTGGACAGCTCTTGTTGTAGGCTATCTATTCAATTAAAATAAAACCTTTTGGTTTAAAAATTGACTGTCGACTGAAGGTGGGCTAGTTGGAAACTTTTTTTTTCTGAAATATTACAGCTCTAATGATATATAATTTCAGTAGGTATAAAATCTTGTAGGTCTAATGTCATGTATTTTTTATTTGTCTTAAAAAATGGTACTTTGCACTTCATCAAAATATCCTGCATTAGGCTGCATGACTCCCAAGTGGAAATTTCAATTCCTTAACAGACGTACCATCAACTGGGGTGACTTCTGCCACCCGGGGACCGGGGTGACTTTGGCCACACCTACAACCAAAACAAATGTCAGCAGAACAAAATAATAACCATTGGCCAAAGTCACCCCAGTGGCCATAGTTGCCTCAGTCACTTTGGACAATGTTTATTATTTTGTTTGGTGGTTTTGAGATTGAGATTGTGTTAGGCAGCTTTAATTTTTTGGCAGTGTAATTATTCCAACTTGCTATGGCAAAGTTCATGATAGTGTTTTTGGGGTTGCAGTAGCTTGGTTGACTTGCACTGAGGTGTTGATTAGAAGGTGGTCAGATGATACAGTGGTCATGGTTGTCCAATCCAAGAGTGTGATCTGAGTTTCAGTGGCAAGTAATGGCTGAAGTAAGTTAAATTGTCCGTTGGTTTGCCCTGACAAACCTAATCATCATCCGTGCTGACTTTGCTATGCTAATAAATTTGAATTTACTTGTCAATGCTGCACCCTGCTACCTTGCTAACTTATCTCACCCTGTTTTTCCTCTCAGCATTTTATTATTTCACTGTTATCTTTATATTTGCTAGGCATCAGTGGAAAAGAGCATTTCTAGTATATATAAAAATCCATAATATTCTGCTTCATAAAGCAATGTCTTCTCCAGCTTGTTGTGATCATTATATTGAACAGAGCCTATTGACAACTGATGAGCAAGGATACACTGCTCTTCATCATGCAGTAATGGCAAATGATCTTGCAACTTTGAAGAGACTTCTGACATATGCAGGTAATTTAACAGTAATGCTGCAAATGGGGTTTCAATGTTACCTATAGAAAGTAATATTTTATTTTTTTAAGTAATGTTTTGTGGGACTGTTTTGGGTTGTGTTTTTGCCAATGTTGTTAGTTATGACATCTCTATACCATGAACTCAACAGAATTTTTAAAGAAATTATTCAACTACTCTCTACCTTCTTCAAAATGTATATAGTAATGAGTTTCTACCCCTGCAGCATGACAGCATTTCACTGATACATGATCATTTCAAGCAAGTTACTCGTCTTCCTCATTAAGATACTTCCAATACCATTGCTTATGAATAATATTTTTACTTTATTCACAAAAATTTTAGAGCTTAAATAGAGCAATGTTGTAATTAAGTATTGTGTTGCATGGGCAGGAAATTCTCTCATGACAGGCAAAAGCAACTAACCCCATGAAAATAGCTGTAGACCCAATTATGACGAAATTTAAGTAAAAATTGTATGAACCAGTTTCATCTCCTACTTATTGAAAAAAAAATCATGAGCCTGATCATGATTTATTCAAGTTTTACTATGATTGAGTGAAATTATAATTTACTAAGCCATATTCTGGCCATACCTTCGTGAAGGTGAATAACATTTAAGTTTAATCCATAGCTGATGCTACTGTTCCTACTGTCACAAATCCTCTGCTGCTGTTGCTGCTCAGAAATCTCACAAGGTTCTTTTTTTCTTTGTGAAAAGCTTTCTTACCGTCACTGAGATTTTCTCAGCACAGAGCAGGTTTCAGCCTTTGAGGTCAAGTTGATGGGTAGAAAGAATTTTCTGCACTCTGCACTTTCCATTGCCAAACTTTGCAAGCAACATAGTGTGTAGTTATTGTCTTGTCTGTTGCTTTTTGCTCATATCCCATTAAAAATGTTTTGCCAGTTGAAGATGTATGAAATATGGTATTGAAATTGAAAATTGGACTAGCAGCTATAAAGACTCTTCACAATAATGATAAATGATTTTGGTAATAGGTACATGACAGCTTCTTATGCAGGCTCAACATGAAATCACATGGGAGCTACCTACTGCTCCTGTATACCATTGAATTTATTTGGTTCAGTTTTAGTACCGGTACTACGGTATTTGTTGTTAGCAACGGAGAATTGAAGTGATATTAAACCAATCCATTGCTTCAATAATTGGTTATGAAGATATACTGTAGTCAGCTAATATCTCACTTTCCATCAATGTTCATTGCAGATGAAAGGTATGTCAATATGGAGAGCCATGATCAGTCCACTGCGCTCCTTCTGCTCTGTAAAAGATTCACTCCTGAGTCACAGACTGGCCTGCAAACTGAGGTTACTATCTATTGCATTTAATAATATATGTACATTATTTTAAATTATACTGTCCCTTGTATTAGCACCTACATGCTGCAGAAACAAAAAATTCATTTATGATATGTTTAAATTGCATTTATAGCTGTTTTTTCCATTCAGTTTTATGTTCCAATCAATCATCAAATTTCTGTTGTAAAATAATTCAAATTATTTGCAGGCACAATGACCCTGGTTGTGTTGTATAAAATAATAATATTTAATGATATCTTGTATGCCAACGTGTTATGATTTTTACTGATATTTGTGCAGCTATCAGGGTGTGTTGCAAAAAGGTTAAAATTATTTTTAAGCGCTAAGCTTTGGCTTATCCTTTCATTGTGAATTTCATTTTCTTTATTCTTTTATTTGGTAACATTATTCTAGGAAGAAATTCTGGTGTGCCTCCTAGCTGCTGGTGCAAATCCTAACCTGCCTCACCCTGATCCAGTTTCCTTACCTCTATTGTGTGGTATGTTTTGCAGAGGACTTTTTCTAATGGTTAGATTTTTGGAGTAGTTAATGATTTTCATCATAAAATATATTCTTTGACAATTTAACCCTTTCACGGGTAAGTTGCCATATATGATCACTTGAAATCGCGTCACAAAAAGCATCACCACGGCTTCCTGTTTGTTTTTGAGGCATCCTTATAATGCTTCAGTCAATCACTAATTATCTGACCATCGTTCTATCTATAGCATAACCAGCTGCCAAGTCCACAAATTGAAATATGAGCATTTAAATTAAGGTTTTGACTCGGACAATGGAATTGACGCTCTTTCCGCATTTTCTTCAAAATTTGGAAGTATCAATATATATATTTATTTATTTTGGCAACTTGATTAAATTTAATTAAATTAAATTTTTAAGTTTCCAATTTTTCATTTGCATAAACTAAATTTTAATTATAAAGAAAAATTTTGTGTACTGATCGCATTTATTGAATTCTTCAAGTGCGATTTAAACCTTCAATAGGAAAAATTTGTAAAAATTCATAGAAATAAATATACGTATTGTATAATACTTCTTACTTTCTTGAAATGGTTTCTGAAATTTTAATTTCTGGATATTTCGATGCTTGCCCCCTAAAGGGTTAAGGAAGCCCATTTTTGTTGATTTAATGAAACCTTTTATAATTAACTATTAATTGTTAAATTTATAAAGTAGTATGAAATATCTTGCAAGAAGTCTATATATATGGTTGTGCAGTTATATGGAAGTTGTTGCAAATTCAATGAATAAGTTCTGCATGAATTATGTTGATAAAAACGTGTGAATAAAATACTTATAGGCTTGCAAAGGATGCAGAGGAAGAAGCAGTTTGTACCTCACTGTGTGATGCAATTTTTCTAGCGTTGGAGAGGTGTTGGTGGCGGGGTGCAGAGCTGCTGCTGGATGCGGGTGCTGATGCTACTGCCACTGATTTAGAGCACGACCACAGACAAGCTACTTTCTTTGCTAAGGTTTGAGCTTATTTTTTCTTGAAATATCTATTTATACTATTGTGCCCAACTGTTGCTGGTTCCTTTACTTCACAGACAACTTGGAAGTGTGAACAGCAATAACCTGGCTCATTTACTGGAGGCTCCAGTGTATTTTAACTTATTATGTCCTTATTTCTTTGCAAATTTCTTGTTGATTTTGTTGATTGACCCCTAGGTTACTCTAGATGCATACAATATTTTAACATATTTCAATCCATTGTATGTAATACCCTACCTCTTTTCCGGATACCTAGAGCGTACATTCATTCTCCATAGTAATATTTGTGTGATGCTGCAACATGTTCAATGAGAAAATTATGCAATTTTATTTTCTTTTCCAAAACATTTTTCTTAATTTGATGAATTTTGAGTATGAGCTACTTTTACACATTAAATTTATCGTAATGTTTATCCTGCCTCACAGGACAATATTGAAATGCTTGCAAGACTTCTTAGATGTGGCTGTTCCTATGAAGACATCAGCGACTGGATTGCAGATGGAGAATTTACCGAGTGCACGAGTTGGGAATGTGAGTTCTGAAGCAGCATGTAATTAAATGCTGAACACATCAGCTTGCAATCAAATCTGTAGACCATAAGTTGAGGATATGTTTTATGTATGTGTAATACCATGTAATTAAACTTATTCTATCATTGTACTAATGAATAATTTGTTCATCATTTTTTCTCTTAATTCTGTTTCAGAGAGATTGTCACAGGAAGTCTTCTGTACGAGACTTCAATTTATAATAAGGACCATGACTGCTCATATTACCTGTTGAATAATTTTGTTATATTGGACATCAACCTACGCGAATTCTTCCAGAGGATTTTTAACTCTCATGAAATTACTGACTGGAATGTTAAGATGAAGTAAGTGTAAACAGATCGATCATATATGTGGTTAGTGATCAATTCTCATGTTGCCTTAACTTGCTTCCCATATATAGCCTGGTACTTGGTAAATCATCCCCATGAGTAAATTTGATGGGACTTGCTTATCTGAATAACTGTGATTCCAGCTCTGAATATGAAATTATTCATTGGACTGAAAAAACATTAATCATGAGTTTTCCTCAAACTTGGCATAGAGCAACAAGTTTTGAGTCTTGTTTAGAACAGCTCTAATGGTCATGATGCTTCAGTTGTTGGACATTAAAATTTTCTTTGTGAAATCTTTTTTGGGAGCTGATTATTGAATTCAGCTTTATCAGAACATTTTCATTTTTATTTAATCCATTTTCAATATCCTAAAAGCAATATTCATCTATCCAGGTACATGAATGTCCTGACAAACTACATCTTCCGAGATCAAGTGGGAATGTTGTTCAAAAAGAAAAAAGAATTGTTGTTCGACCTTTTCCTGCCATGTTTCCTGTGAGTATCAGCTCAATCTGCCAGTTACCAAACTTGCTGCAATTCCAGCTATATTAGCCTCTATACTAATTATTTAGAAAATTTACCGCATTGAAATGTTTTCCAATGACTAATATCGATATTGCTCTGAAGCACACTCTGGCCTAAATCACTTTCCAAGCGTATCCCGAAGTATATCTTTAGAGACAAGTTGAAAGGATTCTTAAGTTAACCCTCTTCTCAGATACTGCGCGGTGGGAGGTTCACAATGTGCTGGTCAGTGCGGTTGGAACGGGTCGCCCAAAACCGAAAGTTCTTCAGAAATACAGTAAGCTGATTTATTACTTTCAGACCATGACACGTATCTGCAAACGGCCGTATTCGTTAACAGTGTAATTTAATGATGCCGAATTGCAATAACATCAGTCCCCTATCATTTCCATTACCAATTTACACCTTGTTTTGATAGCATCTCAATTCAAGTCCGCATTGTAAATATACCATTTTTTTAACTTAGTCCAAATGCTTATTTATTTCATTATATATCTTTGGAAATTCGTTTACATGAACTCTCTGAATATTATGCCATTAAATTTTTTCTTGGATTGAGTCATAAATCGTTAAATGGAATTTAAATAAAATATACAACTAATGCTACTAAAACCTTCCTTGTAATTTTATTTCTTCAAGGCTTGAATTGCTGAAACCTCTTCTCGCACTGGCGGAGCACAATGGTCTGCCTATTGAGACGTGGCAATTTAGCCAGCATATCTACAGACAGTTTACGTAAGTAGAGCGTGTGTGGTTAATATCTACAGACAGTTTACGTAAGTAGAGCGTGTGTGGTTATTAAGGCTAAAATACCAGGCTGTGTTAGGCCACTGAGTGTAGTCAATTGGGCAAGTCATAAATCATTGAAAGGCTAGTAATAGTTAGGATAAGGGAGCTAAATATAATCTTCATAATGACGATTAATGTGCATTAATATTTTTTGACATGCACAAGAAATTTACTACTACATTCAGTGTTTCTATTAAAATTTTAGTTTCTATTTTTTTCAGAGTGTCATCTAGCCTTGTATTTCATGAACATGAAATTTATGCTAAGAATAGTTTATGTTTTGAGTTGTGTAATTTCCGCACCTGAACAGCTTGATTGCAAATGTTATTAAAAGAAAGTTTCATTAGTCATTTCAAGTTTGTATTCACTCTTTACTCGTGTTCCAACAGGGAGTATTTAGATCCTGCGCACGAGGAAAGCGGTCTGACCGCGCTCAATGTCCTGCTCTACCTGACAGATTTGTGCAGCATTCCACTTATTTTGAAGTTGCTGCCATATTTCGAAAATAGAGGTTCGTTGATATATGCGCTCATATAACTTGTATCCTATTTCATCCTAATTTAATTTCATTATTTCCTTAGGCTACATTTATTTCTTCTGCTAGGGCATTTGTCGTCATTCGTTCGAGTAGGACGGCTACTGTCGGCCTTAAGTCCACCAGTGACGCTCTTCTATCTCTGTCGTAACTGTTTTCTACGCGGCCGTCGACTGTAAATATGCTACTATCTTCATAGCTGCTTTCTCATTTAGTAACTTTTACAGCTCTAACAGAGTTATGTCATGTGTTATGCTCGGCTGGATGGAGTATTACATCAGAAGGGTTTTTAGCGCATTTTCTCATTTATGGAAAAAATGCACTATTGTTTTCAAATACCGGCCGTTAATTGAAGTTTGCTTGCTTTGCAGCCGACTTGGAATTACCTTCTAAAAAATTGTTCAGACCCTCATGCAAAACTCGCCATTTGATATTTCAAATTAAACCATTCTTATTCATTTCATAATTCTCTTGAGTTGAATGAGGCTACTCTGTAGCTCAAGTTTCATACCACTCTTCATTCATAAAAAAATATAACTCAGTAGTACTCACTGCAGTGAGTGACAGAGAGCGCATTTTCTCGTCGACGAAAACGTGAAGTCATGGACGGACAGACAGACGGACATGGCGAGCACAAAAGTGCATTTTTCCATAAATGAGAAAACGCGCTAAAAAGTGGTCGCGTCCGGAAAAGTGGCTCAAAAATATTTTTTAGAGTAAAAGTCGTTGATTAGGTTACTGTCGGCCTCGTAACAAACGTGCCATAATTAAGCTGGGTCTAGATGCAAACGACAAAGTTCGTTGGCAACAGAGCTCTGCCGCGCAATGTTCAGCCTCGGCCATGGGCAGATCTTTCATGCCCTTAACACCAGTCCTCCACATGCTACTGAAAATATCTGTCCCTCCGTGAATCCCTCTGGTTGTGTCCATATCTCGTTTTCTTTTAAATCTCAATTTCAGCTTGGTACTCAGACCGCAATTAATAGTTTTTGTAATATGTCGATGTAACCTTTAGATATTATATATACATGACTGATTCAATGTGCGAACTCGTCAGGTTTTCAGCTAACAGCAGCATCTGTTGTAGCGTTCGTGTCGAATGTATGCATTCTAGAGCGCTTCGAGAGAGCGTTCAATAGATCCGATAACACAGCTAATCTGCACATGGTCGAGTCTCCATATCGAGTTTTGCTGTCTAAAGTCACGAGAAACTGCTGCCGGGACGGCCAGTGTTGGTTCAGGTGTGTTTGTGGTGACCATTGCTTGACTGACTGATTTCTTCTGCTTAGTGATAAATTTTTTTTTGTTTTATGAAATTTGGAAATGGAATGTTATGTTGTTGTTTTATTCACTTATTTCCACTGCTAACCGACATCAACGATCACGTTATAATTATTCATGCCTCAGGTCTTCAGTGCTGACGAGTCTTTGTAGGGGCGTAATTGACTGGGGATTTCACGCTCCATCTCTCCTGCTGTTACACTTGGGAGTGCATGACTTCACGCAGTACGAAGAGTGAGTGATTCAACTAAAGCACGTAACTCAGGATAACATCGTGGAGTCTTTTATGCTCCCTGTAGGATTACAAGTGCTTAGCTATCAAATCTCACTCTTAGAAGTCCTCTTGCTTCAATTTTCACAGTGTGAAGAGGTCGTAAGTCACAAGACGGTTCTATAATTTGTTCTTGCCAAGAAGGGAAGTTGCACAAATTTTTCGGTCGCTTGGAACGACCAATTCGAGGCATCCTGTCCTAATTTCTATCAGCAAATGATGACACACTAGATGCATCTTCATAGGCATAAAAATATTTCACTCACCCCGACTTAATTCATCAGTAAATCATTAATCTGAGTCTCAGTCTTAGTCAGAGGAGAATAAACGATGATAAAAAGTATGTATGAAAAAGTAACGCGTATTTTACCTTACCATTAATCTGGCATATAGTTATTCTTTCGTTGTAATAATTTCAAATGTCTTGCAGTTTGGTGGTGGGTTTGACCGGTGATGCCCCACCCGCACCCACCCTCTTACCCTGGGTTCATCGGTACGCACCAAGGGGTTACATCAAGTCGAAGCAGTTGCCACGGCATCCTGAAGTTTGTTCAATTTTTCCATCGCCAGGTGAGAATGACTTATGTCTCATTCAAAATGAGCTTATGGAGCGTGCCTGTTTCGCATGAGTTGAGATAACCTTGTTGTGTGATGATACATGTCGTTAAATAGATAATCGTTTTGCGTATCTCGTTTTTCCATTAGATCTATCGCTCATAGCGCGGGGTTGAAATGGCAAGTTTCCTAGATTGATAGTTTTCATTTTAATTCAGGAATTAGTGCTTGAAAAATGATTAAGTGGAGAATGGAACATTACTTGATATTGTAAATGGTTGAGGTTTGCGACTTTTGAAAAATGTAGTTATTTACCATTTTGGGACGAGTTCGTTTCATTCGCGATGCATTATTTAATTCTGAGCCCATGTTATCAATTGTTTTATAAATACAAGATTGAGTAATCAAATTTTATTGTGAAGCGCTAATCATTTCATCATTCATCAACAATCTCACTTGATCGCATTGCCACTATACTAACATGACTAATAGAGCCAAGTGTTCTGTGCAGCGCCGGTAAGGTCTCTGCAAGAGCTCTGTCGCCTCTCTATCCGCGCGGCTCTCGGCCACTGCAGGATTGAAGAAAAAACTGAAGGCTTACGTGGTCTGTTGCCTGACTCTCTCAGGGAATATCTTTATTTCCACAACGATATTTTCATCTTTCCTGCGCCCAATAATTGATTGACTCCTGTCAGCTCTTTGTTTTAACCCTTGCGCTACCACTCCACGGCTCGTCTCAACCCTTGCGTTACCACTCCACGGCTCGTCTCAGCCCTTGCGTTACCACTCCACGGCTCGTCTCAGCCCTTGCGTTACCACTCCACGGCTCGTCTCAGCCCTTGCGTTACCACTTCACGGCTCGTCTCTACCCTCGCGTTACCACTTCACGGCTCGTCTCAACCCTTGCGTTACCACTTCACGGCTCGTCTCAACCCTTGAACTACCACTTGACCGCTAGTTTCAACCCTTGAGCTACCACTAGACGGCTAGTCTCAACTCTTGAGCTACCACTTCACGGCTCGTCTCAACCCTTGAGCTACCACATCACGGCTCGTCTCAACCCTTGAGCTACCACTTCACGGCTCGTCTCAACCCTTGAACTACCACTTCACGGCTCGTCTCAACCCTTGAACTACCACTTCACGGCTCGTCTCAACCCTTGAACTACCACTTCACGGCTCGTCTCAACCCCTGAACTACCACTTCACGGCTCGTCTCAACCCTTGAACTACCACATCATGGCTCGTCTCAACCCTTGAACCACCACATCATGGCTCGTCTCAACCCTTGAACCACCACATCATGGCTCGTCTCAACTCTTGAGCTACCACTTGACCGCTAGTCTCAACTCTTGAGATACGGTACCACCTAACCAGCTTGTCAACGCTTGTGATACCACCTAACCGGCTTGTCAACATTGTCTACTTGATACTCTTGACGTGTGCAACATTGACCTGTTGCAAACGCCTTGCATTCTAAAGTCACATAACTTAATTGACTGGAAAATTTTAGGTGCTGAATAATTTTCGGCATCCAATGTACTGTCGATTTGGTGTCATTATTGGTTAAACGTGTCATTATTGAAGTATGAGCGAAATTTTGCGAGCTTCTTTTCAAAAAAAGTGGACTAAGTTAATTCGATTGTGCAGCAATAAGTTGCCCAAAATGTTTCATTTCTGCCGTGTACGCTTAATGGTGTGTCTGTGATAGTTACTGAATAAGTTCTAATACAGTTAAATTTTGATTGACTTTCATTATTATTTGTCCGCATTCTCACTAACCTACTATCGCCCAGCTTGAAGAAAAACATCCACTTGCTGGGACATATTAGAACAAATTTCTATCAATTCCTTGTGAATGATCCAAATACGTTTACTCGTTCAACTTTTTTGGGTGAGTAGGAAAATTGATATTGAAGTATATAATTTTTGAAAATTAAATAGGCTTTAGTGGGGGCCACAAATAATATAGCAAGTGGACTTATTTGACGAATTTGAGCAGTAACTTAAGAAGCCGAGCATGATGCATTAGAATAGAATAGAAGTGTCGGCGTTGAAGAAATAGGCCCATGGCCTGTCGCCGATTCTTGAATTTTTCGTGACTTGATTGGAACCCGATCTTTCCATAACTGACGATTGATTGAGATAGCAGTTGGACTTATTGCCTGGTCCGTAATTTGCTAGGCATTTTAAGACAACATAATGTATTTACTAACAACTAGAGATAAGTTCACCTGTCATTCTTCAAAAGCTAACTTGAGAAATGCAAAAGCTACATAGCGGTCTCACTACAATCCGTGTACATACTTGTAATTCTAACTTGGAAGAATAGCGAGAAGATTTATTTGTGGAGAGATAGTATATTCATGTTAGTGTACTTGAATCATTGCTGTTAAGCCAGGCCAAATTAGAGCTTCCAGATTTTTCAGTATCTGAAATTCCAAGAACCGTATGAAAGGCTTCTTCCTTGGAAGTTAAAAGCAATATGCAAATCATCGACGTAGATACCAATCATTATAGGAAATTCCCAATATCGCCCTGCACGATATCACATACATAATCATAGTGATGTCGGCGCTGAGGAATAGGCCTAATGTGGCCGATTATTGTACTTTTCGTGACTTGTTCACATAAGATCTAAAATAAAGTCATTTGGCCGGAGCTTTTCAAAAGACGATAGTTTGAAATAGCTACTAGACTTCCAGGTTCGATATGGTCACCTTTTTTGAACAGTGTCACTTGAGGTTTTTTTCCAGCGGCCAGCATAGTCCCTTTGTTCAAGGTTTTTTTAAAGAACGCTGTCAATGGGCTGGCCTGGACATTGGCTAACTCTTCAAGCAATCTATAGGGTAAAAGCCGTCTGATCAACAGACTTATTGGGATTCAGAACGACCAGGCGCTTGAGAACCTCTTCTTCCTGTATTTTAAAACCTGTTAACTTCGAGCCTACTGGGCGCTTGTCAATAGTTGGAATTTTGTTCAAGTCTTCATCTGTGAACACACTGCTAAAGAACTGATTATGTACGTTAGCATTGCTCTCATCAGAGGACATCTTTCGATAATCTACATACTTTCAAATAAGAAATACCGTCGTTTGACTTCACTTTGAACTAGCGTACAAAAAGAAAACTTTCGGGTTATTTTGTGCATTTTTGGCAATATTTTTTAAAAAATTTTTACTGCAGTGCGACAGAGTTTTATAGCTTGATTTCGAGTTCCTTCATATAAGTTATAATCATCGCTGCTAGTTCGTAAATAACGCTTGTAGGCTTCTATTTTGATCTTTAGCTTAGCCATAACTGTACTGTTCACCCACCGACTTTTTGACTTCACCGAGCTTAATCTTGGGTACACACGCATCAATTGCTAACCTGCAGCATAATTACCGTTTCTTTGAGAAATAATAATAATAATAATAGCGGTTTCAGCGTTTATTAGGCCGTAGGCCTGTCGCCGATTCTTGAATTTTTCGTGACTTCTTTGGAACCCGATCTTTCCATAACTGACGATTGATTGAGATAGCAGTTGGACTTATTGCCTGGTCCGTAATTTGCTAGGCATTTTAAGACAACATATGCTCCTGCATAGCTTCGTCTAGCCTCTAGCGACTAGTCTGTTCTTGAAGGCGTTCACACTCGGAACGTCAACGATGCTATCAGGAAGGCTGTTCCACATGTTGGTGACTCTGAGCGAGAAATAAATTTTGTCGTATGGATGTTACAACGCAGTTTTTTTAGTTTATAGCCGTGGACCCTGGTGTTGGTTCTTGTTTCAAATTCTACTAATCCTTCTCGGACCTTGTATAAACCATGAGTAGGTATACTTGTATGCTTCCATGAGTTCTCCACGCAGACGTCGATAACTGAGGCTTGGAAGCTTCATGATCTTTATTCTTTTCTCAGAGGACTTGCCTTTCAAGCCCGGAATTATCCTTGTTACACGTCTTTGAACACTATTAAATTTTCGTCCCTTTCAAGTTTCGGGGACAGGCCAACAAGGCCTAACAAACCGCTGATCCTATTACATTATTATAAGTGAGGGAAGCTATCGTTCCAAAACTATATGTCAACAACTTTGTACGTTAGTTTACCAAAGAGTTTAAGCTCGGGCTCGACTCCTAGTTTCGATGTATCGAGTTCTTTTCGCAGGGTAGTTATGAGGTAAGAATGAGTTAACGGAGTCAAACTGTATTTACTAACAACTAGAGATAAGTTCACCTGTCATTCTTCAAAAGCTAACTTGAGAAATGCAAAAGCTACATAGCGGTCTCACTACAATCCGTGTACATACTTGTAATTCTAACTTGGAAGAATNGCTTAACCGCCCGGCCTCCTCGCCGATTCTGACCAGAAACTGGTGCACAGAGCTGGGATCGAACCCGCGCCTCTCTGCGCCAATCTTGGTACTCTGAACTGTAACCACTGGGCCACCCTGCCCAGTGGTTAATGACCATGAATCAGCCATATTTATGTCCTTAATAGTTAATACCGCTGGAAATATTTGCCGCACTCACTGCATTACGGAGTTTAACATAGTCACCTGTCGCAAAGCTCATACCGTACGTTCACGCTTCCGCTGCCTTTTCAGTATAACACTTAATACTGAAAACAATGATTGGTGGTGGCTTTTGTTCGACGGAGCCTCGTGGTGACGAAGCCGATCTAACATTGATTCTTCAAGTAAACACAAGGACTAGAATACTTGAGGTCTGTCTACCCCTAAAATGGGTTGGCTTGGTGATGTTCTGGATTAAAAATGAGTCTCGCACAGACCCCAACAACAAGGATGTTGGGTGAGTCCCATCTCTTGCAGGGGCTTTCATCGGCTCAGTCTATTTCTGGATGGTTAAAGTCACCAATGATCAACGTATGCGACCTACTGCAAGTCAGCGGCGTCTGAAAAATATTAGAATGTTATTTTATAATGCCAAAATCTAGTTTCTAAAGCTAGAGGTTAATATTGTTAGAAAGGTTATATCTTTAGGAGACTAGAAGAAATGCTACATGCTACTCAAATATTGACGTATCTGCGAAACAAATTCCATTAGAAAATGATTCACCAGCACTTTTAACCACGGGACAACTCTCCACGGATCATGTAGCGGGTTTTCATTCACTCGGATGCGCATGTCTAACACCACACAGATTTCAAATGGATATACTTTTCTTCGAAATAGCCAGCGGACTCGAACGCGGCTTTTTGGCAACTGAACCAATCATATTTATCATAAGTACTTTAATTATGAATGAATCTGCTTGGAATTCAGAATATGACTTATTCTCAACAATAAAGCACGGGTGAAATTTTTAAAGATTTTAAAGTCATTTTGTTTTTCATTAAAAGGAGAAAGCGCCACTTTCGCGTGGCTGAACCGACAATAAGTCATTCAATTCTGAACGGATCTGCTTGAAATTCAGAATAAAATTCTTGACAACGCAACGCAGGTGAAATTCTTTCTTGCAACGCGGAAATTATTGACAATGAAACGAAAAAATTCCGTGCAATGCAACGCGGGTGAAATTATTACATATTTTTGCGATTTTCATTTTTTAATTAAAATGAAGCCTTCAAGAAGCCTGCCGAAGACCACCACTGCCCTGGATGTAATGGACCATCATGATTCCTGCCTTCCGGAACGTAGCCTTCAACACTTCAAGCCGTCCGTATCTAGGCCGTGGGTCGAACCAGCCCTCGGTCGAACGGCCACTTGTCGAAGGATGATAAATTTTGGAACAGAACTATGCCNACAAGGCTTTTATGAAGTGGTAGCCACGTATAGACTGCGGCGACGTGTGCGCCACGACACCGTCGCTTGCAAATACCGCACAAGTTTCTTTACGCATGAATTTACTATTATTGACATCAAACGAGAGTTGGAAGTCTTGCACGAGCTAATGAAATGATCGTCTGTTCGGAGCTTCCAATCTAAGCATTCAATAATTTTCATTTTCAACGATTAGCTCTTTTATTTTGCTTATTTTTTCTGAAAATGCTATCGAGCAGTGGATGTTTGAGAAGTGCGTCTTCTTTGTTGTTGGAAGCGGACGCTTCCGTGCTGGTCAAACACCTGTTTGGTCGTATATGTCGCACGCCGCAAGTCGGATGTTTATTTTTTGTTTTGCATTTTCAAGTTAATTTACATTAGAAACATTTCTGAAATGCTGATTTGAACTCAAAAATAGTATTGAAAATTTCTGAAATGCATGGTTGAACTAGTATATCTGAAATGCATCAACATCGTCTAGACTCCAGAGTCTAGACTCTAGAGTAACGAGTTTAAGTTACCATTCACTCGTTTCTTTTCTCACTCCTAAAGAAATTATGATCACCAAAGCAGAGTAGTATTTTCCTATTCATTTAGAGTCGTCATATTTTGAAGCTCACGCTGATTCATTTATTTTTCTAAAACGTATTTTCACGTTCCATGTTTACCGCCGCATTAGCGCATCACAAGTGATTATAAATCATAGACCCCTAAATTGCAAAATGCCACATCCATTCATCATCATGGAATATTCCGTCCCACAAGTAAGAGAAAATTTCTAATGTGCAAATGTGGTGGATTAAACATATTAATTATGGAAATTTGACCATGAATATGCGATAAAAGCGGACGTCGTGTCGGGCGTACCTTGTGACGCCCACCTAACGATCCGTCCGACATTTCCGTGGCCGGCCTTCCGGCCTTAGTGACCAAGAAATATCTCCCTAACTACAGATCTGCTATCATGGAACTTAGCACGCGAATTAGAGCGATCCCTCCTACGTGTGTAACTGGTGTTTTTTTTCAAATTCTCTATCGAACCTCAATACCAGCAAAAGGTTGTCAAGAGTTCATGGGGAAAAGTTTCCCGAAAGCAGTTTAGTAGATTGCAAGAAATTTCTTGTGCACTAGGAGTAAAACGGCAGACTGCAAGACCGACTGCATGCGCTGGTCAGACCGCATAGCCACCATGCAGTCAAGCTGAAATGGAGACGTTTCTCATAACCTAAACACGGACAGAGTCTTGATAGTAGTTCGTGTGAGACGTTTTATTTAAATGCATTCAGTACTCAGAGATATAGTGTGGTCACTCGTATGTCCACCCTTCACAGCCATTTAATTTTAACCTGTGAACGGAGCTGAAAGCGATGTATTTTTCGAGCTAAGCATGAGCGTGAGATTTCATTTCAGATCAGATAATCAGATAAATCATTATCTATTATTATCTATCTATTATATAAGATCTATCTATTATTATCTATATATATATCTATTATCTATTATATTATATATCTATTATATTATCTATTGTTATTACATATTAATCATAAATCAATCAGATAAATTTAATTTAAATTTTCGGTGGAGTAATCTAAGGGGCTTTTTCACGTGTCAATAAGCAAAGTCAATGAAACAAAATATGGCTCACAAGGAACTTTTTTCAGAAGTTTAAGGAGTCAAACAAATGGAATTATCAGGTAAAACATTTTTTGCTCGCAGTCAGTTATGGCTTGACGGGAACGATATTCATGCGGTTACGTAATTAAATTAATTGGGTAACGTGAGACTGACAAGCGGTCACTATACACAGCAAGGTTAATACGATTTAGTAGTATTCCTGTCCACCAAACACATACGTAGCTTCTTTTATAGTTGTCAGCCGGTAATCTCAGAACCCGATGTATTGGAATCATTACCCGACTGCGACTTGTTCATTTCTGCATTGTTGACCTCGGCCGGGTTTCAATCAGTAGATGTCGCGCGTCTGCTTGCTTGCTTTCGGCAATCGTGGGTAACATTTTTTTTATCTCTTTATCATGGTCGAAGGAATTGCGCGTAGATTTGATCACGCTATTTGTAATCTGCTTCACAAAATGCAGGAAACATCTTTTCAACGCAATTTACAACAACGTACCTATAAAGCTTCTTTTATGAAAAAAATGAGAAATATATCCACATGACAAAATAAACGTAATTTGCATTTTAAAGGGAGGTCAATAGTTTGATAAGCTCTTTTTTATTCTATATGTTGCTTTAACTCATTTAAGTAAGGAATTGAAAGAGCCGTTTTCCGCATGATGGATGATCACATTTTGAGGGATTACAAATCGGCCTTACCTGGTCGACAGCACCGTAATCGATTGAGTATTTTCATATAGCGACATCTCCGTGCACCAGCTTACGTAACCGCAATTCATTCTTCGGCTGATGTTGAATATAACTTAAACTATTTCCCATTTTTTTCTTAAACTGAAACCCGTTAAGCGCTGACATGCAACGAAATAATGAAAAATGGATGTGATTTGCAGATGTTTCATGGAATTTTGAATCTATAAGGTGACGCAATAACGTATTTATCGTACAGCGATACCTTAATATTAAATTTTGTTACATTTTATATTATTTGGCGTTTTTTCGTGGCGTAGTAATTGTTCAAAATTAATATGACACGAGAATACGCTAGCAACGGGCTTCAGTATATGCCACCCATCTTCAATACGCATGTTATACTAACTGAATATGTGTGTGTAACAAAATACATAAGCGTGTTCATACGCGTGTCACTGCAGTCGTAGTAACTCAAAAGATGCTGACTGCGCAAGCGACAAGTTCTCTTATTATCTCGTAAAGATTTGGGAGGGCGCTTGTGAGGCACTTCACTATGATGACAAGCAACGTCTAACTTCTGATCAATGGGCTCAACCTCTTAGATCTGTAATACGATAGATCCCCTTCAACTTCATCTGGTTTTGTCAGCTACATCATTTATCCGAGTATTCGTCCATATTAATATTTTTTCTATTGTCAACGTTATAGTCGTTATAATAGTAATTTTAGTTAGGTAATAGTGGTTTTTAAACAATACTGAACATACACGTTAATTCTATAAACTTCATTAATTACTTAAAGTGAATGCTAAAAATTTCAAGGCTTTGATTTTTAGTTTCTAGATAATTTTTTCATTCATAATCTTTTTCGGCAATCCATTTGAGAATAAATTTGCGAGCTTGTAAAATAATTTACACTTAGTTCTATTTACAAATTCGTGCATATGAAAAAAGAAGTCAGCTTGACACCGGACATAAGAATGCAGACTTTAACAGCCCCGAGCAAACGGGTTTCCGATACTACATCTGAGTTCAACGTCTCTAAGCTTTGCCATGCCGGAGGTGCATGGAGCGTCCATGCAAAACATTATCTTTATCAGATGATCTTTCTTCTTACTCGCGCTCGCAACCATGTTCATTTGATTCAGGTATAATAAAGTTGAGACTGAAAAGCATTTGCAAAACTCGAACGTGTTGATTATATGATTTTATTCCAATGGGCTGAGATAGATTGTATCTAGAGTATTCTTCATTGTTTAATAGCTTTTCTAAAAAATATTCAGTCCAGTCTACATCATGTTCTTTATTAATTTTGTTTGTGATTAGGTTGAGTCACAATACAGCGATTTTATGAGCAATCCATCAGTTACCCTAACATTGAACTCGTTACGATCTCGTGGACCGAGTCACTGTTGAAATCGTTACGATCTCTTAGACCGAGTCACTGTTGAACTCGTTACGGTCTCATAGACCGAGTCACTGTTGAACTCGTTACGGTCTCTCGGACCGAGTCACTTGAACTCGTTACAATCTCTCGGACCGAGTCACTGTTGAACTCGTTACGATCTCTTAGACCGAGTCACTGTTGAACTCGTTACGATCTCTTGGAGCGAGTCACTGTTGAACTCGTTACGGTCTCATAGACCGAGTCGTTGTTGAACTCTTTATGATCTCTTGGACAGACAGAGTCATTGTTGAACTCGTTACGGTCTCTCGGACCGAGTCACTTGAACTCGTTACAATCTCTCGGACCGAGTCACTGTTGAACTCGTTCCGATCTCTTAGACCGAGTCACTGTTGAACTCATTACGATCTCCTGGACTAAGTCTCTGTGTTATAGGACCTCGATCGTCACATATGGTTCCGAAATTTGGTCCGTGATCAGCTGTGTTGGGCACATACCGTGGGAAGCAGTATCGTGGCACAAGTCTTGATGATGTCTGTGCAAATTTTTATATAGAGGCAGCTTTTTAGTAGGGGCTTTGGTAGAATTTTGTCGGTGGTAAAATTTGGTAGAAGTTTGCCCATGTAATTCGTTTGTATTTGACGCTGATTAAGTCGCATGATTCGAGAATTCGCATGATAAACATATGAGTATTTTTATTAGAGTCTGCTGTTTCCGTTTCTGAGAAGATTATTGATAAAACATGTCTATAATATTTCTCGAGGCAATATTTAGAAGTTGAAATTGCCGCCTTGTTATTTTTTGCGTAATTCAATGGAACAATATCATTTTTTACTCTATTTTTAATTTCCCCAAAAAATATAGAAGAAAAATGTCGAGGGGTTTATGTGTGTTGTGTAACTTAAGTAAAGGTATATATTGTGTTAGATTGCTAAGAGAATCAGTGAAAGCTGGATTAACAAATAGATTTAGTGAATTAGTTTGTTTAATGCTAACTAATCTGTAAATAATATTTTACTTGATATGTAATGGAAGCTTGTTAATGTTGAATTTGAATTGTCTTTCAGAGAGGCCTCAGAACATTCCAAACCTAAAACATTAGCACATTTTATATATGTAATTATATTAAATATTATATATTCTGTATTTAAAAAATATATTCTGTATATTATGGATATTATACATATTATTCAATGTATTATAATGACGTCCATTAGAATATTTAAGTTCATGTGTAAATATTTATGAATTGATTATTTGCTTAGCTCAGGAGCTAAAAATTGAACATTAATATACACTCAATTTAAGCAAAAAATTATTTTAGATAATATTATCTACACAAAAAATGTAAATAAATTTATTAGAAATTTGAATACTACATTTAAATGCACGGCGGTGCAGTTAAATGTTTGAAGCGTTATCTGGCATTACCCTACGTCACAAGACTAGAAGATTCTACAGGCCTATTCGCGACCATCAAAAGACCATAAGAAAAAGTTGACTTTTTCTATGCTATAGCTATATGCTTCAGTAGGGTGCCAGCAAGTAATACGAACTATTATATCTGATATTTGCTCGCATGTGTTGGGAATGGAGTGACTTTACATACAGCCTTATGAACCGTTTGTTTATGCAGGTGCGGCTACGAGTGCAGCCGGCAAGTGTTTTTTTGTTGGGGGCTCCTTTTGTGGTTGCTCCCAAATTGCCAGTATGACCTGCGCCGACGTCGCGGGAGGTGGCCATTCTCTGCTCGCTCATTATACTCTGGAATGACCCTGCATCGCTGACGCTAGAATACTTGAACTATTCTGCTCGTTTGATACTCTAAGAACCGTTTTATTTCCATTCAGGTGAGTCAATCAATTTATAGGGGATATTATTTTAACGGTAATTTCAGTCGAACTGGAAAGATGAGTAACTTAATCTGGCGAACTGGTTTTGTATTCTCCTTTTTATAAGCTTGCATAGCGGATAATGGCATTAAAAACTTGATTAACTGCTGTTCGGCTAGTTGCAATGCACTTCTTTCTAGTCCAAGCAAAATGTTCTCTTTGAGCGCGTTCAATATTGCCGTGAGTTGGATATAAGTTAAAGGGCCCGTGACGAAAAAACTAATTTCAGCTTTAAAAATTTGTTAAGTGAAAAATATATGAAGTGAAATCTGTTATTTGATCCGTAAGGTAATACTCATTCTGAAGGCTAGATATTTATATGTTTTTCACAAATCCAAATAAATGTTTGATAACTAATAAAGTTTTGTTTCAGAAAAGAATTTTTTAACCCCGCGTATTGTCCATAAAGCTTTCTTGTCGTTTACTTTCATATATATTTGTTACCAATTATTTATTTTCAATAGCTTCCTCCACCGAATTGATGAACTTCTAATATCATAGGATCACAACGGACCACAAATCTTACTGAAAAAATGAAATAGCAACGAACAGCCAATTGGGTCGACAATTTCACCAAACCAATAACGCAAACATCGTACTGGTATTTTCAAGAAATTTTCTCAGTGAGATCCAAGCTTAAGACAATAGAGATAAATTCTCTAGAGTACGAGAATCAGCCTAAACAAACATAAAACTGGTATTTTTTATTGTGAGATCTAAGATAAGGGCCCTAAGGATAATTTTTGCTGCCCAATTAATTCACCCAGAACAAGCACATAACTGGTATTTTTCAGTGTTTTTCTTACTGAGGCACAAGATAAGAGCCCTACGGATTTTTACATAACAGCGACCCGGCCGAAATTTCCCCAACTGATAAATGAACTAAATAACTGAAGAGCAAGTTAAATTCTATAAGTGACTTAAGCTTAGCCGTTGCTTGCCTCTCAAAACCGTGTTATTAACCTGTCCCCTTACGAGATACAAGAAGCATTTGCCAGCAGCTCGCTACAAACATGGTTATGAGGAAATTCTTTAGGCTACCTACTCTGTATTACGGACAGTTTAGAGGCTCTCTGTGTAATATAATTACGCGACGTAATTATATTACACATCTTATTGTGCGTAATTAATATTGAGGTGGAATCTTTCAGGGTCTGTATTTGAAATTTTATTGCACTAAAACGTCAGTTATCTAGTAAAATATATTTATGAATTAATCCCTACAATAACGCGATATCATCCATTTATATTCAATTGCATGGCATGATTAGAGCGTCGGTAATTCTGACTTAAAATTATATTATATTTTATAGATAGCAGTCTGTGGGTGAATGAATTCGTAAATTGAGTTATGAAAGTTAGAGACTTAGAGTAAAGTGTTGAGAAGGCTACAGGAATTTGGGGTGGAACTGTGTAAAGCTTGTATAAGGTGCTGTTGTTCTCGAGACCGCGAGACCGAGGGTTTGTTTATAGTTTGAAACGGCGAGGGTATCAAAGGTGCTGACCTTGTGGAACTCACTACCGTCGCGGCGTCACTTCGAGGGAGTAGGCGTAACGGTGCGCGACACTAGCGTATATAAGGACCTTAAAATTCGCGCCAAGTGTTGGTTCTACGAAAGTCACGGTCACGAGCACAGTCTGCAGCGGACTATGCAACGGCCGCGGCCGTGAGGCCGGCGGTTTGTCGTTTTCTAACATTGACGGTCGCGACTCGCGAGAAACCTAGACTATCGAGGCAACTACGAGTCCGGTGAGCACGTCAAGAAAATCAACATCAACACTACGGCTGCTACTCAGCCGTGAGACAATGCGAGAGAGCCACGAGTTGTACAACGATTATAACGCACGTCATCAGAAGATCTAAGTTTCGAGTTCTACACCAAGAATTATCATCGGTACGGTCATCAATAGTACGGTCACTATTTTCATCGGAAGAAGCGGTACGGTCACAGTCATCTCGACCGCAGTACGACAACGGAGTTGGAGTATTTTCATCGACCATGAAGACGAGCACCACTATTCCGAAGTACGGTCATCATAAACTCTACGGTTAGACAGGCCGCTAGACATCACTATAGCGCGAGAAATGCCGCCATGAAGAAAGAGCAACTGTGAAAGCGGACGCGAGAACACAGCAGCGTACGGCCGCTCAACCTATATACGGCCGCAAAGTGTGCGTGTACAGTACGGTCGTTTGCAACGGTCGTACGGCTCGACGGAACTGCAATTTATCAACGTATGTAAACTGATAGTTTCTCAAATTTGAATGTGTTCAAATCACATTTTGCATGGACTAGAGATTTTTGTTAACGTAGGATGTGTACTTAAATTTTCCAATTTAATGTGAAATGTATCAGTGTTTCATTACAACCCTCTCTTTGTTCTATATTTTGCCGAAACCTTTCCAAAAAGAGAACCTTTTCATACGTGCCAATCAAGCGTCACTCGGCGACCACCTGACAAAACGATAAACGGTTGACTGGGCTGATAAGTGGCAGCTGCGTTTTAACGCTGACAAATGTAAAGTTATCCACCTTGGCAAGAATAATGAACAGCAAGATTACAGTATGAGAAGACACGGCTGCAACGACAGAGTGATGATGTCGAAGTCGACAACGGAAAAGGATTTAGGAGTATGAACCTGATCATAACGTAAAATTGGGGGAGTAATCACTCCGATCCTCCAACTTCAAAATATATGAGACGATAAGAAATTAATCTCTCTTTTATTTTTTTCCTATTTAATCAGGCATGTATAGTTGTTAACATATTTTTGCTGAGAATTTATTTACTGATTTTACAACCGAAATGCAGACGCAATTGTTCAATGACAGTGGACAGCGAAGACTATAGCGTCACCCTCTTCAGATGCTCGTGACTGCTCATGACTGCTGTTTCTAAACGTCAAAAATGTTGTATCAAAATATCGATCCCAATTTGAAACTAACGTATTTTCTATTTTTAAATCGTTTTTTGATAACAGACTTCTGAATGAATAAAAGTTTTCTTTCTCCTCTTTGGCATTGCAGCTCTTCTTGATGCCTCCCAAGAGCAAGAGCCGAGAAGCCATAACTGCGATGGCCCTCGGTAGACCGTTCTCACCACTGCCTTCAGGACGCAAGAATGAGTTTTTTGCGCCGAAAATTGTGACCGTGATTTTTGGGGCATTTTTTCTAAGCTCTCTAGCACCAAATCTCCCTTCTACCGCAGCCAACCCCACTGAATCCACAACTACCCTCCCCGAAGTCCCTTCTCCATCGACTGCGGAAATTTTGGTAATTAATTGCATTTTAAACCAACCAAGTATCAATTGTCATATTTTGCTGAACATGTATTCATATAAATAATTTCTTCATAGTAAAAATCAGAGCTTTAGCCTTACATCTGCATGCAGCGTTAAGGAAGTTTAACTAAACTAAACTGAAAAGTCATGCTTACAAAGGTTCGGCAAATTTCTTTATATGTTCTTGCAAAAAAATATAAATCGTGTACGACAATACATCCTGCATTGAAACTTCACTAGACTTGACATCCTATATTTTTTCATTTGCATTAATAGCTGTAATAAATATTCTCATTCTGGATTTCTTTGCCAGAGGCATCATCATCATCCAGAGGCATCATCATCAGAGGCACCCACAGCCGAGACCAAGATCGATGTTCGACTCCCAAAATCGATCGTTCCGCTCAAGTAAGTTTCGACTAAAACATACATCTTTAATATTGCGTTTTCCAGAACAACCTTTTTACGTGCAATTTCTCATCTACCCTAAGGACTCGTGACTTCCGTGAGAGCGTTTTATTCATCATTCGAAAACATATTGAGCCAGCGACATGAAAGCTGGAGCACGAATATTGGTTTTAGTATCATGAAAAGAATTAACGGTGAAACACTTGCAGCTTCATTTCAACAGTTGAATTTGCGGTCGGGCTTTTGCCGATCCCAAAAAATGCGAGACCAGAAAAACGTTTAAGAAATATATATACATATACATTAGTATATATTTCTCAAACTATGCAGATACGTTATCCGGCTACAGCCTCTGATCAACGGTAACTTCTCTATCATGGGCTCGGTTGAGATCACCATGAAGGTCTTGGAACCCACCCAGAACGTGTCCCTGCACATGGCCGACATCATCAGCAAAAACGAGACCATCAAGGCATGTAGAGGAGGACTGTTCAACATCTCTTGTTAAGATCAGTCGTATGAATGTCACATAGTTTAAGGCTGTTGGGTCTGAAGTTATTTTGATTGAATTCATGGGTTAGTTTTTTAGAAATCATTTCCGAGACTATTGAGCAGCCACCACGGCTCGCACTTCATATATTTCGTTTTATAACTCGCTTTTTAAGTCACGCCAATTATATACGTGGTATTAAAATTTTCCAGTTGAAAATGTCTGACGACCCATCGGCCTCGCCATTAAAAATCACGGAACACAAGTACGATGCTGACCGAGAATTCTACATCGCAATGTTGGATCAGGAGCTTGTCAAGGATAGGAAGTATGTACTTTCCATGAACTTCGAAGGCTACCTCAACGATCAACTCAAAGGCTTCTACCGCTCCCAGTACACCGATAAAAGTGGACAGAAGAAGTGAGTTCAGTCGATTCCAGCAAACGATTTTCCATGTTCTGCAGTGGTTATCGATTTTTGTTGCATTTTGTGCCTCATTAACTAAGGATTATAGCTAACTCGTTCATACTGATGTTGTCGTAACACTGCAATTTCATGCATTATCTTCGGAGGCATTCTTGTTATAATAATTAACAATGCCCTTCCTGATCCCAATGACTGAAATAGGCGAACGAATTTCATGCCGCGCATCATTGATTTTATGTTTATCTTGCAGTGACGCATTTTCACTCTTTCTGTTACTAATACAATTTTTGTTTGCCAGGGTTTAAGAATGTTTTTTGAATTATTAATAATTAATTATCTGTCGCAGAATGATAGCGACAACTCAGTTCCAGCCTACGGATGCCCGGCGCGCGTTTCCGTGTTTCGACGAGCCTGCACTCAAAGCCGAGTTCGAAATTTTCATTGCTCGGCAAACCAACATGTCCGCCCTCTCGAACATGCCAAGAATAAACACCTCGCTCATGTGAGAAGCTCGTATATTTGTATGCATACAGAATTATAAGTCTTTTCTCATGTTGGTTTTGAAGGAAGCTTGCATCATTGATCAATTTTAACCAACTTTGAACCAAGTCTACTTGTGGTATGCCACTTTCCAGCATGGTGGACTTTCTCGTTTGTATCCAATTGATCCAATTTTTCTGTTCAGGCTTCCGTTTTAATTTTTCACTACTGCCACTTATATTGTTATCCTTCTGACTCGCTCATTGAACTCGACAGCCCTGATCAGCCAGGCTGGGTGTGGGATCACTTCAACTCATCGGTTCCCATGTCCACGTACTTGGTCGCCTTCGTCGTCTCCGATTTCTCGCACATCAACTCCACAGCTAACAAAAACACACTATTCAGAGGCAAGGATATTCAGCATTAGGGGCATCGTTTATAGGCCGTTTTAAAATCAAGACCTCGCCCTAAAAATGAGCTTGATTTCTTTTTTCTTTATCCATGATCTTTAACATTCTACCTTGGCTCTAATGCTGGAAACCCATTTAAGGCGACCGTAAACGATTTTACGCTAAGTAGCAAAAAATTAAAAAATCGATGTTTATTCTTCAATGCTCCGTACTGGGCATGATTTTGGCATATTAGTTTAAAATTCTTTAAATTTACTTTCATTACTACAAACTTATGTAATTAATACATTTATATTTTAGGTTTTGTTTCCGAAATTATGGTTGATGAATAACTATAATTATTGCCACTCTGTAATTTGAATATTCACCGCATTTCTACCAAAATCCTAGAAATTCATTTATCTTATAAGCGGATTTCTTTTTTATTTTTGGTGAAATTTTCAAGCGTCTTTGCCCGCATTGGGGCCTTAATTTATAGACAAGTATAGAATGCCGAATTAAATTATAGAATGCTAAATTGTACTTAAAGAATTAATATTCCTCAATAGAACCGAAACAAAATTTAATAAGACCGAATAAGTTATTCGGTAATCTTCCACCAGTCTGGGCACGCCAAGAGGCCATCGATCAAGCCGAGTACGCGAAAGCGATCGGCCCCGACGTCACGACTTATTTCGAAGACTATTTCTCCATCCCGTTCCCGCTGCCCAAGCAGGACATGATTGCGCTACCTGATTTTTCTGCCGGTGCCATGGAGAACTGGGGCCTCATCACATACAGGTTCAGAAGTTAATTAGTAGAGTTTGTACAGGGTTTAATATCACTTGGTTCACTTGAATTCATGAATCATTGATGCTTAATCTTTACCCAGCCCGAAACTCTCGCCGCGTTGAGAGTTTGGGCCGCCGAGCTCGGTCACCATTTTCTACCTGGTCGAACTTAGCTGGCAAGACAAATTCGAGGCACAGGCCCGTACGTAGTTCGCAGCCAATTCGACTGGGCACGGCTGTGGCCTCGGATGTTTTTTTGCACGTGTGAATGTTTCGAACACTTGGACGCAGCCCCAGACAATAGACTGCCTGGTTATTGCATTTGGAGCTGCGCTGGTGGAACCGTTGCGCCAGGAATATACATCCCGACTGGCTATCAGCTGCGTTGATTTCTGACTGGGTACTGGGTAGTCATGTCTTGTGGCAAAGGCCCTTTGATATTAGCGCAGAGCGATTGTTTGACTGTCATAAAGAAATATTTCAAATTTAGTGTTTGTAACAATCACATTGAATTTTCTTGCAGGGAAACAGCTTTGCTTTACGATCCTGCGGTGTCATCTGCGTCCAACAAACAAAGAGTTGCTGCAGTCGTGGCCCACGAGCTCGCCCACCAGTGGTTCGGAGACCTGGTCACACCGTCTTGGTGGACCGACCTCTGGCTCAACGAGGGCTTCGCTTCCTACCTTGAAAACTTAGGAGTTGATGCAGTAGGTTACTTGATTTTTGCTTCTTATATATGGCTGGAAATAACTATCTAGTTTTGAAGTACTTCATTTCAAAATGCGAAACTATCTTTCAAAATAGCTTATAAGTGTTGACTAATAACGAGCATTTTAATCTAGCTGTACGAGTCTGTCAACTTCGTTAGGGAGTTTTAAATGTATTTACTGTAACTCATTATCAGTAACTTCGAAATTTTTTCGATCCAATATTTATTGCGGTTGAAACTATTGTACTGCAGTTGCTTTTGATGAATTGTCTATGCAGGTTGAGCCCACCTGGAAGATGATGGAGCAGTTCCTGGTTGACGACCTCCACTCGGTCTTCGCGCTGGACTGCCTCGAGTCCTCGCATCCCATCAGCATCCCCGTCGGCCACCCCGATGAAATCAGTGCCATATTCGACAAGATTTCGTACAACAAAGGTAATACTTATTCAATCAATTCCTAAACAGATTTTGACGCCTTTTTTTCCTATCTATATTCATGTGAACTATTTTTTAACGTCTTTTCATTTTTCTATTTCCATGTACGAATTCGATCAAATTTTTGACCATTTTTGTTCTATAGTACTCAAAATTAAGCAATACTGCACCCCTGAAATCATTGGGTGCTAGGATTTAATTTATGGGTCATTCGACTATCGACATTTACTGGCGCTAGTTTTAATGGTTCAACTGCCCATTCCGACTTACAAGTTACTACATCTGCAGAAATTTCAGTGGATAGGCATGCGCAATATCCATATTATCCACATTGCTCTTACTTCCCGGCAGCCGACACTGTCTCAAACTGAGCTAGATGCGGGCTAAATATTATAATCATATTCGCAGCCTCAACACGCATTGCGCTTCAACTCATAGAAGTGTAATATAGCGTGCCTAGTAGCCACTTGCAACCGCCCTCGCTCACCACCAAATTCAAAGTTATTAAAATTTCATTAAAATACTAGGTTTTTCGTTAGCACGCTTTGTGGCGCTTACGTCAGCAATATGCAATCCTCAAAAGGTAATAAAATGAATTTCATCCAACTCTAAACACTCTACAAAGTCACCTTCTAACTTTTAAGTTATGATCGGTTGAAAAGGGAAAAATATGTCCGATTTCGGTCACTGACTAATGACACGTAACTTCGGTTAAAATTTCAGCAATAGCCTAATTTACTCCTATATATCAGTGGGGACTCAGTTTAAGCTTGATGCATCGTGAATCAATCGCCAAGCCAAGATTTTCCGACTTGTTTTGAAATTAATCGTGTAAAAAAACTCTCCCGCTCAAATTTTAGGAGTTCTGCACTAAACCTCTTTCATTTGAAATCGGCCCACATCGTCATTTGATTGAAAATTGATTGTCTAAATCCTATGTACTTCTTTTTGGATAAAATTAAATGAAATGTTTTCCGTTTCAGGTGCTTCCATCATCCGGATGATGAATCATTTCCTGAGTGAGCCCACCTTGCGGCAGGGCTTGACGAATTACCTCAATCACTTGTGAGTGGAGAGAATTTTACCTGTTTAATTTTTATCTCTGGACTATTCCTCTTTACTCTAGCCGTTCGCAAAAATTTCTAGTACTTTCAAATACCGTCATCTGATATGTTGCCACAATAATTCTGGAGAACCATCTTGCAAAATCATTTATAACCCTGCAAGAAGGTTTAGAACCTCCTCGTTGGTGCAACATTTCTTGCAATTGGTCCATACCAAAATTTTTCGATCACATTCAAGTATCGTGTTGTCGGATTGTAAGTTATTTCAGCAAATGTTTACAAGTGAAGCTAGTTCTTCATATTTAAAACTGGTTTCAATGTTCATTATTGCATGACCTAAAACAGGGGCAGGGTGGCCCATTCATTAGTTACAGTTCCGGGGCCATACTTTCAAAACTCGCTAAGTGAACGTAAGTACTTACGCTCTATTTTCTTGTCTATGATTGGTGGATTTTGCTTGAAAGGCCGTCAATGATTGGCTGATAAACTTACGATCTCTTAACTTTTTTTGAAAGTATAGGCCCAGATTCGTAGGATTGGAGCTGAGAGGTGCAGGTTCGAGCAAAGCTCAGTGCGATAGTTCTGGTCAGAATCGGCGAGGAAGGCGGGCGGTTAAGCACAGCAAAATCGGAGCAGTGAGTTGTGTGTTCGAAACCGCAGCAAGCTGTAAATTGTCTGCTTTGTTAAGAATCGGCGACAAGTCTAACGGCCTAATCAACGCTGAATATGCTATTATCATATTATCATCAAAAGAGAAATTCATGATTGACAGGGGAGCACAGACGTTGGCCACAAATTTGACTCATAAATTAAACCTGTGACTAACCCTCAGCCAAACATGCACAACTACTCTTTGATTCATAGCTATAAAGTCGCAGACCACGCTAGAAACACCGCATGGAACACCAGTTCCGCAACGGCTTATAGCCATAGCGCCGTGTGTCGGCAGCCAGTCCTCATATCATGTCTTGATGACGGCTACAACCCCAGCATTGGATTACCTCCACAGTTACCCCACCTTCCCACATTGCTGTAGCAATGCTTGGCTCTAGCCCCCCAGCGCAGACAGCCAGCCCCACACCTCCAACTCACAGCAGCCAAAGAGGTTAGGTTAGGTCTGGAAAGGTTTGTTTGGGTGGCGAGTCAGGGTGAGTGTGGAGATAGGCGCATGCTGGGGTGAAGCCTCAATGCTGACTCAACATTGGCTCAATATGCTGACTTGAACAGTGGCTGCGGCCACTGTTCAATACTTTATCGTTATCAGAGGAACTGTTAGGTGATCTATACAGAAGACCTATAAGGAGGCTATCCCTGCGTTTAAGAGAAAGCTCACACCACACTGATTCTCTAGTTGATTGGTGCTCTGCTTTTAATTTAACTTGTTGGGCCCCATAAAAGGTTCTAACCCACAGAGCTACACCTCTAGTGCACTGCTCTTCGTTTAAGTTATGAAAACAATCGAAACCTGGAAACTAAAAACAATCGAAATGAAAATTCAACAGGTAAAATTTTTCCCCCGTGATTTTTAGGGAGTGTCTCTGTAATACAAATTGTGTCTATACACTCGTTTGCGATCACAGTTAACAGTTCATTTCTTTTGTTCAAAACGGAATCAGAGTTCGTGTAGAAACATTTCAAAACTTTTAGTGCACTTTTACTTTGAAGTATGAGTAAACTTTTTGCCTTATTTACAGAACTGGATTTATGTACATGAGTTCCACTACTTAACTGTCTTCCTTCTCCCCTGACATAGAGCGGTCGGAGTCCTCGTGAGATCTTGACTGTAGTTGACATGATTTTCCGTGCTTCTGCGTCCGTTTCGCTCCTGCCATTTCTTGCGGAAATCGCCCTCTCCAAACGGGTGGAATCATTCTTCACAAAAATGGACTTGAATTCAACGGTTTTTCCTCATTTTTTCGCTACTTTCAGCACGCTCCAAACTTGGGCCTGACCCTTCACAGTCACCAATAGAGGTCTGCATGTGTTAGCAGCAGTATTCTTGGAGCGCAGCATCTTGCATGATGCAATATCAAACGGTGTGCTTAGTGTTTTACTACAACAGTCTGCAACATACTTGTTGTTGGTCATCACTCGCTCGTTCGTCTCAGATGCGGTGCTTTCGGGAATGCCGAACCATACAAGGTTGCACTTCCTACGTTCTCTGTCTAGTAATTCGCGGGAGCTTTCGCTAGCGACTTCGGCTATGATAACGTTGTGATTCTTAAATTCCATCTTTTCCAAATTTTCTGAATTTTCCCGTTGAGCTCTTTCTTCGATCAGCTCTTTGCGCAACAAGCTCAGTTCATAACTCAAAGAGCCAACTAAATTGCTCAACGTGCTCATCTCTTTCCGGCAATTGTTCTCCATTTCAGCTCGAAATGCTGCGAACAGAGCGAACCATTTCTTTTCCCTCTGCTTCTCGCTTTTTCGGGCACTAAGAGTCGATTTCTCGCAGTCACTACAGAACCAGTGAAACGGTTTTTTTAAGAAAAAATACTCTTCAGAGCTCAGCTTCCCACAACTGGTGCAAATGAAATCCTCGCAGTGTTCACCTTCCTGAGCGTCCGGAGTCCGAGGCTGAACAGCGACGCACATACTCACTTTCACGCCGCACACACACACTTTAATAACCACTTACACGACGGGACTTGCTGCGCTCAGACGATGGTTGTTCACATCACGTCCGGGTGCGTCTGTCCCGGAACGACCTCTGACTGACGATCAGACCGAGAACGACGCACGACACGACACTGGAACAGCTCTAGCAACCCTTAAACATCCGCTGTATCGTAAGCGTTTCACCACCCACCATCTTCATCTTAATAAATATCATCAACGAAGAAAGTAAACAAACAAGAACCATAAGTAATAAAAACAAACGACCGTAATAAAATGAGAGCGAAACTCACAACATATTGAGCACATATTTCGTCATTCCCCATCGAGTATAGCAGCTCAAACACATCATCAGTGAATATTGAACCAAAATTAATCCTACATTACTTCACACAACTAAACAAAGCCCTGGCGTTCCCCCCCCCCCAAACCCTAATCAAACCCGTAAAACCTATATAATCAACACAATTATGCGCGATGTGCCTTTTCATCTCCTATTGTCTTTTCCACTTTCCCTTCTTCTTTTTGGCCACTCTGCGCCACATCTTGTTCTCTTCCACTCTTCCCTAGTGATACCGCTACAACAACAACAGCAAGGTAATGCTGGTCACTAACATGCAACCCTTTCACAGCAAGTACAAGAGCGCAGAGCAGGACGACTTGTGGCGCTTCCTGACGGAGCAGGCGCATCAGGACAAGAACTTGCCTCAGGACCTGACCGTTAAGGACATCATGGACACCTGGACGCTGCAGATGGGCTACCCCCTCATAACTGTCACGGTCAAAGGCGATGGCTCTGCTATGCTGTCACAGGTGATAAACTCATATATTTCCCTTCTTCCAAACGGTAAAAAAAAACGATTTTATTCAATTATTCAATATTCCGACGTCGGCATTGAATGATGAAATGCAGTATGTGGTAGGAAGAATATTTTTCCGCTTTGCTATAGTAGCATGCTTTTCAGTTGTTTCGTGCTTGCAGTTGAATAAGCATTATCATTAAATGGGTTCTATCACCTAAGGTATTATCCTGCATCACCTCTCTTTGTCTTGAAGCTCTTAAAAAATACACGCCTGATCATCCACAGCATCAGCGGCTGACAGAAAACCTAAGCAGAGGCAGCAAACTTTAACGTTCAGTCATCTTCAGGCTTGTGACTTACAATTTAAGATGCAAAGTCTAATCACCTGCCCTTCCTGACAGTAGACTTGCAGCTTCCTGCTTCAATATCGTTAAATACTTCGTTGATTGAACAGGAACGTTTCCTGTGTGTGAAGAACGAAAACTCGACCGACACTCACGACTACAGATGGTGGGTCCCTATTTCCTTCACCTCTGAAGACGCGATGAACTTCAACGATACGCGTCCGTCAGTCTGGATGAACAAAACCGAAGCCACTAAAACTATCTCCAGCCTTCCTACATCACCGGACAAGTGGGTCATCGTGAACCTCCAACAAACTGGTTATTACAAAGTCAACTATGATATTAACAATTGGCAGCAAATTATCCGGCAGTTGAAGGCTGATCACACGAAGATTGACGTGAGCAATCGCGCTCAGATACTAGACGACGCACTGGACTTGGCACGCTGTGGAGTCCTGAGTTACGACGTAGCCATGGACGTATTGTCCTACCTCGATAAGGAGACAGAGTACGTGCCTTGGAAAACTGCACTCAACAACTTGGGATACGTCAAGAATATGCTCAGCAGAACTGCTGCTTACGGTGCATTCAAGGTAAGATATACTCTCTTGTATCCTCGAAATGCGTCCGACTAACTAGTAGATTAAATTCAATATTCAGGTGAACACTTGATCCTGATTTGACGTCAGTTGTCTGTGCGGAGGTAATTGATTGCGTTTTTAAAATAAATCTTTGATATGTTTCAACAATTGTATTCTTTTTTACTCTGCATTCGCGATACAGCGCTACCTGATCTCTCTTCTGGAACCTCTTTACAAGAAAGTTGGCTTTGCTGATAATCTCAACGATCCTCACCTGGATCAACTCATTCGTGTTCAAGCTGTCTCGTGGATGTGTTCTCGTAAATATAAAGACTGCGTCTCTCAGGCTGTCAGTCTCTTCAAGCGCTGGATGGAACAACCAGAAGTTGTTCACATCACGTCCGGGTGCGTCTGTCCCGGAACGACCACTGACTGACGATCAGACCGAGAACGACGCACGACACGACACTGGAACAGCTCTAGCAACCCTTAAACATCCGCTGTATCGTAAGCGTTTCACCACCCACCATCTTCATCTTAATAAATATCATCAACGAAGAAAGTAAACAAACAAGAACCATAAGTAATAAAAACAAACGACCGTAATAAAATGAGAGCGAAACTCACAACATATTGAGCACATATTTCGTCATTCCCCATCGAGTATAGCAGCTCAAACACATCATCAGTGAATATTGAACCAAAATTAATCCTACATTACTTCACACAACTAAACAAAGCCCTGGCGGTTCCCCCCCCCCAAACCCTAATCAAACCCGTAAAACCTATATAATCAACACAATTATGCGCGATGTGCCTTTTCATCTCCTATTGTCTTTTCCACTTTCCCTTCTTCTTTTTGGCCACTCTGCGCCACATCTTGTTCTCTTCCACTCTTCCCTAGTGATACCGCTACAACAACAACAGCAAGGTAATGCTGGTCACTAACATGCAACCCTTTCACAGCAAGTACAAGAGCGCAGAGCAGGACGACTTGTGGCGCTTCCTGACGGAGCAGGCGCATCAGGACAAGAACTTGCCTCAGGACCTGACCGTGAAGGACATCATGGACACCTGGACGCTGCAGATGGGCTACCCCCTCATAACTGTCACGGTCAAAGGCGATGGCTCTGCTATGCTGTCACAGGTGATAAACTCATATATTTCCCTTCTTCCAAACGGTAAAAAAAAACGATTTTATTCAATTATTCAATATTCCGACGTCGGCATTGAATGATGAAATGCAGTATGTGGTAGGAAGAATATTTTTCCGCTTTGCTATAGTAGCATGCTTTTCAGTTGTTTCGTGCTTGCAGTTAAATAAGCATTATCATTAAATGGCCCGTTCTATCACCTAAGGTATTATCCTGCATCACCTCTCTTTGTCTTGAAGCTCTTAAAAAATACACGCCTGATCATCCACAGCATCAGCGGCTGACAGAAAACCTAAGCAGAGGCAGCAAACTTTAACGTTCAGTCATCTTCAGGCTTGTGACTTACAATTTAAGATGCAAAGTCTAATCACCTGCCCTTCCTGACAGTAGACTTGCAGCTTCCTGCTTCAATATCGTTAAATACTTCGTTGATTGAACAGGAACGTTTCCTGTGTGTGAAGAACGAAAACTCGACCGACACTCACGACTACAAATGGTGGGTCCCTATTTCCTTCACCTCTGAAGACGCGATGAACTTCAACGATACGCGTCCGTCAGTCTGGATGAACAAAACCGAAGCCACTAAAACTATCTCCAGCCTTCCTACATCACCGGACAAGTGGGTCATCGTGAACCTCCAACAAACTGGTTATTACAAAGTCAACTATGATATTAACAATTGGCAGCAAATTATCCGGCAGTTGAAGGCTGATCACACGAAGATTGACGTGAGCAATCGCGCTCAGATACTAGACGACGCACTGGACTTGGCACGCTGTGGAGTCCTGAGTTACGACGTAGCCATGGACGTATTGTCCTACCTCGATAAGGAGACAGAGTACGTGCCTTGGAAAACTGCACTCAACAACTTGGGATACGTCAAGAATATGCTCAGCAGAACTGCTGCTTACGGTGCATTCAAGGTAAGATATACTCTCTTGTATCCTCGAAATGCGTCCGACTAACTAGTAGATTAAATTCAATATTCAGGTGAACACTTGATCCTGATTTGACGTCAGTTGTCTGTGCGGAGGTAATTGATTGCGTTTTTAAAATAAATCTTTGATATGTTTCAACAATTGTATTCTTTTTTACTCTGCATTCGCGATACAGCGCTACCTGATCTCTCTTCTGGAACCTCTTTACAAGAAAGTTGGCTTTGCTGATAATCTCAACGATCCTCACCTGGATCAACTCATTCGTGTTCAAGCTGTCTCGTGGATGTGTTCTCGTAAATATAAAGACTGCGTCTCTCAGGCTGTCAGTCTCTTCAAGCGCTGGATGGAACAACCAGATAACAAGAGGTAACTTTTTTACAATTGATTTATGTGCTAATTTTCATTGTTCATATTACAAGTTCTAGAAAAAGCTGTCGCCTCCATATCTGCGTTACGAGTGCTCTCTCGACGAATCGTTTGAGCCCATTCGCGTATTTTTATATAACGTTGCCAATTGCTTTCCGTCCCTGGATTTACTTTTTACCCATTGTTTGATGGAATTTTTAGACATCTTGAATTGCGTACGATTTTGAATAGAGTTTGACACAGCCTGACGGATGGGCTGGAAAGTCAGCGACTTTGCTAACGGAATCATTTCATATTTCAGCATCGTTTCGCCAAACTTGAAGTCTACAGTTTACTGCGCGGCCATCGCCGAAGGTGGTGAGGCCGAATGGCGTTTCCTTTGGTCGCAATACCTCGTCTCGAATGTCGCCTCTGAAAAAGCCACATTTATGTATGCCCTCGGATGCTCGAAGGAAGTCTGGATTCTTTCAAAGTACGTCTTTGATGCAGACACTTTCTAGAGGTTCGGTTTAATTTCACCTTTTCATGGGCTATGGCATCGGTAACATTTGTTATTTTATAAATTCTAGATTTCTAAATTCTAGAATTCTAAAGTAGAGATCGACTTCAGAAGCTAGCTAAACACAATTTAATTAACCTACCTTATTGACCTTGAAACTTTCTGCAAATAATGAAAATAATTCTTTTATTTGAGAAAATGGATACTCTCCTAATTACTGCGAGAATGATAGAATAAATTAACTGTTATAAGTCACTGATATTTGTTCATAACTTATATTGAATTGACAATGAGTTTCATCAATTAACATTTTCTCACTACGGTTGATGAAAACGATTTCAGAACGCCACCTAAAGTGCAGTTGTTGAATGCTATCTTGAGACTTTTTTCCATAAGATTTTAAATGCGTTACCGCAGATATCTGGAAGATGCGTTCACCGCTGGAGGCGACATACGCAAGCAGGATGTCTCCAGAGTCTTCTTGTCCATCGCTGATAACGAACATGGCCAGGACTTCGCTTGGAATTACCTAAGGAATAATTGGAAGGCCATTAACAAATAGTGAGTTGTCAATGTTGTTGTTCGTCTGTTTCCGTTTAGCCGCTCAAAGGAAATTTGAAGGTATTTTTACAACACTTTTCTTTAACTTCACTTGTTGTTGATTGTTTGTTTGTCTGCTACAAATCTTATAAGTGACATTTAGCCATTTAGCCTGTCCAATCGATCTGAAATTTTGCACAAATCGCAAAATAGGAGACAGTGCTTGAATCAATTGAAGAAAAAAAAAGTAAAATTATAAAATATATACATATATATTTAAAAAAATTTTTTAATAATTTTGTTAATATATAAAAATAAGACTCTAAATTCACTGTACATGTGTAACATCGGAGACACTGACCTCTTTAGAAGTGTTGTCTTTAAGAAGTAATTTTTAAACGCCTATTATTCATCACTAATTATGTTGGCAGAATAAAATTGAATCGCATTTTAATCATTAAAAGGCATCAGGTGAAAAATCAAAAGTTTCTCTAAATCTTGACAGATTATAATTGATTCACAAAACACTACCAGAAAGATGTCAAGTGTCCAGGCCACTATCTACCGGTAAACTACTAAGAGCCGCTTGGCGTTCTTCTACTTTATCTTCCGCAAAAAATCTAAAGAAGATAAAGATAGCATTGATCAATTAACGAAAATTTCTGGTCGTATATCATCGACGCACAATTAGCAAAAGTATGAATGCATTCATTCAAATCAAATGCTAAAAAATCCCTGTTTCCAAATTTTCTCCGTTATTGGACAGTTTTCTCCCTTCCTCTAACTACTACAAAAATTATTCTCGTTGCAGTTTCGGCTCTGGATTCTCCACACCTGGTCGACTTGTTGAGTACGCGACCAGCAAGTTCAACTCGGAGCTCATGCTGCAGGAGGTTTGTATCTTTAATTAACATAACATAGTATAACATGGCGATGTCGGCGCTGAAGTGTAGGCCTGATGCGGCCTGTCGCCGATTCTTACTTTTCGGGACTTGTTCACAGAAGATCTAAAATCGTGTCATTTGACCGGATCTTTTCTGGACTGATGATAGTTTGAAGTAGCTACTAGACTTCTACCAGGTACGATATGGTGCTAGGCATTTCAAATCTGAACATATATTTTTCATAGCTTTATCTAGTCGGTTCTTGAACGCGTTCATACTCGGAGCGCCAACGACGTATTCGGGGAGGCTGTTCCACATGTCGGTGATTCGAAGCGAGAAGAAATGTTGGCGCGTGGAGAAGTTGCAGCGCAGTTTTTTAGTTTATAGTCGTGGCCCCTGGTGTTGGTTCTTGTTTCAAATTCCAGTAATCCTTCGTAGGCCTTGTATAGACCATGAGTATACTTGTATACTTCAATTAGGTCTCCACGCAGATGTCGATAACTGAGGCTTGGAAGCTTCATAATCTTTAATATTTCTTCATAGTACTTGCCTTTCAAGCCTGGAATTATCCTTTTTGCACGTCTCTGAACATTCTCTATTAAATTTCTGTCCTTTTCAAATCTCGGTGACCACACAACGTTTCCAAACTCTAGATTCGGGCGCACGACAGCAACAAACAATTGCTTCATCGCTTCTGCATCTAGTAACTCGCATGAGCGTCTTTCATATAAATTTAAAGCTCATGAAGCTCAGAAGCTGTAACCTTAAAATTATAGTGTGAAAACTGTAGTTAACATACGGAAAAATTAATAATACAAGTTCAACTAAATAGATGAAAAAAAGAAAAGCATTCAAATACCTGGGATATTTGGAAATTGGAAAACTTCTATCTAAATTTGGTTCATATTCAGTTCGAGTGTTCATGGAATAAAACCTGTTATTTTAGGACCTGCGTCTAGCAGAAGCTGCAGAACATTCGTCAGAAGCTTTATGAAATTTTATGAACAATTGAAATCGTAAATTTATTTTTTGTTATTATTGTTGACTATTCTTACAGATATTTACTCTAATTGGCATGACCTTATTAAAATAGCAGACCTCGCGGACGTCTGAGAAGGTTGAATTTTTAATACTTGAATAGGAACTGCTTGTGTACCATAAAGTGCCAATGTGCTTCGAGCATCAAAAAGTTTTCCTTTATAAGCAATGAACTTTCTCGATGGAAAAAGATAACGGCGTTAACCAAGGCATAGGTGTCCAGTTAAAATTAAAAGTAAAAGTTGTCAGAATAAATATGTCGAATTCCTCGTCAATAGTTAGACGTCGTCCAAAATTACTGCAGAGCTCAATCAATAACTAAAAACTCAGTTTCCTCAACCGACTAATTTCTGAGCAGCTGCACAAACCTCGATTTGTGCAGTAGCGAGCAATAATCGAGCAGCCGCGAGAATTTCTACAATTCTCAATCCTCTAATGTAAAGACAAATGTTTTAAAGCGATTAGGGTATCGTGGGCCTTCTTAGTCTGTCCTTTCAGAACCAAAACTGCGATTTTTTTAATAATTTTTTAACGCATTTTCTCATTAATGGAAAAAATGCCCGTCATGTCCGTCTGCTCGTCATGTCCGTCTATTGCATGTGCTCGTCATGTCCGTCTGTCCGTGACGTCACGTTTTCGTCGACGAGAAAATGCGCTCTCTGTCACTCTCTGACGTCCGGCCTTATGAACGTATGGAGACTGCCTGAACAGTCATTAATTTTGAATGGTTAAACCCTATGCACATAAAGAAGTGTCAGTTTTAGATGAAAATTGAATAAAAATGCTTCAAAAATAGTCTGAAGTATACATGAAACAATACAACACAGAAACGCACATATATACGCACTAAAATTGCTACATTTAGGCGACTTACAGCATACTGAAATATGTTGTGTTGAAGCTGTTACTCATTTTGTACTACTCATGTCTGGGACTGAGTAGTTCTGGTAAATCGGGGAAATTTGATGGCCACGCACTTGATTAGTATGTTATATTTTAATGAAAATGAAAATTTTTTCACGTGCATAGTTAGGTTTCATCCAGAATTTTTTCGTATTGTGAAAAATGAGCTACTCTATATCAAGATTAAAATTCATCGTTTTCAAAATCATTCCTATTTTGCCAACAAATCCCATTGCAGGCTATCGTATTAGGCTTTTAGAAGCCAGAAATGGTTGATATGGAATCTTTTGATTTATTAAGTAATTCTTAATTCAATTAAAACTCATGCAGGATAAGTTTTTGTGCAATTAAAATTAATTAATTATGTTTTCCAAAGATGGTTCGATTACGCGACGCGAACTTGGACGACCTGAAGAGCGGCAAGCGCACCGTCGACCAGAGTATCGAGAGAACAAAGAACAACATCGCTTGGATGGACGCTCACTATGAAGACATTAGCAAGTGGCTCAACAACAAGGGATACGATACACTCTAAACGAACTGCTATGTGATTTCTGTCTCTCTACTGACAAGGATTTAATGATCCTTTTCTTAGGTTTGATAAAAAAGTTACTAGTTTGTACTCTGATTTATTATATTGCACCAAACGAAAGGAATTAAAGATCTATTGCCTTGGCACTGAAATTCTGAAATTCTATATGAATACTCCGTATAATAGAGCTTTTCAACATTTAATTAGATACGACATTGAAATAATAATCGCATTAAACTGAGCCTGCAGCCCGATGAATATAAGGGTAAAAATTATTCTAATTTGTAATGACGGATACTTCACATAAGTACGTGTTCCATTGTTATATAAATGTGAAATATTTGGATAGAAACTTGCGTAACGCATAAGAATCAAACTTGAATAACTTGAACAAATCTGCCACCTTATTTTGATTTATTCTTCATGATTGCATACCAGGCTAAAATAGCAAACACGGTATAGTCTTAGCGGGTTGTAAGGTATAAACTTAAGGTTCAGATTGAGAACCACGAGCCCTCAGACAGGATCGGCCATTATCCGATGGTATTCTATCACTAAGTTATTTCAATATATACACTCGTAAATGAGATGTCAATATGAATTTTTTCATGCTTATCCAGCTATCCATTTTCAACGTCTGTATAATACCCCAAAAGAATAAAACTGTGTACAACATCAGTTATAATAGAGGAAAATGTTGTACATCGTTGTTCATCATACCTGCGACTTACCTAAATTTGTGAGATATAAGGAGATACTTGTATTCATTCTCTATTGATCGGCATTAAATACATATTTAAACCAACCTCCATTTTGTTGACATTTGCATACAAACAATTTTTTTACTACTACCAAATACGAGATTCAAGTCTCTAGCCGTCAAGTCTCTAGCCGTCTAGCGGGTGTCTCGAGCAAGCTATCCAGTTGAGAGGGCGGCCGGCGTATTGTGAGATGAAGAGTAGCGTGTTTTCGGCGCGGAAGTACGGTTGGTTGTACGGCAGCTTCACTATTCAATAGAACGACAAGATTTATCTACCGGATTTAAAAAGACAACCGCGAAGAGTGGAGACGACGCAAAGCAGAAATAACGGCCCGGAAGCTACAACGTGACCGAATTCAAATAAACTACGCTCTTCTAGACGACTTGCGTTGATCAATGAATGGCGAGAGAACTACTCGGCAGTCCACGTTCCATAATCGTATCGACTTAGCCTTTTTTCGGATCTCCAGTTCCGGAATTTGACTCCACTGAAAGTCGAGAGTCTGCACCAGCCCAGCCCATCGAGGAGACGCCAACACAAGGTTTCACTACGACCCTAACTACGGCGTAGCAAGTCACAGAGAAGTTGAAGAAGATATGTTTCTAATTGTGGTTGGAGATTTTGGATTTTACCGCAGCCGTCCCTCTTCCCTAATTAATTAGACGAATATGATATTAGTTAGGTTGGAGTAAAGACTATGAAGTACGATGTTTATTGATGGGTTGGAGAATGATGACGCCGACCCACAACAGACAAGGATTGGTGATTAGAGTTAATACACTCGTAAATGAGATGTCAATATGAATTTTTTCATGCTTATCCAGCTATCCATTTTCAACGTCTGTATAATACCCCAAAAGAATAAAACTGTGTACAACATCAGTTATAATAGAGGAAAATGTTGTACATCGTTGTTCATCATACCTGCGACTTACCTATATTTGTGAGATATAAGGAGATACTTCTATTCATTCTCTATTGATCGGCATTAAATACATATTTAAACCAACCTCCATTTTGTTGACATTTGCATACAAACAATTTTTTTACTACTACCAAATACGAGATTCAAGTCTCTAGCCGTCAAGTCTCTAGCCGTCTAGCGGGTGTCTCGAGCAAGCTATCCAGTTGAGAGGGCGGCCGGCGTATTGTGAGGTGACGAGTAGCGTGTTTTCGGCGCGGAAGTACGGTTGGTTGTACGGCAGCTTCACTATTCAATAGAACGACAAGATTTATCTACCGGATTTAAAAAGACAACCGCGAAGAGTGGAGACGACGCAAAGCAGAAATAACGGCCCGGAAGCTACAACGTGACCGAATTCAAATAAACTACGCTCTTCTAGACGACTTGCGTTGATCAATGAATGGCGAGAGAACTACTCGGCAGTCCACGTTCCATAATCGTATCGACTTAGCCTTTTTTCGGATCTCCAGTTCCGGAATTTGACTCCACTGAAAGTCGAGAGTCTGCACCAGCCCAGCCCATCGAGGAGACGCCAACACAAGGTTTCACTACGACCCTAACTACGGCGTAGCAAGTCACAGAGAAGTTGAAGAAGATATGTTTCTAATTGTGGTTGGAGATTTTGGATTTTACCGCAGCCGTCCCTCTTCCCTAATTAATTAGACGAATATGATATTAGTTAGGTTGGAGTAAAGACTATGAAGTACGATGTTTATTGATGGGTTGGAGAATGATGACGCCGACCAACAACAGACAAGGATTGGTGATTAGAGTTAAGACATGACGTAGTATAACATCGACATGACAAATAGCATAAAACAATATTAAAATAATATTGAGAGTAAGCGAAACTTCAGTTTTTGACAGTTACGCTGTGAAATATTTTATTACATTATACGAATCGAACTCATGAGCAGAACTTGGCAGCTTTCCACCAGCAGATGTTTACACAGCGACGATGCCCAGGAAAATGACGCTAACGTGTGATTGGCTCATGTTGCTAGATCGCGCCTTCTAACAGAATTCACAATTTTTTGCATCACTTTATTAATATGTAAAAGAATTTATGTCGTTAATTGAATTTTTGATATTCGAAAATTACACGATTATTCTTAGTGCTAGAGAATTGATAAAAATTCCTGACTGAATATTTATTAAATTATTTAATAGTGAAATTGATGAGTTCCGAAATAAGTAGGGGAGTTCAAGGTAATTAAATATGTTACATATAGTTAAAGAGATTAATGATCAACGAGTTTGAAGGTTTAATAAAATTAATTACGCCATTTTCAATAAGAGACAGTGCGAGATATAATTTCGATTCACTACAAAGTCGACCAACCCACGTGTCTCCGTCACAAAGCCCGGTGATGTACTCGTTAGGAAATTAATGCAGGCAGAGCTGTTATTTGCTTTAAGATTTGTATCTAATTCTGATTATTGATCGGACAGGAAAGGTTAGTGCGTTTTTTGGTCTGCTGGTGGATTCAGCCGTGACCGTCCTGCAAGGTATCAGGCGCCTTATTTTATTATTTAGTTACGCCTATGTTTGATAGAGATGACGTAAAATTATTACGCCTATGTTTGATAGAGAGAGTGTAACGCAGGTCAAATAAAAAGTCGCTGATTTAACTGCGTTGTCTCTGCCGGAAGCTGTCCAGCCACGTAATAATGATAGAGGAATGGCTTTACTAGGCCTTCTTGATTAGTTTAACATGATAATATGATTAACTTGAATAAATTTATTTATCAATATTTCGGAACAGAAAACTTTTTAATCTTTTTGTGTGGTGAATAATACGTTCGATTAATCCGTTCGGTTGATTTATACGATCATTTATAGGAAAATTGCCTACACAGGTGAAAGCTGATGACAAGCGAATTTCTTGCTTGTCAGCAACTTGCTTCTTAATTTAAACTGCAATACCTGCATTTTTTAAATATTATAATATAATAATATAGCTTTTTCAGCGTTTATTAGGCCGCAGGCCTGTCGCCGATTCTTAACTTTGCAGAACATCCACGACATGTTGCGGGCTTGAAATTGCAACTCACTGCTTCAAATTTTCTTTGCTTATATAACCGCCCGGCCTCCTTGCCGATTCTGACCAGAAACTGACGCACAGAGCTGGGATCGAACCTGCGCCTCTCTGCTCTAATCTTGGTACTCTAGCTGAACTCTAACCACTGGTCCACCCTAAAGAAATGAAAGCTATAAAGTTGCCACTTATTCATGATCAAGGAAAACAGAAGAATAATCATAACTGGCGTGAAAGAAAGGTCTGCTGTGATTTATACTGTATGTCATAAATTTTTCAAATATGTACATCGAAAAAACAAGATGCTCTGTGAAATCATTTCTCAAACTTTTTTCTTGAGTTTGATATTGCTTACTTAGAAATGAGAGTTTTCAAGATTGGACGCTGCATCACGCTTTTCTTTATTACTGCCTGTTGGTACGGCAATTATAATCATCAATGATATAAGAATTTCACACTTTCAAAAGCTTTTGAACATGTACGAATAAAATCATGATAATGATATGATCTTCAGCAAACCGATTCATGAAAAATCAGCAAAAAGATTCAGCTAACCGATTCGTGAAAATTGTTGAAAGATTTTATATTTCTGATTAGTGTGCGGTAACGAGGAAAGTTACCAGCCCGAAACATCGTGTACGTACTTAGAATGTTGCGCGGAGTGCCATCCATTTCAATGCCTTGCGCACACCTAACTTTAGCAACCTATAGTATTTGCGGACACTCGTGTGTTCTCAAATCTTGGTTAATAAATTTTCAGGCTGGCCAAAATATTCTTCTTCACCTATAATTACGATGTTCAATGACTACATAACGCAAAAATTTACACGTACAACCACGCATAATCAAACGTTGCGAAGATAAATTTGAAGTAGGGCCTCCGTGAAGTTCGGGATGCAATATTTAGGCTGGTTTTACAGTCAAAAAGGCATTGGTTTCATAGTTTTTGATTTGCTAGTCAAAATCTTCAGCAATTTCCAGAAGTCTTCAGCAATTATGGACCGCATGATCAATTTTATAATAAGAAAGAATCTCTGGTCTTGTTTTTCCCCACAGTGCGCAAGATTGTATGGGAAGATACCTTCTGCGGCTGTATCAGTTGACAGCTCCAAGTAAATTGCACAATCCGATTAGACTGCTTATAAAAGATGCAAAAACCGAGTAAAAATTATTACAACTCATCAGTCTTGCTCTGAAGTTCAGTCGGCGATGCCGTTTTCTGCGTTTCCAACCACTTTAATTTTTTTATGTTTATTTTAATTGTATTATGTGTTTTAATGTTATTTGATATTAGTTTTCATTATAGTCATTAATACGTCGTGTAATTGCCGCTATCATATAGCAGTGCTGTTTAGACTAGACTAGTAATCGGTTATAAATTAATTACCGTTACTGTATTGCAAGTATAAAAGAAGAATGCATTTTATTGATTAATAAGTTTCTTCAAGAAGATTTTATGCAAATCACAGATAAAATTTCGTACATTTCATGTTTTTTTCTTGAATTACAATTTTCCTTTTGCCCAAAATACAGTTATGGGTATTGAAATTTTTGGCATAAGGATTGCAATCAATGTGAGGCTCCTTATTTTGTATTCCATTATTCGTCATTCAGTTTTCATATCGAAGTAGTGGGCAATTTCATCTTTGAGTGCAATAAAATTTATTGGAAGTCCTAAAGAATACAAATTATTATTTGGCGTTAAATATACTGCATTTAACGCATTTTAAATTTTTTTTATTATTTGGCGCGCTTAATATACTGCACCTTATTCCTATTGTCGATTATACAGAACAAGATGGCGAGCAAAGATCTATTTATGGTCTTCACTTTATTCCTCGTTATTTTTACGGTAAGATTTGCAACAATTTCATAAATAAAATGAATTGTCGAAGGTACATTTATGGATAGTCTTTTGGTTTGATGCGCTCATGTGAGCGCTCTGGGAGCGTGTGTATACAAAGGACTTCCTCCTATTTGGATGAATAAAAGTGCTTACAAAATCTTTAAGGAACTTTAAAATTCAGCATCGGCGCTATCTAGCTAGCAGATCAATTATAATTCTATTCCGATTGGACAATGCTATTTTTCATGTGCAGATTTCTACATAAAAACGAAATTTCAGTTGCCTACCATAACATAATTTTTATTTTTTCGTAGGTTTCATGTGTGAGTGAATTGACGACTAAGTCATCGTTGAAGACGACAGACATCAAACTCCCAACGTCCATAAGGCCCATCAGGTGGATAATAGCGAATTAAAAATATCTTTAGGCGATGTTCCAAAGAAATTTCTCTTGCTCACCAATACTGACGATTGTGATTCTGCAGTGAAAATGCGCATCAATTTCACTTCGCATATTTTTCTCGATTAGCTGGAAGAGTAATTTTTTGAAGAGCACCGTAAATACATTATGGTTATTAATTTTGCAAATCCACAATACTTATCGTGTCGGAGTACTCTGATCTTAAACGATACTTATTGGGTAAGTATCTCGATCTGAAATTTTCATTCCTAGGCAGGTGGGCAGCATGACATTGCAAAAGGTATGTAGGGATTTTTGATGCGGGGATTTTATTTCGCTGAAGGGCGCTTCGATCTCTACTCGAAAATTTCTAGGCTTGTTACCAACAAGGATTTGAAAAAAAAATATTAAAGGGTATTGTTAATCTATTCAGATTCAAACAATGTATGAAAAAGTCTTAGGAAGTTAATTGTTTTTCCGATTGTCTCAGCTGCCACATCGTTGTAAATCTTTATGAAAAGTGTAATTGGTGAGTTGAATTTATATCATATTTTTTCATCTAAGTTACGTTCTGCGACTACAACCGCTAATTAACGGCAACTTTACGATTTTTGGATACGTTGAAATTTTGATGGAGGCCGTGGAAGAGACGAGCAACATCACACTGCACATCAAAGACATCGTCACCAAGAACGAGACGGTCGAGGTAGGTTTAGTGCTGCAAGGAGCTGACGTTTTACTCTATAATTGGAGCATTTAGCAGTTTACTGGGACTTTATGTGTTCATTGTTAATATCTATTAAATGGCTGTGTGCAAATTTTATCATTAAAACCTATTAGACAATATAGTCCGGGCAATTAACACTAACTGGAATTGGGGAAAAAGCTTAATTAATGCTCGAACCTTTCATATTGCGTTGTCAATGGGATGAAAGTTTTCAATTAAAACAAATTTCCTACGGCAAGCAATGTTTGAAATGATGAATTAGAAAATTTGCCTCAAGAATTTTAAATTACGCTCATTAGCCTCCATTTCATTGATTAAAGTTATTAAAACAACTCCATCAGTGATAATAATCATGCGCAAAAATCCAGACATTACATTTACTATTGTAAAGCCATTTTCACTGTTTTTCCCTATATATCAACATTAACCTGATCCTTTACATATAACCCGTAGCTGTACTTGGGTGACAAACCGAACGGTCAACCCATCCCAATCGTGGAGCACAGCTACGACGCAGACCGCGACTTCTACACCGCGACTCTGGCAGAGCCTCTGACAGCTGGCCGGCAGTACCTCCTCCTCATGGAGTACGAAGGATACCTCAACGATCAGCTTGTCGGCTTTTATCGCTCACAATACAAGAGGGATGATGGGAGTGAAGTGTAAGGAATAAGTATTTTAACGATGAGACCCTCTGTTGTAATGACAGATTTATAGTACCATGCGAATGAGACTGTGATTTTGACCATTGCTTCGCTAAGTTCCCACTAAAGTGGACAAAAAAGTCTTATTCAAACGTTGACATGTATGTATGTAATACGACTGATTCGCACACTATTCTATTGCATTGCATCACAGAAATTCCGTTTCTCATCAGCCTTCTTGCGGCGACGCAATTTGCTGCTATTGATGCAAGACGCGCATTCCCTTGCTTTGATGAACCCGAACTGAAAGCTACATTTGAAATCCACGTCGCAAGACAGACCAACATGACCTCCATCTCCAACATGCCTCTAGTGGAAACCACCCCCATGTGCGTGTTATACTCCCATCGTAGATATTTTTCAATTGCATTCATGAATTACTTTTCTAATATTGGTATAAAATGTAAAATATTAACTAATCGAGTTCATATTGAGGCATTTCATATATATGAATTTCATGCTTGACCAGTTCTCAGGCTCATGGCATCAACAGAAATATGTGTAATATTTTCGACAGAGCGGGGAGCGACGATTGGGTCTGGGACCAGTTTGCCAGAAGCCTGCCTATGTCAACCTATCTGGTGGCAATAGTCATTTCGGATTTTACTTTCGTAAATTCTACGTTTAACGACCACGTTCTCTTCAGAGGTGAGCCAAATAAACATTGGAATTCCATCTCTTTCCAGTCAAACAGACTCGCTGTGCGCATAGCTTTTTCTCATAATTCAAAATCAACTCCTTTGTATGATGCAAGCGATGTCACACTAATTAAATGCGGCTGGATAAGCTTGTAAAAAGCCATTCACTTTGTATTTTTTTACCCAACTACGATCATTTGATACTTAAACTTGCTTGGCCTACGTTATGTTTCGGAGATCGGTGCCATTTGAATTTGATTTCTTTTCAGAAAAGATGTTGCAATATTTTCTCAATAGTTTACGTAGGTAACTTTAGTTTGTATATTATATTAATAGCACGAAAAGCAAAATTTTGTTGCATGAAGAAATTTAAATCATTGTTCAATTTAGAATTTTCTATCTTGCATATTTCTGTTGGTACTTCCTTCTTAGTTAAAATGAAATGAAAATCGCAGTTTGGACTAGAGAAGAGGCTATCGACCAAACTTGGTATGCAATCGGAGCTGGTCCGGCAATTCTGACCTGGTACGAGGAGTACTTCAGCATCCCCTTCCCTCTGCCAAAGCAAGACATGGTGGCTCTGCCTGATTTCTATTTTGGAGCGATGGAGAACTGGGGAATCGTCACTTACAGGTTATTCTTTTAACTCCACATGTGCGACAGAACAAAATTGAGTTGTCAGCCTTGATCGAGGTAGTATATATCAAGTCATTATAAAATGGTACATATCCCATTTATGCTATGCCAAGTGGTATTGGCTGCTAGCTGTTAGTTAGTCTATCATTTCAGAGTTTTTATTAATTAATAGAGCATCGAAGAAATCTCTTTCCAGTTAGGTTTACAATGATTAAATAATACAGAAACTACAGCGTGCCCGGCCTATGAGCAATTATTGGAACTATAATTTATGACTAATTAAAGTTTACTTGACTGATCAATACGCGTAAAAACCTAAAGAATAAGTGTGCACTTGTTTCACCGCAGGGAAACAGCTCTACTAGCAGATCCAGAGTTAAACTCAGCCGCTGACCGAGAGCGCGTAGCCACGGTGGTGGCGCACGAGCTGGCGCACCAGTGGTTCGGAGACCTGGTCACCATGGAGTGGTGGTCAGACGTATGGCTCAACGAAGGATTCGCCTCCTATGTCGAATATTTGGGCACAGATTCGGTAAGATAAATTCGTATCGTGAACTTATCTCGCACTTTGCAATAAATTTAAGACATCTTCGGTATTTTTTCTATGTTATTGTGTTTTTGTAATTAAAAAAATTTGGCATTTAAGTGGTGTAAAAGTGTTTTAAATTAAGGGTCGTGCGAAGAAAACGTGTTAATGTCTGAAAACCGTTCAACATTGAAAAATAACCTACACTGCGCAACAGTGAGAACTAAAAGGAAAGGGTCATCCTGCCCAGGCTATTAGTGCAAAAACGTGTTCCTAATTATTGTGTACGTTAATAATTGGGCAGTATGAGCCTGACTGGAAGTACTTGGATATGATGGTGACATACGATGTTCAGTACGCTCTTGTTTTGGACTCGCTTGAATCCTCTCACCCAGTCAGTGTTCCAGTCGAAACAACCGAGGACATCTATCAAGTTTACGACGCTATTGCTTACTCTAAAGGTGGGAAAGATTCACATTAAGGTAGCATAATTGGCAACGTTCATATCCAAAAAATTTTATTCATTCATTCCTGATTTCGCGCGTAACATAATCTCGTTTCAACATCCATCACCGAATCAAAATGTAAGCATATTTAGAGTTTGAGAGTATTTTATCACTATTTTTTAGAGTATTTTATCACTAATTATGAAATACATTTATAATATGATATTCCTTTCCAAAAACAGGAGCATCGATCATCCGCATGATGAACAGCTTCCTCACGGAACCCACATTCCGGAGTGGATTGACTAGCTACCTGAACGCTAAGTAATTAACTTCAAATCGACGATAATTTCAACCACAGCTTGTTTTTAAGACAGGGCTTTCTCTAGTTAATGTTTCGCTAGTAGTAATTCGCCCGTGCTCTGTCGTGTGCAAGAAGACCTAGCACCGTTGACAGCGATGGGATATTTTTTCCGTTGAAGGAAGTATCAAATGATAACCTGTTGCCGGGTCATTGTGACATGTTCATAACGCAATTATTTTTCATAAGCCTATAGATGGTAAAATCCTGAAAAATGATGAGTCGTGACCTTGCAATTCAGTATAAATTGCTCCATTACTTTCATAAGCTTAGTGTTGCACAATTAGTAGTGAAGCTTAGTGTTGTAGTGCACTAATATAGAGATCTTTATTATTATTCGTGTTATTGGTTGAATATTGTAAGTCCTGATAGTGCTGGAGTTTTTCAAAAAATTTAAAATTGATGTAATACAGTAATAAAAATTCAATTATCTGTTTTTTCAAATTTCGTCAATTGTTCTTCTGGTTGCAGCCAGTACGGGAACGCTGCACAGGACGATTTATGGGAAGCTTTGACCCAACAGGCTCACGCTGACGGCACTCTGGCTACCAATTTAACAGTCAAGATCATCATGGATACCTGGACCTTGCAAATGGGATACCCTGTCATCAACGTATCCAGAACTGAGGATGGAGCTGTCGTTCTATCTCAAGTACGTCATTATTTTAAGGAGAGAATCGTGGATGGCATTAAATCTATGGAATACTACGTTTAAATTTTAAATAACCTGTGCTTAGTTGAATGATCTGATTCGTTTCTTCTGGTCGTGTTCGAATAATAGCCTAAAAGCACGAAATAGAATCGAACAAACAAATTTTTTTCCTAACATTGATGTTGAGATATTTCATTCCCTAGTCTAGATGAAACACTAAGCCATGATTTCTTGTTTATTTCGATTTCAGCAATAAATTCAAGTTCAACAGTCAAATTATTGCGGAAGTTTGAAATGATAGTTTTCTTTGCAAATATGATAAATGAGGTAATCCCTGAAAATTGTTATGGGCGTACTTATAGAAGAGATCTTTACCAGCAGGTCAGGCTTTGGCCAGTTGAATGTGGATAAAATTTTACTACATGTCTTTTTAAATACATATTTCACCTCTCTTAATATCCTATATTCAAAGACAGACAACTCCAACTTTCGCTTCACAGCTAATTTATATTAACATACATGAAAATTTTAGTGAAGTTTATGACTTATAAATTTGTTGTATGTATGTATTATTATTTGTATTATAATGTATTATTGGTTTTTGATTATCATGGCTTACTTCAGGAACGCTTTCTTCGAGTCAAGAGTCCTAACTCGACGGACACGCACGACTACAAGTGGTGGGTGCCAGTTTCCTACACCACTCAGAGCTCACCGGACTTCTCGCAAACTCAGCCGACTTACTGGATCCCAAGCACTGAAGAAAGCATCACCATAAACGGTTTGCCTAATGACCAATGGATCTTTTTCAATCTCCAAGAAACCGGTTTCTACAGAGTCAATTACGACCAAAATAACTGGGAATTACTGATCAGTCAACTTGGCAGCGATGCCAACGTAATCAACCTCGTGAGCCGCGCTCAGCTCGTTGACGATGCGCTGAATTTGGCTCGATCAAGACAACTCGTGTACGATGTTGCGCTTAGACTCTGCTCTTATCTGAGGCTCGAGGATGAATTTGTGCCCTGGGACTCGGCTTTGGTGAACTTGGAGTATTTAGAAGAGATGTTTACTCGCAGATCAGGTTATGGCCAGTTGAAGGTGGGTCAAATTTTACTCCATGTCCATTTAAATATTCATATTTCACCTCTCATAAAATCCTGTTTTTAAGGACAGTCAACATTAACTTTTGCTTCGCAGCCAATTTAGATTAACATAATGCATGAGAATCTGCTTGAAATTATTGACTTATGATTTATTGTTCATTTCGTTCATGACTTAGACGCATTGTCTTCAAAATCCGTTAATATTCAGTGAATTCTATGCGCACTTTATGGCATTCAAGAACTAGAATTCTTCTCAAACTCAGCCGTCGACTGTCACATGTGTAAATTGCTTATTCAGGTACAAAGCTTACCAGAAATTTTCCCCGCATTTAGCGCTACCTGCTGGACTTGCTCGTGCCACTCTACAATAGCGTCGGATTTGTTGACGACGTCAATGATCCACAACTGGAGCAAAAGAAACGCGTTCTCGCCGTCGACTGGGCTTGTCATCTGGAGTACGAAGACTGTGTCACGAGATCTGTAGAGCTCTACAACCAGTGGATGTCTTCTCCCACTGACCAGACGTAAAAATTTAAAAGTTATTTCTAATCAAACAGTTTAAAATCATTCTATTGACACATCTTGTAAACATATTAGAATTAGCGCATTCGTCGTTATCAAAGAAGTCGGAAGGAAATTCATATTTTCTTTTATTGTAGTTTGATCTCGGCGAACCTGCGCTCGACCGTGTACTGCACCGCGATCGCTCAAGGCGGAGAGGCCGAGTGGAACTTCGCTTGGGCTCAATACCTCGCCACCAACGTCGCCAGCGAACAGAACAGATTGCTATATGCCCTGTCGTGTACACGCGAAGTTTGGATTCTATGGAGGTAAAGTTTTATTAGAATATTTCGATATCTGATTGCATAAATTAATAAACACTGATTGAACTTCAACAGGGGAGGTAAGAATGGCGCACTAAAAATTGTGCCATTACATACCTATCTAAAAGCGTTTCAGGACTGGCTAACGCTTCCATTGATCAGTTAAAAAATTAGTTCCATTTTCTGGTGATTCAGCATGAGTTGTTCCCAATTATTTTTCAACTAAAAATAAACTCAGGATTCACGCTCATACATAAGCGTAGCTACCATATAAGTAGCAGCTGAGAATTTATGGCTGGAAAACTATTGGCCAACCACTCTGCTCCGTTTGCCGCGATTTCGAAAAATCATATTGTATATGATTGTGTATTGTCATCTCGTCCACCTGAGGAGCAGATTGTTTCTTAGAAGGTTAAATAAGAATATATGGTAACCATGAATAAAAACTGTTCAAGATAGGCGATTTTTGAATGTTTGTGACTGGAAATTGTAGATATCTGTTCTAAGGAATTTAACGCATTATTTCCAACGAGATAAATCTTTGGATCATATTTTAAAAATAAATATGGACATACAAGTATTTAAGTCCTTGTGTAAATAGGTTGGAAATAACAATCCAGTGGCAGGGCGAGAATGTGACATAACGAAATGTCTTTGGCTTTACAAATTATTTAAATGCCTAGTTAAATATCCTTATCGAAATTAATATCATTCCACAAGAGTATGCAAGGAAAGTAACGAATAACCCTATTGCACTGGCATCCTCATATTCGACTAGTAATGCAGCTCATTCCAAAAAAAATCTAATTCTATCATAAGTGTTGTGAATTGAATTGATTCACATTTGATTCACATTCCATGTCATTTGAGTTAGTATATATTGCGATAATTGATTAATAATATTCCTAAATTTTTCCACTATGCATAGCAATGATTTACTACAATTTTTGGAATCTTGCAAAATTGTTGTTGCTCTTAGATGAACTTGAATAAACTGAGCTTGATTCTGAATTATTGCACTCTGAGATATACTTCTGTGAAGAAACACTAATTTGTAAACCACGATATCCTTACAATAACTCTGTGAAATTTCACTCAAATATCTTTCAATGCTAGATACTTGGAAATGGCATTTACGGAGAACAGTGGTATTAGAAGGCAAGATGCAGTACAAGCTTTCAATAACGTTGCTTCCAGCGACATCGGCAGGGACATCGCTTGGGAGTATCTGCAGAACAACATCGCACTCATTACAGACTAGTGAGACGTTGACGTATTCAACCTATTACAAGTATTTTTTGTCCATGTAGTGTAGTTCAAATATATATACTATTCTTCTGATACCGTTTTCCCGGATTCTCTTATAACTTTTTATTTTTCCATGCAAAGTATTGCACTCCTGTTTCTGGTGTAGTTTTTAAGTACTTTCCTAAAACTTGCATTATTTCGGCAGGAACATTTATTTATTTATTTTTTCGGTATATTTCACCGAAGCTTATATAGGCAGATAATTTGACTCAATTTTCGATAAATTTTAGCTTGCAGGGATCCTCTTCTATTGGGGATATGGTGGCTTCTGTTTCCAACGAGTTCAATACAGAACTAGAACTTCGACAGGTTAGTTTGGATCATGTTTACGAACAATCCTTCGGACAAATTTTTTTTCCTTTGATGTAGCAAAATTAATTCTTTCATGGAACCGAATTCTATTGATATAATTTCTAGCAAATTTTCAGTTGTAAATTTACGCTATTGTTTTTCACTGCAATAAGTTATGAAGTCTAAAGTTTCGACAGAGAGTTAGCTCTTAGATAGGAACTATAAAACACTATTTTAATCGAATTCATGATTTTTTCCCCAGCTAATTCAATTCAAGAACGATAACATCGACGCTCTAGCTACGGCGACCTACGCCATTGATCAGAGCATCGAGAACACGTCCAACAACATCGCCTGGATGGACAACTACTACGACTACATCGTCAACTGGCTCACTCTCAACGGGTATCCTCCATTTGTATCACTAATCTCGTAACTGTTGTAATCTTCTATGCTTGATTTTTCTTTTTCTGTAAAATTTTATTAGTAGGATATTTATACATTGGAATTTTTATGCATATTTCATAACATTGTCATAAATTTATACTCTATAAATCTATACTCAGTGTATGGAGCGAAGGCGATAAGCGATCTTGAAACTGAAGAAGCAAATTTCTAAGGCAAAACGTGTTGTTAGGCATAACGAGTGCCTGCAATAAACGTCCCAATTACCTTTTCTTTCATTCCTTCTGCAAAACAAGTAACTGCTTTGACGCCCTTCTTTTATGTTATGCAATTCATTTAGCAACGTTCATATTTTTGTTAATGCAGAAGTGACGAAATTCTAGACAGAATTTTTCATTGCAACCAGAAAAAAACTGCTTTAGATGTCGATGGTAGGAATGATCCCTCTTTATATGTGAATTTACGCCAGCGTTGCAATTATAGCCACTTACCTAGTTCTACAATATTCATTCGGTGATAACTGACATTGTAATTTAGTGATTGTTGATATCATTATTCAGAGTGATGATTGACATCATCATCCACATTAATTGTCGATTGCATCATCATATACGGAGTTCAGATTGACATCATCATACACATTGGCGATTGATATAATTTTCCATATTCGATAATGGCGTAATTCATAGTCATGATTGCCATCACAATATGATGTGACGATTGCAATCATCATTCAGAGTTACGATTGACATTCGAGAAAAGTTTTGAAAAACCGATGGAATTATGCCGGAATATATAAAATAGGGTTATTCGAAATGATGAACCCAATTTAATAAATTCGTATATATTTAAGTACAAATTCCAAATGAATAATTTACTAGCCAATGCAAAAAGAAAGGTTAAAATTTGTTCAAACATTTATAAATGTTCAATATGTCCCTCTTAAATTGTGCTGCACGGCAAACATCTAAACGGCAGCCAAACTCGTCCCACACACGAGAAAGCATATCTTCTGTTACCGAGTGCACCGTAGCAGTGCGATACGGTTCTTCAGATCAAACAGAGTTGCTGTTAGAGGCGGGACGTAAACAGGGCTGCTGGTAGAGTTGGGAAGTAAACAGTTGTTGGTATAGGCGAGACGTAGAGTTACTGGTTGAGGCAAATACTAGAAACACTAGAAATTACTAGCAACTGTATATACTGTATATTGCACCAGATACTATACGTTGCACAATATAAAAATCCAAAAAATGGAAGATGGTTACACAAATTATTTCAATATATATACTACAAATACCACTGAAGTTTAATAAAATTCCTATTAACCAAACTGGAACAAAATGTAATACTAGTAATAATTACGTACTAAAAAACTAGGCTGACGCCTATAGGCTGACGCCTAGGCGAAAACTCTTCTTATAATAACATAAAACGTTTCCGCAAAATAAAAAAAAATCGGAGTGCGGATATAAAGAACTGAACAAGTTGTAAGCACCATCCAGGAGAGGTTACATTTATTTCTCTATACATATTTATTATATGAGAGAATTCGTCTCAGACTTCTCACCCTACAAGCAGAAGCTGAAAAAATATTCTCCTCCAATTTCTTACAGAAATGAGTATGGTGTACCCTAGAGACTTTGATGAGAAATCTAATATAAAAATTAGTAATTCATGAGCTTTCATAAGTTATTGGCGCTTTCTTTCATTACAGAAATTCCTTCTTAACAACACGTCAGGATGTTTGTTCGTTGGTATGATACTTTGGTGAAAATGAAACGGAGTTTGAGCAACTTAAAGGACGCATGTCGTGACAGCAGTCGCGCGTTTTGAGTCTATACGGACACGAGAAGCGCATTCCCGCGCTTCTGAAACCCGAAACCTCCATGCCCAGGCAGACATGCATACACCACGCCTCCATCTCCAAAATGCATCATGTTGAAACCACATTCATGTACATGCAAGTTTCATCTAAAGGCTGTCTAATTTAACTGTCCAATAGAAAAAGTTGGTTATCTGCACTCAAATTTCGATGGGGGTTGAGAACATGGAGTAGGTGTTGGATCATTTAGCTGAAAGCTTACCATACCTCGTGGCGGAGAAATTTTTAAATAATGAATTTGTTTCGCATTTCTGTGAATTAGTCTCGCTACAGTAAGAAGGGTCGTGACCTTAATTTAGATAGAATTAATTTAGATTAAAGTGACATCAAGAAGTTGAAATTGCTGGCCTTCCTGTGAGCCTAATAAAATTTATCTGCAAATGAAAATTAAATTCTGGAAAGCCTTCATTTTTTGCTATGTTCAGGTGTGACTGTTGGCCTGTGTGAGGTTTTAATCGCTACATCTTCAACCAAGTTAGCAACAAAAAGGAGTTCAACACACCGAAGTCTGTGTGTTGAGGTATCTCGATAACTAACAGTTCCATCCCTTAATACGGAAATCTTCCCAAAGATACGCAGCTCGCACAATTAACCTAAGAGTGAGGACGTCCAGAAACGCAGGTGTAGTCCGCAGCGAAGTGTATTGACTATTCAGAACATTTCTAGACTCACGACCTCAAACACTTTCGATCTTGTACCTCGTCATTTCGTTTCTTGTGCCTCGTGATTTCGTTGTATCATTTCTTACTCGTTTCGTCACCTAGCATATTGGAAGTTTTATATACCCAATTACTCCGATGATTCGGTAAGCCCTTCTCGTCGGACAGGACTTCGTATATTATCTTGTTGTTTGCATTTTATTGTTCATAACTCGAATCAATACAAACGATAACCGTTTGTGTCATATCATGCTGCGTAATTATTTATTTACATTTGCAGAAACTCAACATCAATAATCCTGTTACTGTATGGAATCATCTCGTCTATCAATCCCGTCCAAAGAAACTCTTAGTTTTCTTTATACAGTGAAATACACCTCTTAACAATAACAAATTGTAATTTTCGTTTTGAATGGCCTATTATACATGTAGATTCATAGTATTAATGGATTTTACGGTATTTATGCAAGTAACCTAACTTAATGGTTCTTCTAAACATTCTTTTTATTGCTCCTGGACCTTCTCGTTACGTAAATTAAGACTTGGCTGGAAAGCACGTGGTAAAGTTAAAACAAAGATAAACCGAACCGGCAACTTCAGTTTGGTCTATTCTGATTCAAACACTTTGTTCGCTATCTATCTTTCAATCAATACCGAAACATCTACTATGAGTGCTTTCACTCGCTCCACTCCTAACCACCCTTAATTATTGAATTTGAGGCGACCAATTGGTTCATTACCTAATTGTCTAATTAGCTAGCTGTTATTATCACAATTCTAGAATTAAGGGGCGCTAATGTTTCATTCATTGAAAAATAAATCTGGACCCTTCCTAGATAATTAAGCGGGCGTCTCTTGGGGTCTTGCGACGTATAGCCTCGAAGCTGTGTTGATAGTAAATGAGCAGAGGTACGACTAGAGGAAAATTGGCTTTTAACTTTTGTGTCATTCAAACTTTGAATATTAGACAGAATTTTTCATTAAACATACATAAAGCTCTCTCCGTAAAATTCAATTTAGCACTGTCCATTCTATACTTTATTTCTCGTTTGGAACTTCTCGCCTAGCCAACTTTGAGCACGTTTTGATATTTACAAAAGGACTCACAATAAATTGGTATTGAAGATTTAGATTTAATTTAATTCCTTACATTTTCCAATGGCAACCATACTCAAGGGGTACTCCAATTAATGGCAACCAATAGAATTTCGTTGCTAGGCCAATTTCCTCACGCCAGCACCATATCAACATTTCCTATGCGAGTATCTTTGAACTGGGTGTCCAATGTAGTCTCTGGAAGAGCCTGACCTTTTACGCAACTTTAATTAGATCATTGAAGTATACAAGTATACCCACGGTTTATACAAGGTCCCAGAAGGATTAGTAGAACTTGAAACAAGAACCAACACCAGGGGCCACGGCTATAAACTAAAAAACTGCGTTGTAACACATCCATGCGACAACATTTCTTCTCGCTTCGAGTCACCGACTTGCTGTGGAACAGCCTCCCTATACTGGCGTCGTTGACGCTGTCAGTATGAACGCTTTCAAGAATAGACTAGACGAAGATATACTATATACAGGAAAATATATTCAGTCTTAAAATGCCTAGCACCTTACGGGCCTTGCAATAAGTCCAGCAGCTATCTCAATCAATCGTCAGTTATGGGAAGATCGGGTTCAAAAGGCCGGATCCCTTTCGGAATCAAGTCACGAAAAGTACAAGAATCGGCAACAGGCCATTTCTTCAGTGCCGACACTTCTATTCAATTTTATTCTGTAACCGTAGTTGAAAAAATACGTAGATTCTACATCGATGAACTTGAAATATCGTTTTGCGTTATAGGCTAATCGGAGGACTAAGCAGATGCATACACAGAGGCAATTATTTTGGAGAAATATTACTCAATATTTTACTATATTTTCCAGAGACAAAAGCAAAACCTTCAAGATGTATCTGCATATGAATATTGTTTGTTATAATGCTTAAACTTACTTAAGCGACGTGCAAATTAACGTGTTCGATGTCAATCAGGGGTAGCTGTCCTAAAATTCGAGATATATTTTGAATACTAGAAAAGACAAACTCGGAATAGCGTTATAAGACAGATTCTCGCTTGTTTTTTCACTGTAAAGTTTATAATAACGAAGGCAAAGTCGCACGATCATAATAATAATTTAAATGTTAATTTTCCCATTATTCAGTTAATTGCATCATTCATGGAGTTAACCCGATTGAAAGATGTTTCTTTACATTTGATTAAAATACAAAATCTTTTTTGGTCAATACTGTTACCATTTTTCAATTTACCTGTTTTATCTTTCTCAATTTCCTAAGTAACAACATAGCTTTGACTACGAGCAAACAACCGACTTCTTTTAAACTAGCCAATGGAACTCTACTCATTATTATTAGCATATTAACTTTTGATAGGATTGGAGCTAATAATATATTTTACATCTGTGAAAAGAGTCATTTCCAATAACGCCACCTGCTGCACCTTCAACGCCTTCATAGCGAAGAAAATCCGCAACAGGTGTACTTTCCTCATCAAATTCAACAAAGAGGAGGTACCGCACACGTAGAGAACCACTTGTCTACACTGAGCACAGGCCTCCCCTCGCGCTGCGATGTAGACGTGATAAGTCGGAGTGAGTCGATCACCGCGGCAGCGCCTGAACGTACGCAGCACGTGGCGGGGTGCCAGCTGCTGATCGGGTCGTGCTACGTGGTTGGGTCACTAGCCCTCTGGCCATGATGGTGTTTGCTTTAAAACTGAAAGCTGCTGTTGTTTGTGGTTATAGTGTATAAATCATTTGACCTACTCAATGTGCAACAGATGTGGTTAGGAATACGAATTGAGTTTAAATTAGCATTGAGAGTGAAAGCGATTTATTGTATCGCATCAATTTGATGTACAGCTACAACTATCACAAATTTGACAGAAATCACGAAAAATATTGCAAATTATTTTTTCGGGGAAATCTTCACTATATATACTTTATTTTATTATTAGTATTATATTAGTAGTATTATATTATTTAAATTATTTGGATGAAATATTTGGTGCGGTGTAACGTTGTTTGCGCTTTAATTAATGATGTACATTCAGGTGTCGTTAGTAAAATTATGATGTGCTTGCAAGTGAGGTTAGAGGCAAAATAATATGTTTGCAAGTTTCGCTAGTATAATATAGGGTTCGTAAGTGACGTTAGTGTGTTAATTATGCACTTCAAGAGACGTTAGTGACATCGTAATGTGCTTACAAGTGACTTTAGCGTAATAATTATGCGATTGCAACTGGAACTATATAATAGCCTCATGGATGGATTTGCACACTTTTTTTTACCTGAATCAAATTTCGGAAGGACGGTGTTCAGTTAGAATTTTTTAAGAGCTAAAATCATCCATTAAGCAAAGATTATATTTTCAAGAACTGCTGATATTTTACATCTGTGATAAGAGTCATTTTTAAGAGCTGCATGTTCAACGCCTTCATAGCGAAGAATAATGGTATATAGTTCAATTTATACTATGCTGTTTTCCAGTTATATTCTACTGGAAGTTAAAAGTTGGGTGGAAACTACTTTTTGTGTCAAATGCAAAGGGAATATTACTTGAAGTAAAAGACGAGATCCACAGATGTCAAGGAAGAGTGTCTCTTATTAGTACAAGTGTGTCTATTGTAAAGCTGCCTATTATAGAAATGCTTCACGTCCGAACGCTGCACAGCATATGGAGGTTTGTGCTCGATCTCAACTGCACACTGTCCGCCCCATCACAATTCGCGTTTGATGATTCCCTGCCCTACAGTTCTACAGTTATTTGTTCAAACTTTCTTTCAATAAGTTATCTTGATACATTATTCAACTATTAGTTTCGGTCGCTGATATTATTCACCTTTCTTGATTGCTTGCTGCATTTTCTCATATTCTCATGTGTACAAATAGCACATTTAGAACTATATATATATATATAGTTTCTATTAAGAAGATCGAAATTCTACATTAATAAGAGTATGTTCAAATTGAAGAAATTTTTTAATGACTTCGCAACGAGTTGTCAAACACTTTTTTACAAACAAGAAACATTCAATGACTTCGCAACGAGTTGTCAAACACTTTTTTACAAACAAGAATTATTCAATGACTTCGCAACGATTTGTCAAACACTTTTTTACAAACAAGAAACATTCAATGACTTCGCAACGAGTTATCAAACACTTTTTTACAAAAAAGAAACATTCAATGACTTCGCAACGAGTTGTCTAATACTTTTTTACAAACAAGAAACATTCAATGACTTCGCAACGAGTTGTCTAACACTTCTTTAAAAACAAGAATCATTCGATGATTTAACAACGGGTTGTCTAACACTTCTTTACAAACGAGAAACATTCGGTGACTTCGCTATGAGTAGCCTAAAATTCCCTGCCAAACAATGGAATTTTTAATGACCTATTTGGCCGTTGGTAAATTTAGAACGATGCCGCAATGGTTTCATTGTTAAGCAGCATGCGATTCTCTGCTCGTTGGTTGCGGTCGCTCCATGGAATGCTCTTCTGACGAGTTATGTTCAGACGACGTTTTCTTTGTAATCATGGTTACGATGAGTAAAGTAAACGGAAAAAATTATGTAAACATCCAAATATTTCAATACACTCCCTTTTGTTTTTTCATTACAAGTTCTGAGCGAACAATTCACTTCCTTCAATTACTATTTAATCAGTGCTCCTCGTTTGCATTGTTTATTAGTCGGCAGATTTGGCTAGATTTTTACTGTCGATAGAATTTGGTATTCTGATGCATTTTTTGTGACAAGCAGAATGACGGTAATTTTCTGTTGTGGCTGCGATTTTGTTCTACTCACAACCTGTAACATGTCTAATTCTTTCTAGTTTAATGTTATTTGGTTCTATAGAAAGATAGGAAACAAATACGGATATGTTCTAGTTTTAAGTCTTAATTTTTTATTTAAACTTTTGAGGAAATGTTCTGATTCAATCACAGCCTCAAAGAAAGCTTTCTAGAATAGCCCGTAACTATTTTTTACATTGAAAATATCATTATTTTTATCGCTTGACTATCATATTGTTTTCGAACTTATATCCCTATATGCCTGTGTTGACGCAATATTGGCCGAGGTCTTGATTAATTATTTCTCAGAAACTTTTTATGCTCGATAACGATGCTAAAATCGCCTAACATGTGTTCCATTTGATGTCAATAATGCCACTTTCAATACCACACTAATTGTTTCGCGAAAATCGACATTCAGCATAATTTAAATGGCACTCTTATTCAACAGGAGTGCAAACATTGAAAGCTGAGATAATAAGTCAAGGAAACTCAAACATCAGCGCGCAATCGTACCTGATATGGACACCCGGCGTAACAATCATTGAGGTTTTCACTCACCCTTTACAATCACCTCTAAACTGGTGTTGTTACTTATATACTGATTCCGAGAAACGCGTGCCTGAATATATAACCACTTAGTTCAACTATTGTACCTACAAATATTCTTCATCACTATGAATCTAAATGCAGTACTGATGTGTCATAATAATTGTATTTATAAAGTAAAACTTAATGTGACGATTTTATTAAATGTTCTACTCACCCTGAAACACAGCCACATGTTATCCTTGTGAGTTATTCTGAGTCATCTCTGTTAGATTGTCATGCAGATAACAAATCTTCTGGTGTAATGATAATATCGTGAAAATAATCACAAGGCCAGGAGCAAAGTTTATCTATGATTTGTATCCTCGCCTTCATGTTGAGTTCGATAATCTGGAAGTAGCAGCACCTGTTTTCTTAAGAGTGGCGCCATCGCGCTATCAAGCCCTATATAGTTCATAAGCACGAGCTATTGCGCTCGAAAACGGGCGTCCCACATTCATGCTCTAAACTCCGCACAAACTTATTGACCAAACATTCACTGAAATTTACCAAACAAGCATTATGTATCTCCCTTCAGTAAAACTTATTAAATTGTGCCTTTAATTGTGCATGAATAAACTATAAAAATTGTGCACTGCTCATCTTCGCTCTCTTGAAAAAATTTATTGGATAGTACAGTAGATGCTAAAAACCTTAATTAATGAACTCGTTTAATGTGCCAGAGGCACGAATTTGAATTAATTGAATTTTATTAAACGGTGCTTTCTGAACATAAAACTTTATTGAAGTGAAATTAATTTCTCATCCTGTTTTTCATACTTCGTGTCTTTTCAGGAATTTTTTACGATGAACCTAATCGTGCATAATAACTTAGATATTATGTTCCCAACAAGAGCTCACCGCAAGTTACCTATTTAATTTAATAAATCTTTAAGTGTTAAGGTAACTATAGCGAAGTGTGTACTCGATCCTTTTGCTTACTGTACTGGTTACGTGTTCAGTAATAAGGGAAGATATTCGAAGGACGACTTCAATATTTCAGTGGAACTCCTGTCGCTGAAGAAGATCTGTGAGTTATTGTTTAAATGTTCCTAGTAGCAAGCCAGGAATCATTATAACTTTAGCAGTAATAGTTGAAATTTAGGAAAACTCTACAGAATTTCTCGATTTTTTGTTGTTGTTGTTGTTCGCCCACAAATAACACTTGGATAATGATTGAAGTAGATCTAATCGTAACTTTATAATTCACATCTTTAACTTACAACTGAAGCAATACATCGAAGCAATACAACTGAAGCAATTTCATTTGGCTGATGCTGATAACTAATTTATCAATAATGAGTGATTTTTTCCAGCTGATTTTTTCAAGGACCAAAATTATAATCGAAATGGACAAAAAGGACGACGATGCTGGCACGTCGTATTCCTCGGCACGTTCCTCCAGTCACTGCATGTCCAGAAGATCGACCATCTTCATCGTGGTGTTCCTCTTCGTGGTGTTGGTGTGTGCGGGGTTTCTGGTCCACTTCTGTTGGCCAGGAGCGAAGGAGCCTTCGTATCCAGAAGATCACGACATCAGGCTTCCCCGGTCAATTTTCCCAGTCAGGTGCATAAGATTTTTAAAATGCTAATTATTGTGAACTGCAATTTTTCCTTTAAATTTATCTTGAAACACGAGCTTTTTCTATTTTTTCGTTATGTGCCCTGAAAGTTCTATTGACTTGGTAAATTTTGTTCTCTTGTGTTCGTTAGAACAGAACATATTTTATTGAAAGCAGTTGTGCGGTTGCCCACGGTGATTTTAGGTATCAAGCAACCAGTTTGCGGTGAAGTGTTAAAATCATAAGTTAGACTAATCAATACATAATTCGTTGTGTTAACATCCTTGTTATTTCAACTATCGGTTATTTAATTCAATTGAATTTTCCTTCGAAAATTTAAAACATAGTGTTTGAAACATCACTTTAGGTACTTTATACAGGCATTAAATTTTGATTATAACAAAAAATAATAGTACTACCATATGAAAAATTTAAATCCATACTTTTAATGTTAATTTCTCACTATTGGTATCTTGTCAGCTATGAGCTGTGGCTGCAGCCGTTTATTAACGGTAATTTCACAATACTGGGCGCTGTCAACATCGTGATTAACGTCACCATCCCAACGGATAACGTGACGCTCCACATCAGCGACATCATCACAAAAAATGAAACTGTAACGGTATGGAAGCCAATTTACGAAAATATGCTAGATAATTCCTGTTAAAATAAAAAATATAACTCAGTACTCACTGCAGTGAGTGACAGAGAGCGCATTTTCTCGTCGACGAAAACGTGAAGTCACAGACGGACAGACAGGCACAATGGCGAGCAATAGTGCATTTTTTTCCATAAATGAGAAAATGCGCTAAAAATGACTTTAACATTTATTGATCGTGTCGAGTTTATTCTTATTTTGTGAATTTTGCAATAAGTACTTAGTACATCCTCAACTTTTCTCTACATTAAGCACTCAAAAGAAAGAGCCTTGGGTCCCTTGGTGGGTTATTATTTATTATTGTAACCATCACAGATCCATTCTCTACATGACCTGGACGGTCCTGGTATTAGGATAAAAAAACAGTCGTACGACCATGAGAAGAATTTCTACGTTGCGCTGCTCGAAGAGGCACTCGAACCTGGCCGATCATACAAGTTTCACATGGAATATGAAGGATATCTTAATGATCAACTAAACGGTTTCTACAGATCGTCCTACACAAGATCGGACGGAAGCTTGGTGTGAGTTATATTACTGACGAGTTCCACAAACCCTCGATCTTTGTCCCTAATGAACCCTCAGTGAGCCAGAAAGTCCAAAATTTTGTTGTCCTGATGTCATAATAGGAGGTTTGTTACTTAGATGAAAATAGTACTAAAATAAACAAATTGAGTTGAGATCAGAAAGGTCCCACTTTCTTTACTGAAAAAATTACCATATCGTCATACAGATTTAGGCACTAATTATAATTTCTAATTTTAGCTTATTGGCAGCCTCGCAGTTTGAACCAGTTGACGCTAGAAGAGCGTTTCCATGCTTCGACGAACCTGCGATGAAAGCCACTTTCGACATCCACATAGCCAGGGAGTCCAACATGACGGCAATTTCCAACATGCCTAAAATTAACACCACTGCTTTGTAAGTAGATTGCATCTGCGCAGGGCTAATCTGTCTCTTTGCATGGTGTGATTAGTTGCATTCCTCGTACTTTGGAATCGATGAGATTAGTATTGGTTGAAGGCCCATGTGTTCCAATTTGCTAATTTTTATTCCAGACATAGTCAGTACTCAATTGCATGCTACACTGCAATTCTGTCCGTGGTTTAAAATACTGTACAGTACGTTCGTTTGCATCTAAGTGAATTCGTCGATTGTTCAGATTGTTTTAAATAATTAGTGAAATGTATTCTGGAGCTATAATGCGCCGAAAGAACCTTTTCAAATGTTCTTATATCTTATCTCATTTTTAGTTTGCTGACTTTCATTGACGAACATTCTAGATAAGATTTTGTTTTATAATAAAAGAATGGCGCTGTTAAAAGTGTGAATTATCTTGCAGCGGTGAAAATAGTCAATGGATGTGGGACCACTTCGGTACAACCTTGCCCATGTCAACCTACCTCGTGGCGTTCGTAGTGTCGGACTTCCAGCATGTCGAGTCCAACTACAACGATCACATCAAGTTCAGAGGTACAATTAACCATTATTTATCTAATTTTCCTCTCTAAACGTAAGTACTCGAAAAACCAGCCTCACCACGCGGAGCTTTCGCACTCGAGAATTGAAGTTACTTCCGTCGATGCAGGAAATTTCATTTTTCTAAACTTCAACGATAATGCCCTTTCATCTCTCATTACCTACAGTCAAGCGCATTTTGCTTCTTACATACTATAAATGTTTCATTCTTGCCGAGTACTCAAAGAATGATGAACAATTTCTCATTGATCAGTGTGGGCCCGCCAGGACGCCATTAACCAGACATGGTACGCAAGTAAAACTGGACCTCAGGCTTTGAGCTTTTTTGAAAATTACTTCAACATCTCCTTTCCTCTGCCCAAACAAGACATGATCGCCTTACCTGACTTCTCAGCCGGAGCCATGGAAAACTGGGGGCTTATAACTTACAGGTATATGAGACGTCACTGCATTGAGTTAATTAAATTTAAGAATTAAATTATTTTTATCTATTATTCATCTGATAGCCTATCTATTATTCATCTGATTATTCATTGTTTTTCAATTACGCATGTTGGCCGATTAATTAGAAAGGCTATATGAGATAGTTCATGGAAATAATAAGTTAAAGTACATAGTACATACATTTCCACGCAGAGAAACTGCTCTGCTTTTGAACCCTGTTGGATATTCAGCCTCCAGCCACAGTAGAGTAGCGAACGTGATCGCGCACGAGCTGGCGCACCAGTGGTTCGGAGACCTGGTCACCATGGAGTGGTGGTCAGACTTGTGGCTCAACGAAGGATTCGCCACGTACATGGCTTACCTCGGAACCAATTCGGTACAATTAACAGGTTCTCCTAGAACATTTGAACCTTCAGTCAAATTTAATAATTGTATATTGTAGAAAGGTTGAATAAATTTAGATTGAAGATTCAATTGAATTAAAGATTGAGTGATCCCGAAACCGATGTAAAAAGTTCATGCTCGATCATGTGTAGGTCGATTATCATGAAAATAATCCATAGTGACATCAATTTGTTGACATAGGCTCTGCATGTACTCAGTGACGAATCTCTTAAATTGAGAAGAAGCACCAATCTTACAATTTCCAATAATTTATTATTAGGTCGAACCAGACTGGAATGTGCTGGACACCTTCGTAGTCACGGATCTACAGAACGTTTTCGCCCTAGACTGCCTTGAATCTTCTCATCCAATCAGCGTCGCAGTTGAATTTCCCAACGACATCAACCAGCTGTTCGACGATATTTCATACTCTAAAGGTAAATCATGAAAATGTGAAGTCGCTGCGCCACTAAGACTAGATATTAGCTGCTAATTTTTACTATTATTTGAAGTATATGTTATCTAATGCGCTACTGACTAGCGCTGATTATTATTTCAATGCTGTAAAAAATTTCATCTATTTTCATGAATATATGTGCTTTCTTGATTGCTAATGTCACATCTGAAATGTGCTGCCAGATCTACCATATAATAAATTTTTATTAGTGACTGCATTTTTTCGTTAAGGTGCTTCTATCATACGGATGATGAATCATTTCTTGACCGAAGAAACTTTTAAAGCCGGACTGACAAAATATCTCAATGTTCAGTAAGTGTAAGCAACTAGGCTCGGATAATAATTATGTTATTAATATTTGATCATATCAATTAATTACAAGACCAATGCCTCTTCTAAGATTTAAATTGAGTGCTGAATCATGAAGATACACGATACGCACTAATGAAGATGATTACTAAATTTAACGTTAAAGCTGAAATTTTTCTTGTTAACTCTTGATGTATACATTCCAAATGGTTTCAATTATATGCATTGTTTTAACTCATCCTGTTTTTGATCGCCTGATAAAAAATCTGGGAACAGGTCATATCCAATACCTTAACATATTTTTTGTTTTACGATCAGCCAGTTCGGCAACGCCGCACAGGACGATCTCTGGCAATGTTTGACTGAACAAGGACGCGCTGATGGCACCTTACCGGAACACCTCTCAGTCAAAACCATCATGGATACCTGGACGCTGCAGATGGGATACCCTGTCATATCTGTGCACCTCTCGCGTGACGGACAAGCGACACTCACGCAGGTACAGTTTGTAATCCCTGCAAATAATTTTTATCTATGACCCGTCTAATGTTTTTCTTCGAGTAATTTCAAACATACATTTATTTGCAGAAGCGATTTTTAATGGTCAACACTTCAGTTTCGACTGATACCCACGATTACAAATGGTGGATACCAATCACATTCACCACTCAGGACTCTCCAGACTTTTCCGTCACCAAAGCATCTCACTGGATGCCTGCTTTGGGAAGCAGTTACGTCATCGATGGTTTACCGACGAATCAATGGCACCTTTTTAATCTCGAGCAAACTGGATATTACAGAGTTAACTATGGCGTTGAAAATTGGAACCTTTTAATCAACCAACTCCAGGACAACTCATCCGTTTTGTCTCTCGTCAGCCGAGCGCAACTGGCCGATGATTCCTTCGACCTGGCAAGAGCGGGTGAACTTGACTATGACATTCCATTGCAAATAAGTTCTTATTTAGAAGCAGAAAAAGAATTCGTTCCATGGAGTGCTGCTCTCAGTAACCTGGCGTACTTGGAGAATATGTTTACTCGCACTAGAGGCTACGTTGCTCTCAGGGTGAGTTCCCTATATTGATACGAGTTTCAAATTACAACACATGCAAATAATATAAGTGCTTATGCACGATATCCTGGCCTGTAACCCCTAATCACCTGAGAATTTTTTATTTACCGCCTAATTAACTCTAATGTTAATCTTTCCTAAATTATTTTCTGCTCTTTTCATTGACCAGATGAATCTATGTTCAAAGATCACGTGCCCTGAGCATGAACATGAGAAATCCTTGAGAATTCAAGAATGACAGACGTAATTTAGATAATTTTCACTTCAAGATTTAATAGTATTTTGATGTATTTTTCTTCAAGAATTACCTCCTTGGGATCCTAATTCCACTCTACAATGACGTCGGATTTGAGGACAATCCAGACGACACTCATTCGCTGCAGAACAAGAGGGTATTGGCCGTAGCCTGGACCTGCGCGCTCGAGTATAGTGACTGCGTCGTAAAATCCGTCTCTTCGTATGCCAACTGGATGGCAAACCCAACCAAAATATCGTAAGCTAATATTGGCACGAAACTTCGCGTAATAATTCATGCATTATAGCAGAAGTGGGATTATACAGGATACACTTGGCCTATACACGATAATTGAGTTAAAAACGTTCTTTAATTTGTGTCATTGCTCCGATCAAACTCGCACATTCATCAATATTGTGTCCCTATAATAATTAAATAATTACTGAAGACAAGAACTTCAACTATTACATTTTAAATAGCCTAGGGGCCACGGCCAGGCTTTTTGAAATTAAGCCTTTATCGTGGATTTCATCTCGTCTTTTTTTTGGTCATGTTTTGAGGAAGTTAATTGGTCCTCTTTTAACGTTAACTGCTTGTTACTATTCAAGTTGTACTAAATCTTAACAAGATGAAATTACAAATAATTTTCTAGGGTCTTCGGAGACTCACATTTTCTTTGAATCCAACGATGGTACACTAATCTATTTGAGAGGTCGTGTTTCTCTGGTTACCTCTCCTGCTGTTCCAATACGATGAGCCAAAATATATCATTATTATTCTTCGATGTCAGAGCATAATATTTGTATCTTATACTCCAATCACCGTATTTTAGAGGAATGGCGACATAATATCTACAAGCTCTGACAAAATCGATTTGAAATCTGCATAAATGGTAACGCTGAACAACTGATATAACAATGAAGAAAGTCTTCTCAAGGACGAATATCTAGCGTGTCACAATTTGTGACAAACATTCATTTATTAAGTTTGACAGCTAATCGACATAATTGTTGTAGCAATCCCGAATAGATGACATTGTATACAATAAGATACGATATTTAAAAAAGATGCAAGGAGCGTAATATACTAGGCTACGTTAGATGCCATTGCGCGGTGCGGTGAACATAAAAAAAACAGAGCCAAAATACATTTTGTCTTTTCGAAGAATTAGTTCAAATGTTGAATTGTCACTTCAGGGACATCTCTGACAATTTGAAGCCCACGATATATTGCACTGCAATTGCGAGAGGCGGAGAGGACGAGTGGAACTTCGCGTGGTCGCAGTACCGCCTTTCGAACGTCGCCTCTGAGAAAGCCACACTCCTGGGCGCACTTGGCTGCTCCAGAGAAATATGGATTCTGGCGAGGTTTGTCGACGAAACTCCTCGTATTTCAGTTCATAAGATTATTGTTTAGATTGAAATATATTCTGAAATTTGTCTGTCTAGACTAGAGTTTGATCTTCCACATTTAGAGCCTATGATATGTTTTGCTTCAAATGTAGCCCGGCAACGAAATTGAATTCTGATTGTGTGCATGATTCATAAAAGAAGTTATGAATGTCTCTATTTTATTTTGGTGACAGATTAATGAAAAATATCTCATACGAATCAATTGAAGTCAGTACGTCATATTAGATAGATTCAGTTCAGTTGTTCCCTATGAGAATTTTCCGGGGAACTACAAAAATTCAACACCGAATATCAGCTAGTTCGATGAATCAACTCAATTCCTATAACTGTTCAGCGTCTAAATTAGTAGCATAAATGGCAATGTGGCCGTTCCAGAATTACGTTCTCCATTTTTTTGATAGGAGTTAGTGTAGCCGTTTCAGGATTAAATTTTCGGTAATAATTTTCAAGATTTTATTAATTATCAACTTTCCTGTAAATAAAGAAATTCAGTGACATTCCAGCTGCTGAAAGGGCATATGCGTTTTAAAGGAAGCAGTTCAATCTTTTCAAAATTGGGTTTTTCGCTAAAAGTTTCAATAATTTTACACCAAATATCATTTAAAACGAGGAAGTCAGTCATCATCAAACTGTGCATGGGCTGCATTAATTTTACACATGTCATGTTCAGCCGCTTCCTAGATGTGTTTCACTGTTGAAACATAAATAATTCGAAAACAAATATTACCCCACTCGGTTATTTCATTCGCTATTCAACAGTGCGGTGACAGCTTGAATTTTATAATGTTAATAGAATCATTTCAGAATTTGTGTTTTTCGTTAATAACTGTAAACTATGATTGAACACCGAATACCACCTAAATCGATTAATCCATTCGATTGCAAACAGAGTGTGTGTTGCTGAATTATTTCTACATTTGTCAGTTAAGCCGTTTCCTAAATGCGCTTTCCGGTAATAAATACAGTGATTCAACACTACATTTAACCTATTTCGCTGAATCACTTTAATTCCTTATTGCCACAATGAATCAATCACTCCATTTCCACATGAACACAACAGCTGTAACGCCTAGGTTCTGCCGAGCAGGTTCCTGGAGATGGCGTTCACGGAGGGTAGCGGCATCAGGAAGCAAGATGCCACGCGTGCTTTCAGTGCCGTCGCTGCTAACGACGTGGGTCGAGATCTTGCATGGGACTTCCTCAGAAACAACGTCATGTGGATCTCAAACTAGTGAGTTTTTCTTTGATCGTTCAGGAGTAAATTGAAACTGCAATATTACGTAAGCCTGAAAATTATTTAAATTCTTATTTTTGATGTTATTTACACCACAAATTCATATGAATGTCACTCATTTAGTTTCGAAAGGTATCAATTGCACAGTGTGTTTGTCTAAAAACGAATTAGATTATTCCTACGATGAAATGCAATTGTATTTGAATGGAAAAATAATTGAAAGAGGGTATTTCAGTAATGGAGGAGGCAGGGAACTACTCACTGGTTGTGCTTAAATATTTTTTATAGGAGCTCTAAAAATTCCAAATAGCTAAAATGTATGAAACTTGCACGGTGGTGCTCTGGCAGTCTACATTAATTCGTTCCAAAGGGAGCGATAACTTTTTAAACTGTCGACTTCCTAATGAAATTGTTTTGAAGGGAAAAATTATCCTAAAAGGCAGCTTCTGGCACACAGTGTACCACGCAAGAGACCCCGTGTGAATGCCGCTTCGTTTGGGGTCTCTGTTTTGATGTCGCTTCGTTTTGAGATCTCTGTTTTTATGTCGCTTCGTTTTGGGATCTCTGTTTTAATGTCGCTTCGTTTTGGCATCTATGTTTTGATGTCGCTTCGACATCAAAATTTCGGTCGACTTTTGAGACATTTTGCCGATACTATTTATAGAGTTACGATATCGTAGTCTTCTAAAGTTCCAATTCCTACATGTTGTTTAGGTAATCATTTGCTCAACTTATATAGTAACATTAAGTGACGTTATTTCAGCTCGAACCTCAAAGGAAAGTTCAAGCGTTTACTGAGGAATGTTTCAAGTAAATTCAACGAAAATTTACGAAAGGAAGAGGTATTTACCGTATTTGCAACGTTTCAAAACATTTGCTCAATTTAAGTTTTTGTAGCTATTTTTCGTGATCTTGTTTTAATTTTGAGGCTATTTTACTATCTTAGAGTGGCCACAAATTTATTGTTTACGCTGCATGAAATTGATGTTCTTAATTTAATTTTTTTAATCATGAGCTCCACCATACTGTTCTTGATTCCATGAACAACTGCTTTTCAATTATGCTTTTTAAACATAAAACTGCTTGAAGACTTTTCAAATATTATTTCCAGTTTCATTTGATTGCCGAATACTTGATTCTCTTACGTTTCGATTTTGCTAAGTGTTGCGCACTGAGATTGTCTGTTACTTGATGAGAACATGTAAATCAGGCTGAAATTCAAAGCACGTTAGTATTATGCTCGGGAAAGAAACAATTACACGCTGTGAGTGAAGAAATGAAAGCACCGGATTTTTCATTGATTCATTACACTCGCAAGAGATCAGATTTGTTAGCAATTCGCTAATAGGTAAATATCTGCCGTATAGAAAAATTCGACGCATGTTGAATATTGGTCCGTAAATAGCAAACGCGTATTAAAGCAGAATAACACTATGATCTGCATATATATTGCTCTGATCTTTACCTGTATAAATTACAACGCTTAGTATGCTTTTGCATCGCTCCCTCTCATTAATTTAATTTGAAGCAGACTTAATTTAATTTCTGAGGACATTTAATGGCTCGGTGTATTTTCTCCTATATAAAGAGTTGAATATATTTTTATACGTTTAAATTATATGCTAATTGATATAAGTGACTTGGGTTGAGACATATATAGTGATTAAATTTGTAACGTGATGATTGCTGATTGTTGTGCACAATTTAATCTACCTGAAGCTAGTGATAAACACGTCGTTGCTCTGATTCCGTAAAACCAACATGAATGGTCCTCTATACACAGCTCCATGTTAGATTTATATGGCGTATAGCGTCTGGAAACCTTCGGGCAGTATAAGCAATACAATTATTTGCTAATTATCTGTTTATTAAGATATCTCTTTCATTTGTATTTTCTCATCACCCATTAAACGAGTGTCCTTAGCTGCATTGATTTTTAAATTTTTAAACGAAGACTTTAATTTTCCTAATTTCAGTCTTCAAACATTTACGGCGGTTAGCGCACTGGTTACTGATGCCGCGTCTGAATTCAACACTCCTCTAAACTACCAGGAGGTGAGCGTGTTGATGTATCAAGTGCATACATGTTGATTTAGCTAGCATCATGTGCATACATTTATGAGTCAAAATTACAAATTGATAGAAACGGATGGGAAACGTATACCAGAAACTAGCCGGACATACTTGAATGTTTTGTGTTGAGGTGAATAATGATCGAGAGTGAGTAGCAATGATTACGTTTGTTGATGTAATAACAATTAATCTAAAATGGGGTGATAAAATGAGTAATTTTTCATTTCTCTAATTTAAATTTGCCGGCTGTAGAATGATTTTGTATCATGCTCTCGCAAATTAATTTAATCATAACATGTTGAAAAATTCTTATGCAATATTGTTTCTTGTTCTAAAATACTAATGCTGAAATGTTCTCTACACGAGTTGTTAAAGAACCTTAAGTCGGCTCCTCACCTTTTAATGCAGCAATGAATAAAAATAATTATTTTGATCGGTTTGGCTATCACAATCACCTAATTCTTGCAGCTCTTGATATGTTTTTTTTATAGCTGTTGAAATTCAAGAGTGATTTCTCGGAAGAGCTTGGCAGTGCAACTTACGCCATCGATCAGAGCATCGAGAACACATCCAACAACATCGCCTGGATGGACAACTACTACGACTACATCGTCAACTGGCTGCATGATCATGGATACGAATGAAGGCTTAGCAGTTGCTCGATCAGCATCCACGATTCAACCGACCTGCATCCACGATTAAACTGTCCAGCAACCACGATTCAACCGACCAACATTCACAATTCAACCGACCAGCATCCACGATTCAACCATCCAGCATCCACGATTCAACCGTCCAGCATCCACGATTCAACCGACCAGCATCCACAATTCAACCGATCAGCATCCACGATTCAACCGACGAGCATCCACGACTCAACCGTCCAGCATCCACGATTCAACCTACCAGCATCCACGATTCATCCGTCCTGCATCCACGGTTCAACCGGCCAGCATCCACGATTCAACCGACCAGCATCCACGATTCAACCGCGCTGCATCCACGATTCAACCGACCGGCATTCACGATTCAACCGGCCTGCATCCACGGTTAAACTGACCAGCATCCACGATTCAACCGACCTGCATCTACGATTCAACCGACCAGCATTCACGATTCAACCGGCCAGCATCCACGATTGTGTTGGTGTGGATCAGGTTGATCTGCGTTAGATTATTCTGTTGAACTGCGGCAGATTATTCTGTTGATCTGCAGTAGATTATTCTGTTGATCTTGGGTAAATTATTCATGTAGTGGATCAAGCACCATATCCTGAAAGCAGAGGTGATGCGTGATTGAGACATTTATTAATCGGTGACTTGGTTGATGATATATTGAACGAAAAATAATTCTTTTGTTAAAATTTGCAGTTCGTTCGTTCAAATTAGAGTTTTGTAAACTGTAAAAGGGATCTTACTATGAAAGTTCGACTATGTGATGTAAATTTAGTCCTATATAGTAGGTATTCGTTTTGCGTTTTAAACAAAAATTATTAGCGAAGAATGAATAAGCATAGAAAAAACTCATATTTGATTATAGCACTTTGAATGAAAATTATATTCCTTGGTTCGAGTGTATTCAATCAGGCCTGGCAGAATAGAAACAATTTTCGTGTATTGTTTTTCCTTGAGGTTCCTAAGCGATCAAGTGATTACTAAGCGAGAACGTTTCCAAGTCACTCCTTCCACTATAAAGTTCTTTATCTTCAAATTGTGTCTTTTGCTCTTCGGTAAACTGATATCATCTCAACAGAAACTTCCTTACACTCAGGGTGACTTAGCGTAGATCGAGTAATTGGTTAATTATATTTATATATCTAAGGTAATAGTTAAGAGTAAGGGCAGGATTTTCACATCATACTTGATTAGTATTTTCTTTACAAGACACTACCTTCATAAAAATTTAATACACGTGTGTATTTGCAGTAACCGTGAATATTTCTGGTATTTAGTGTTGCACTTTTAGAAATGATTTAATGTGCCTTCTTGTACAATGTACATTACAATATGCACTTTTCGGAAGCTCTTTAATTTCCTACTAGCGCGTCGAGCTACCTACAGGCGACCGCTGTGCCAGACTGCAGAGGGAGCCTACAGCCAAACACTATTGTCTTGTCAGCTTTTGTTTACGACGAGATCCGCCGCTGTTAGTGTAAGAAATTTTGTGACCCGTCGAGTGTTACATGTTTGTGCTCTAAAAGAGCTAAAAGAAACCTGCTATAAAAATCTGCTCGATGTACTGATGATATAGCGTTGGCAAACTAATCCTCAGTAGTATTGGTAAGGAAATTATTAGGGAAAGTGTAAAAATTTAATTTGAAAAAGTTTACGCAATTTAATCATCTTACGTGCGCATTTTTTTCAAAGCGATCGTACTGAACTAGCGCTGGGACCTTGATAATTTGAAGCATTGACTTGAGTTTCAGCAGCTAGAGTTGATTTTACAGCAGGGAAGCACGAATTCTCATATACATTAGTGTTAATGATGTGATGCCTCTCATTTTTAACAACTTTAGATGGCAGTTTCTCTAATAAAAACAAATATTTATAAAAATTATTCGCCATCGTGTGCCGGGCTTGCAATTGCTGCAGCCATCAACCATTTAATTACGCCCATGGCTTCTTCCGCGCTGGCTCCGTCACCGTCTCACCGAACACCGATTCCCTGGCCAGTATAGCCCGAGCTGCAGTTGTGGAAGGTTGTATAACTTTGTCGCAGCAGTGCTGGACTGAAATGACTTGGACTTGTTGAAGCTGAGACAAAACATTCAAATTTCCGCTCTTTGAATCGACTATCTGTTCATCATCTTCTAGGTAAGAAAATTACATTTTTTTTGTTCTATGTGTTTTAGAGCTAGTCCAAGTGGAAGGACAAGCCATGCTGGATCGGAGAACAGGTTTTGTGTATGTTTTGAATATTTTTCCAGGAAGAAGTTCATTAATTACTGTTTAACCAAGTGTTCTGCTCATATGACTGAATGAAGGCAAATTATCGTGAAGAAGTTTATCGTGCTTACGTCGAGACATTTGTATAACTGTACGTTTTGGCTTTGTGTTATCTCTGCCATGTTGAAATTTATATTTAAATTAGATTTTATTGGTCTTGTTTCGCCTTTACCTTCGATTACTTCTAGTACCTTTGACAACCTGAAAGACTATGTACTACCATTTCTGTCGAGTGTGAAACTTGATGTCTTATTAAAGTAAATTTTCTTGACGGGCGGCCGCCTAACCTTTGTCTTAGATTACGTCTTTACGTGAATGGTATGAATTGATGTGACAAAGCACATTAATCCAGAATACCTGCATCGTATCCGACTAGTGAGTGAGTGACTACGAGTACTCTGGTTGAACTAATACAGTCAGGCGATTCAAGTTGGATCATTCAACCATGTATTAGTTTAACCATGACAAGTTCCAGCATCGCCGGTGGATAAAAGCTAGTCGCACTCGAAAATGCATTTTCTTGGTTCGCGCGGCGCGTGCAACTTTGAAAAGTGAAAACCGGACGTACATTTCATTTTGAAATGGAAACATGTTGGCACATTCATCATTGTTCATTGGTAGGTGAAGAATCGTCTTCGGAGTAAGTAGGCAGTATTCATGTTCTGATAGAATAGGATTCTATGAACTTACCCTTCGAAGGTATGAGGCTATGAGCAGTTACCATCCGTCCATGGACGATACAGATGAACATTTTTGCTGGCGCTGTCGTAACTTATAGAAAATGATGTCTGATGGCATGGAAACAGAATTAAAATAAAACCAAGATTTGCTAATTGAATCCAGGATTTGTTTGAGATCGTTAGATTACTGACTAGAATGCTAACGCTTGGCGTGGTCGCGTTAGAGGTCGCTGCCCTACCTAATTGAAACCAATCGAGTGATTAGGTTGAATTTGGCAATTGAAATCTGGAGTTGAATGCCGGTCCATTTCTTTTTCCATAATAATACAAAACGAGCCTGACTGGTTGGTACCGCACATGAATCGACTGGTCGGCGTCAGTGAAATAAAGTAGGCAAATCCATGTGGTCTTGAGACCGCATGTGCCTTCGATGGGTCTGAGAAGACTGGATTGCTATGGGTGTTTCGTGTTGTGCCTGCAACCAGAAAAAAAATTCTGAAGCATCATGTAATGTATTCCACTGAAGTCTGATTAGCTGTGACTAAAACTAAATTTGTCATTAGATAAAATGCTCGTGACTTCAAAGGAACTATCGCTGACATTCCGTGTTTGGAACTAAGTTACTACTACAGGATAAATCTCAAGTGTCCTCAAATAGATTCATCTTCCTTATAAAACTGCAAACATTATCGTAAGACTTTATCCGCTTGAAAATTCCTAATTTTTTTTCTTAAATTTGTTGCGAATACAGTTATTAGCGAGATTAAACATGATCAATTGGCAGAAGAGGGTTGATTCATAAACACATATTGCGTGCGTGCATGTAGCCAAATGCCAACTATTTCGCTTCTAAGGCCTTTTTGGCTAACATTTCCAGCAATATAAGCGATGGTTTTTTTTGCCATAAGTTAGCTGTTTTTTAAGTTATCTGTTTGTTCTAACCTTCTGAGCGAAGTCGATTAATCGTCTGCATGCAAACCGTGATAAAAAGTTGTTGCACCTGCAACCAACGCTGACATTGAGCTTAATTAATCTTAGCTGCTAAGTTATTATTTCTTTTTCACAGTGTTTACCGCCTTCGAAATGACTTCAAACTCTTATCTATTGGAACTACCTGTAAGCCATTCAAAATCTTGTGACATGCGTGTAAACTTTTTCCAGTGTTTAGCGTCGCTGTACGCAGCATCAAGTGCATCAACAACAATTATGAGAGCATATGTAGTGCAGAACAAGGAAATTCATCGGTGCGCCAAGCTAGCGATCGATCATGCGGCTCTGGCGCCATATGTCTCAGCCGTCGATGCCGTTTTTGGTTTTTGACCAAACCCTTGTATAGGCCCTATGTTTTGCCGACTGGCGAACTGCTTTCTAAAAGTTGTATAACTACACTAACAGATCGCTCGTTTTTGTGTGCAAAAATATTTGTTATTTGAATGCTGTTTAATATTGTCAAGATAATTAAGTATTGGAAAATTTTTTACATGCAACGTAAGCGTTGCATGCTTTTAGACAAGGCTATTGCTTTTTGAATCGTCTGTCCAAAGATCGTCATCTGATTGCTGGCAAAGTTAGAGTTCGTCGGCCAATCGAACGACCCCGTTTAAGAGCTCACAACCTTGTTTGTCAGACGTTAATTTCATGATAAAAGGATCAACTAATTTCTCTTCAACGTCGATGCTCGTGACTTTCTTGGAAACTGAGGGTAGCTGTTCAAGGTCGAGGGTGATGAGGTTTTGTTTCAATGACACGTAGTGTGAAATGAAAATTACTTAGACAAATTTACGGCCATTTTCCTTTCCTGTGCCTTACTTTTCATCAAACTTTTATGGACGTTTTTTCGTCCATTTTTTTGTCGCACGGTATGTTTTGTTAATAATCAAATATACGTCAAGGTCTACGATTTGCTTCTACTGGTGAAGCAAATCCTTGCGAATTGTCATTTCAATAACTTGCTTAACTCCTACAATCTATGCTTGCTGGGGTATAATTGACAAGCGCTCCTTCTGTGGTGTTCGCCTGCGTGAGATCCTGCCTATAGTTTGTTTCCTATGCAGTTGAACCCCGCGCTTTACGAACGTCCACACCACCTTACGAATGCCCATACCACATTACGAATGCCCTTACCACCTTACGAATGCCCTTACCTCCTTACGAATGTCCTTATCGCCTTACGAATGTCCTTACCTCCTCACGTATGCCCTTACCTCCTTACGAATGTCCTTATCGCCTTACGAATGTTGTTACCTCCTCACGTATGCCCTTACCTCCTTACGAATGTGCTTACCACCTTACGAACGTTCTTACCGCCTTACGAATGTGCTTACCACCTTACGAACGTTCTTACCGCCTTACGAATGTGCTTACCGCCTTACGAACGTTCTTATACCGCCTTACGAACGTTTTTACCGCCTTACGAATCGTCAGATCGTAAAAATTTTCTCTGCTGTGCCACCCCATCCATTGTAAAAAGTAGTGGCTCGGCTTAAATTGTCAATATCAATCGATGATAAATTGGGCATCAATATTATTGTCGATTTGGCCAAGGAGTACAAACGAAATAAAATTATGATCTCTAATTTGAACAGCAAGATGTTGAACCTCAAAATGAACCAATTTTTCTTTCTGCCTAATGCAGGTGCAGTCTAAACGTGAAAGGAATAACTTTTTGAGGGACTAGAGGAGTCTTTTCCATTACTTTTATTGGGGAATAATTGGTTCGCTTTACGACGAACGCACCGCTTTAGGAATCAATTTTCTGCACGAATGAAATTTTTAAGGCGAGATTCCACTTTTTTATGACTGGTATATTCTGCGTCTGCTGCCGCACAGAAGTAAACCTTGCGTTGCAAGCCTACATACCTTACATACGCACGCAGTTATTCCGTTAATTCAGTTATTGCTACTATAATTACTATAATTATAATCGTTTCACATAATTGTTTGTTGAGGAAATGTTTTGAAGACTTGAGTTTCAATTAAAGTATGTAATTATTGCTTCAGAACTGTTAAGAAAATTCATGTGCAAATTATTAATGTTGCGATTATCGTTGGTCACGTGCCTATATGGAAGGCAACATGTGTAACTCCGTTATTGAAGTAAATTTATCGTTCTGAACTATTCACGCTGTCTCATTCTTGTGCTGTGTAATTATGCAGTATAATTTTAATGTTGTTTGAGCCTTTGAAACGATGCATTGATTGTAGTAAGCTTGAACTAAATATTCTTTGAAATATGCTTAAAGCTTACGAAATATTGTATAAAAAGCATTGTTTATATTAAATTACACAATGTTTCCAGTTAAAGTACAAAAATGCGTTTCGTGGCTATATAATCCATTAATAAGTCGCATATACTTTTTGAGTCATTAGTTCGGTCACTCAAAAACCAAAATCGTTTCCTCTCATTTCAACGAACAAAAACCCAGAACTTTCATTTTCATTGCAGTGTCGTCAACTAACATCTTGTCTTGATCGTTTTCTTGCAGCTTCGATTGAGCAAGTCTGTCGATGATCTATTTACATTTAATTGCCTCTCTCTGTATAATCGAACTCCTTCGCTTTCACCGAGCATCGCACACTGCGCTGCATGAGGCAGAGCGTGTTAGGTGCCGTAGTTAATATCGTCGATTTCTCGCCGTCGTGGCGATCAAACTCCTATTTCAATGATAAACATCAATAGCGAGCTTCAGCATGCACTGCTACGAATCTGAGGATAGCATGCCTATATCAATGAGCAACGACGGCAAGTTCAAACATACTCTGTAGCGTGTCCGAGGATGAAAGTTAACCTCTGACCTCTGGTTGTACGTTTCAAAACCTCCGCGGCTAGAAGGTAAAATCATTGTTGGATCACATTGCTTTTATGATGCGGGCGCAGTCTGACAATCTTTCGCGAATTGTTCAGAAATCAGCGAAACATCTTAACAGTGTGAAACTAGAAAGAAAAATTTGTCATAATTCCTGCATATTACACATTTCTACTTGTGCTCGATGAATTCCAAAAACTGAATATTGAATCTCCAACTCCATTATTTTATGAAATTTTTAATAGACATAGTACTATAGTTATACCATTACAATCTTGAAACCGTATTTTTCGTATAATCGAAAGTATTTTCTCGCCGATCTCACTTGAACGAAATCCTTGTTCAATTTGATACAGTAGCGTCACGCTCGCCAATAAGTGCG